CTGCTTGTATTAATCGACCGTGGCATCAGAATAAATGCCGATATTCTAGAGGGTGTATAAAAGCCTTGGGCATGCAAACATTTTGGCCGCAGATCTTGGACATTCCAACAGGATTCAGCAGCATCGCACTCAGCACGCGCCTCCCAAGAATGGTTACAAAATGAGGTAACTCGCTTCATTTCCAGCGCACAATGGCTACCAAAATCTGCGGATACCAATCCGTTGGACTATTGTGTCTGGCGTATTTTGGAAAGCAATGTTGGCACTAAAAATTACCAAAGTGTCGATAACCTCAAGCAAGCGCTTCGACGGGAATGGGCCAAAATACCGCAGAGCAACATTCGGGCAGCGTGTAAAGGTTTCATTGGCCGTTTGAAGGCCATAAGCTGACCAATTCGAACAAATCTAAACTTATTCTAAAATTTGATGCTATTTTCGACAGTTTTTGCTTTCATTCAATAAAATTTAAAAAAAAAAATTAAAAATTATGACTTCAGACTTTTTTGCAATTTTTTTTATCTCACCCTGTAGTTATTTAATGGCATAATACAATGTTGAATGTTTATGGATAATTCATGGTAGAATCAAGAAGGTAATGTCATGCAATCATATGTTTATAATTTTTTCAAAAATTATTCATTTGACAACATCTCATTGTCAAAATTTGTATTTAAAAATCCATTGCATATACACAAATCAGAGATGGGAACCTGTTTTAATGTAGTAAATTACGGAAAATACAGAGATAGGTATGCTTATTTGAAATGACTTTACATTCTTAATTTCACCGTGGAATTATTCTTACTGAGTCATTTTTATATTATTTTAAAACCATCATTTTTAAAACCTTTAGATTCTCGCAGGTTCACACTACTATTAATGATTTAGTTATTTCCACCGAACTTTATCATAAATTCAGCTTATGTGTTACTATGTATTATTGCTTCACGTCCCACTCTAGTGTCACATGTCTGTTCGTGTATACTTGAGAATTCTTGTAACGGAAGGATATAAAGCCGCTGGGATGTAGCTGTTCATTTTGCGTGTCTATGTCCTTTTTTGTTTTTTTTTTTTTATTTTATTTTTCCTACACTAAGCCATCACATTCACTGGCATTAAAGTGATAAATGTGACAAATCTTTAATTGACACCAACTAACATAGACTGATATCTGGGGCTAAACAACAATAGTGCACAGTTAATGACTTGGCAAATGTTTAAGTACCTCCTTTATTAAAGTGTGATTCAAATACAACATTATGTTATTATAAACAGACACACATCCGCCTTTATGAATATTATGCCAAAAGCAAATCAAAAAGCCCCCATAGAAGTCAAATGCTTTGGTAATGTTACATTTGTTTTGTAATAAAATATCAAAATAAATCCACTTCAGTAGATAAATGTGTCTAAATACATAAAACGGTAAGTCTGCAGTTTATGTTCGGGAGCTACACTCAATTTATTGTCAGAAAATTTCCCACATCATTATTATTTATAGGACACAAAGGACACAATATAGCATAAAGTTTATGTTAAGTTTATATTTATTGTGGCTTAAACAGCATCGTTTTATAAAACATATGTTGTCGATTAATTTAAATGCCCATGATCCCTTCAGAAATAAAGGATAACTTTTAACTATTATCTTTTTTGGCAACATTGGTTTAAACAGCTCATATAGGTATATGTGTCTTCGGCAATATTAGATATAAAAATAGATGGAATATTTTAGTCGAAAATTGTAACCCTCAGGGAGTCAACAAAGAGGTCTTATGTAAATATGGTTAAAGTGTCCCTTTAATCGGGATGGAAGCAACTCAAAATGTTCTGCAAAATAATTTGTCACAAAATTGTAATTTAGGTCCTAGAAGACAGCAAGAACGCCAGTTATTCATATATATTAAAAACACATTTAAGGGATAAAGCAGAACTTTGTGTAAAAATCTCCAATAAAGCATAATTTTAGAAGGACGATGTTAACGACAAAAAGTTTCTTTATAAAATTTTACTGCAAGTTACCAAAAAAAGAAATCTCTATTTCCACAACATATCAAACAAGTAAAAAAGCTGTAAGTTCGGCCGGACCGATCTTTGAATGCCCTCCACCATTTGGAACGATTCTGGCAATTTTCAATCTTAAAAATACCGAACGTAGCCGTTATATTAGGGTCTATACGACTAAGGGGACTTTCATAGGCAACTTTTGTCATAAACCATTACAATATTCAAATGCGAAACTTGAATAAAAAATTCAGTGAATAATGTCGCTAAAATCATCAAATATCGTGAGGTACCGTTTTATGGGGGAATACGAAGACGTGAACCTGCACAGACAATTTTCTGTCTTAGACTGTAGTACCCATTACGAACTTCAAACACCAAATTTAAACAATTCCGGTGAATAATGTCGCTAAAATCATCAAAATACCAAATATGGGGGGTACCCTAATATTGGAGCTATTCGAAGACGTGGACCTCTAAAGACAATTTTCTGTCGTAGGCTGTAGTAGCCATTACGAACTTCAAATACCAAATTTGAAACAATTCCTGTGGATAATGTCGCTAAAATCATCAAAGTACTAATATCAGGAGGTACCATTCTATGGGGGCTATGTGAAGACGTGGTCTTGCACAGACAATTTTCTGTCTTAGGCTGTAGTATCCATTACGAACTTCAAATACCAAATTTGAAACAATTCCGGTGAAAAATGTCGCTAAAATCATCAAAATACCGAATATAGGGAGGTACCGTTATATGGGGGCTATACGAAGACGTGGACCTGCGCAGACAATTTTCTGTCTTAGACTGTAACAATTTCGGTGAATAATATCGCTTAAATCACCAAAATACCGAAAAAGGGAGGTACTATTATATGGGGACAATAAGAAAACATGGACCTGCATCACCCATTTTCAATACCAAAAGTCCTGCAGAAATAATACACATTTTGGTAAAATTTTATCAACCTACTTCATTTCGTTCGGAAGCTAGAGTGACGGACGGACATTCCTAATTCGACATCGAATTTTATGCTGATCAAGAATATATATACTTTGTGAGGTCTAAAATGTATATTTCGAGGTTTGACAATCTTAATATACCCTCCATACTATGGTGGAGGGTATAAAAACATATTTTAGGGATAAAATCGTACTTTGTGTAAATATCAAAGCATCATTTTAGAAGGATGACATCAATTTTCTCCATCAAATTTTACAGTAAGTTACCAATGAAAAGAATTCCTTATTTCCACAGGGTATCGAAATATAATTGCATCAATGTTTCCAAAAAAAAAAAAATATTCCCAATTTTACCTTGGACTTTTTTTCGCGTTGACGCCTGAAAGTAACATCAAATTTTGTTTTAGACAGAAGGTGTCAATAGAAGAAATATTCTACACGAAATTCCATTATTAATCTCAGAATAAGCCATACTGTACCAGGTTTTATGAAAATTTCATTCAAAACTTATGTACTTTAAGTGAAAACTATGAGTTTGCTTTTCTTTAACACGCCGAGTGAAATATCTCCCTTTATACCTCATTTTTTGGGGAAAATGTCAAAGTAAGAATAATTTGAGATCAAATTTCATTGTAAGTCTCCGAACAAAAGAAATTTGTATATTCAATATTTACCATGAAAAAAATAGCATAAATATGTTATATTAAATCTTATTCATTTCTAAAAATTTGAACACTTTTTCCCAATTCGCTACAAATTTTCTTATAATTTCACTTTAATCATTAATAGTACTAGTTTTAATAGTTTCTGTGTTCCTAGGCTAAATGTTGTTAAGACCCTTGAGATATTTTTCATAATATTTACGATAAAGCTGTGAAATTTGATAGAAATCTTTCGATTACTTCCAGAATTATTGGTGTGGAAAATAGGTTATATGGGTTAACACGCCGAGTGAAATATCTCCCTTTATACCTCATTTTTTGGGGAAAATGTCAAAGTAAGAATAATTTGAGATCAAATTTCATTGTAAGTCTCCGAACAAAAGAAATTTGTATATTCAATATTTACCATGAAAAAAATAGCATAAATATGTTATATTAAATCTTATTCATTTCTAAAAATTTGAACACTTTTTCCCAATTCGCTACAAATTTTCTTATAATTTCACTTTAATCATTAATAGTACTAGTTTTAATAGTTTCTGGGTTCCTAGGCTAAATGTTGTTAAGACCCTTGAGATATTTTTCATAATATTTACGATAAAGCCGTGAAATTTGATAGAAATCTTTCGATTACTTCCAGAATTATTGGTGTGGAAAATAGGTTATATGGGTTTACTTTTCTGAATGCTTCCCTGGTAAGGATAACTCCGATTTGAAGTATTTTTTTACGTTTTGACGATGTTTTTCATTCAATATATTTCCAAATTTTGACATTTTGAGTTATTATTATGTAGTAACGCTTTTATATAATGATAACCCCCTGCTTTTAGTTATTGCAAGGGGTCTAGGTCATTTTTTTTCCACTACAAGTATTGTTATTTTCACCGAATATATGAGGGTGTATAGTAAAACGTAGATCTCTATAGACAAAGATCTGCCGTCAGAGGTAAAAACCGTTACAAACTCTAAATGACAAATTCGGAACAAATCCGTCAAAAATGATGCTAAAATCGTCCAACAACAGACAGACGAACAGACAAACAATAGCCCATGCTTAAATAACTTAGAATTTTATGCTTAACCAAATTTATTTATATATTTTATGGGGTATCCGACATATATTTCGAGGTGTTAAGAACTGAGTGACAAATTGAAAATACCCAAATTTCCATGGAAGATTGTATAAAACCTTAGAATATATTTAAATAAATAAAGGTTTATTCACAACGTTCCTTGAAGGAGGGAGTGCGAATTCCCTATGTACGTCAATGATTATGAAACCTTTAATTAAAAACAAATCGAATACCTGAAAATATTTTCAATTGAACACAATTTAATCTTAACAATAATTTAACTGCCAAAAATAAAACAATGTTTTACATCACATAAGAATTTATTTTATTCTGTTTAAGATGCATTCCGAAATTATAGATACATAAACTAAATCACACGCATTCATTCATAGATTATATCATATTTATTTGTTATCCAAACCAACTTTATTGAATAATTTATCCTTGGCAATTTGGGCCATTAAACCATGGATCAATTCAATCGATGCACGGCTACAATCCCTGGTGGCTTTGGTTAGTTTATCTTCAGTGCGTTTTTCATTGACATCGCCACCTACAAATTGATATAAATATTAAATCCCTTCCATAACACAAAGCATAAAACCAAAGCCAACTTACCCGACAACAAGAATGTACCTCTTCCCAGGCTCGATTCACTTTGTTCTAATTTCTCGGATAAATCAAATATTTGTCCTGTGGTATAATCGGTATTGGTCAAGAGACCAGAACTACCGAGTGTATTCACCCAATATTTGTTCCACAACGAATCCAACAGCTTACGATCCAATGCTGATTTAAAATAACTCACCTCCAGTGGATAATATTGTTTACAATGAACACCAAAATCTTCAATTTTATTCAATGGAATTGTTTGATATTCTGATGGCTCTTCATTAGGTGGTTTATAACCCTTGGGATAGGTGCGGAATGCACCAAGACAAACTTTTCCCGCCGACACAGTACGTACGGGATCAACAACAATTGCCACAAATGGTTCTTGATAGTTCTGATTAAGCATCTGGGTGGATACATCAATGCCAGACAACCAACAGCCATAGCCGGGATGACTGTGATACCATCCAATGGCATTTTCAAGGCGACCAACTTCTTTAGCCGAATCAATGTAGGCCGACATATACTCGTAAGCCTGAGATTGAGCATTGACCCGTGTTTCGGTGCCTTCCACCGGCAATGCAAATGCATCCATGACAATCTGTAAGAAAGACACCAACATACATATATTACCGTAAAGCACACACAAAGGCAGATGAAAATAGAAATTACCATGGTGTTATCTTCCACTTTACCCAACAGCAAACCCATAATTTCCAAAGTACCACCCGACCGAGCATGCATTACCATTTTCAGCAAAGACAAAGCGGAAATTTTAATATCCTTAAAATAGTGTGGATCTTTCTCCCATGGCTTGGCATCCAGAATCTGCCTTTGTTGGTCGGCATCGTAGCGAAAGATTTCATCACATGCTGGCAGTGTTTTGATGTTATTCTCCAGTTCCCAGGATCTACGTGCGGCATCAGCGTCCATTTTTGCGAATTTTATTTTTATTCTCGTTTAGAGGTGGCAAACAATTGATACTTTAATTTAAAGTGGGGTAGCGAATGACAGTTTTTTATCGATATGCTAAAGCCATGTTCACACTAACCATAATAAATCGATCAGATATGTAAATTATTACATTAATATGCCTAGCCATGATACCAATCTGCTTACGTACCCACACCTCAGACTGCTAGAAAAAGCTGTGTTCCAGAAGTGCAAGAATGCAAAAGTATTAACTGATTCTGAATCCGAATAAAAAATCTACGAGTTTTCCATTTTTTTCGTTATAATGCAAAAATCCGACATCTGTGTCCCAAATGTGATTTTTTAGCTATAATCTTTTGCGCATCTCTCGTGTTTTGTTTCACTGTCAAACACCTTTAGCTTGGTCTACAATTCAAACAACAATGAACAACGCTTGGAAATCATTGAATTTTATTGCCAAAATGTGTTCTCTATTAAAAAAGTTAATCGTGCGCTTTCTCCGTTTTCCGTTCTTGGATTCTTCAAAGGCTTCGTAAATAGGCAGAATTGCAGATTTTGGAGTGAAGATGAGCCAGAAGAATTGCAAAAGTTACCAGAGAATCAAGAAAAGGTCATAGTTTGATGCAACTTTTTTGCCCAAAATACAAGAACTTGACTTGCATAGCATACGGTTTCAACAAAACGGTATCACATGCCACACAGCACTCGTAAGTCCCGATTTATACTAGGCGAGTTTACTGGAGGTAATTTTTGTCTGTCTCTTTTAAACATGGAATTATTTTCAGCAATTTTCTTTTTCATCAATCCCTTTTTCCTCATTTTTATACCCTCCTCTATAGTATGGAGGGTATATTAAGTTTGTCATTCCGTTTGTAACAACTCGAAATATACATTTTAGACCCCACAAAGTATATATATTCTTGATCAGCATAAAATTCTATGTCGATTTAGCTATGTCCATCTGTGGAAATCACTCTAGCTTCCGAACGAAATGAAGTAGTTTGATAACATTTTGTTCAAATGTGTATAATGGTCCACATTTTGGTGTAGGTCCACGTTTTGGTATAGCCCCCATATAACGGTACCCCCCATTAATCGGTATTTTGATGATTTTAGCGACAGTATTCACCGGAATTGTTTCAAATTTGGTATTTCAAGTTCGTAATGGGTACTACAGCCTATCTCGATATCATAAAGGGAAAATCGGTTATCATAGTAAAAAGTTTAACATTCTTGTAGTTCTGGAACAGACAAATACACAGTTTGTATACGTTACGTATTGTTTGGAATAAAAAAACTTATTTGAAGTTTTTTCAAATTTAGATGCAACAGAAATGCATATTTTCCATGTTAATGGGCAACAAAATGCACAATTTTGGGATAAAACAATTGGTCTATTCCGGAACTGCAATAATCTAAAAGTTGTTACTACGATAACCGATTTTCCCTTTATGATATCGAAGACCAAATATTTTCATTCTATCATGGATTCAATTTTGAGCAAAAAATCCAATATTTCATTCATGTTTTTGGATTTTCCTAAATATGATAATGTGAAAAGTATGTAAAACAAAAAAAAAAAAATAAATAAATAAATTGTTGCATATGTAAAAGTCTCATTGACATAATAAAGATCATGGTAGAAGAATATAGGTAGACGCGTCGACACAGCTGCTGGGACAATGAACTGTCAAACCAATTTTGGAATTGAAAATGTTGAATGAAAAATTATTTAAATTTGTAAAAATTGTTGAAAAACGCGAATTATAATAGCCTCCGGATGACGTAATATAAGAAAACATATAAAAATCTACTTATATTTGAAAAAACATTTAAATTTTTTGACATATCATTGCTCCCAAACGTTGATGCATCTACCTGTATTCTTCTGCCATGATAAAGATGCAGTACAGAGTAGCTTTTCTCTGATGTTAATCAGCATTTCATATTGAGCCATGGTGTGTACCCCATTTTAAGTTTTGATCAAGCTAACATTTCATGTGAACTACCCTAATTGCTTCTTGGCGCTTTATTGTGTTCAGCGTTTACAACACTGCTATTGGTCGATATGGCAACACCAATATTGTGTTAACATCCTTTGCTGAATGACAACAATGTTGTATTTTTGCAATATTTACATTAATTTATTCATATTTTTCTTAATAAAACTCTTATAAAAAACAACGTCAAACGAAATGTTTACAACACTTTGAAGCTTTAGAATTCATTTTATTGACTTCCCAGTTATCCTGGCGGAATATCTGCTGTCCATGTATTCGCACAAATGCAACCCTGTATTTGAATAATTTTCAAACGAACAAAATTGTGGGCAATACGACAGGAAAAAAACACAAACATTACATTCGGCTTTCGGAAAGCGGCGTCATTGTGTATTTGTGTGCAGAAAAAAATCTCTGAAGGCAATATGAGAAAAGATAAAAATTCCAATACTAAAAAAATTTCCAATGAAGTATTTTACAAAAAAGTGCAGTGATTAAGATATAAATACTAAAGTTACTCAATAATCAAATGGAATTTATAAGAAATACGTGAAATAAATGCAAAAATTTCTAAACCTTTGCCGACCAGAGAAGAAAAATTTACATGAATACAAGAAGAAAAAACTTTCTATACTCGTTTTCCATTTACTTCGACGGCTTCGGTCTTCGTGGGTTGCCTCCTTGCGAAATAGAATAAAGTTTTTTTTTGCAAATGCGGCGAACGCTGTACACACACACAATTACATGCAAGATATCAAAAGTGTAAATGTGACGAGATAAAATAAAAACAGGAAGTTTTGTAATAACAAGATTTGTACAAGGAAAAAGAAAGAAAAAAATAGTATCCTGTTTTTTTTTTAACCAAGGAAAAGTATAATAAAACTACAAAAACAAGAATATTTAGTGGAAAAGTTACTATATATCCTTTGTGTCTAGCAAGGACCAAGCCGCTGCTGCATTTCTACTTTCCGTAAAAATGACGCTTGAAGGCGCTAAATTTGTATGTCTCGATGAGACCGGCAATCATGACAGAATTATTTTGGCCAAAGGCCGTAAATTTTCTGTTGGCCGCTATACAACTTGTGATTTGATATTGGATGATGTACGAGTAGAGAATGTACACTGTGCCATTGAAGCCGATGCCTTTGGAAGGGTAAATTATTTAATTTTCCAAAATTGTTTTTGGTTTTATTAAAATTATTTCCATTCCCCCTTTGCAGATAACCATACGGAATTTCAGTACAGACTATCCTATTTCAATAAATGGCGAGGTGGTGCAAAATAAACAAAATTTATTTAATAACACCAAAATTGAAATTTTGGATAGAATGTATTTATGGGAATTTGATAATAAAAATTCCACAAAATGTGAAGATTCCGAAGGTACAGATGTATCGACTCCGCAAAAACAAATAGGCATACCCAAACCGTCGGCATTTTCCAGTCCGGCTGCAAAGGTAATTACTTTTAACTATTTATTGTTGTTGTAATGTTTGTTATCCTTATCGCTGCTCGCTGTGTGAAATATTTCCTATGTACCTACCTACCTAGCCAGTCAGCTAGCTAGCTAACAAGCCTTGCCTATCAAATATTGTTATGCGGAATTTTGTTCTTTCAGTTCTTGTAAATCGAAAAGAGATTTGCTGTGCAACACATGTTGGGCATTTGTTTGCTTACGAAAATTGTGCTGTACTGCCTGTCCCTGGTCTTCAAGAGGGGGAAGAAATGTGCCGCGTAAACACACTTCTTTTAATCTGTAAGAAAGCGCGCGAAACGGCGGTGGTCATTTTTTGAAAACGATAACATTTTACTTGCTCCTGAATTATTATTTTAAGTGAATTTTAAAAGGTATTGGTTTAAATTTAAAAAAAATGTTATTTGTGTTTTTTGCGTGTTGAGAATTATAAAAATGTTCTTTTAGGACTTAGAAAATGAAGTTTTGTGGTGACAATTTTTCAACCCCTATCAATAGTTAAATTTTGTAAGGAACCCATACTAAATTGAAACATCCTTTAGATTATAAAAAGAAGACAATATTTATTAGGATGTCGCCTGAAGAGGATAACATCGGTTTGTAAGGGCCAGAACCATGCCTGCTTCCTATCAGAATTATTTGATATTTTTTCCTCATTGTTAAAATAAGATAAAAAGCGTAAACGATGAGTGAAATGCCTGGACGGCCAAACTGTTAAATTTTCAGTTCCATGGCAAAATTGGTTAATACCTTTAAAGCGCGCAACGTAATATACTTTTCCGCCAATCATTGGCTTTGAAATATAAGTACAAAAACAAATTTTGCAGACTCCGGGAACACACAGAGAAAATATTTTTATAAGTTGGCTAAATCTACTTTTAGACAAGTCTACTTCAAAGACACTTGTTTTAATCGGTCGTCTTAAGGCACTGTCTTTTGATCGTATATAAATACATCTTTTGATAGTTTATAAATAAATTAGAATTTTAGATTTAAAGACTTCCACCTGTAATGACCCCTTTCGGTTCTTCTATAAAGGATTCCTTTGAGACATTCATAAATACCTTCTCTAGATCGGACATAAGTCTTCTTTTTTCGTGTTCTATAGAGCCCCTTAAGGCCCCTCTAGGATATCCATAGAGACTTCTTTTACGTCGTCTATGAACAATCTATGTTCAAAAAATAATATTTTTACATGGGCTATAAAACCCTTTTGATTGTTTTATAAAGACTACCTCTAGGGCGTTCATAAAGGTTCTTTTGAGTTCGTCTATAACGACTCTATAGATCGGATAAATCTCCTCTTTTTTTACATCTTCCACCGTATCCATTTACGTCGTCTTTAAATACTTCCGTTGGGTTATAGTTTCTAGATCGCTTTTAAACCTTCTTTTTTGGGGTCATCAAAAAACCACTTAAGGTCTTTTATAAAGACCACCTTCAGGTCGTCTATAAACACCTTTAGATAGTCTATAAATTCCCTTGAGGTCGTTTATAAAGACCCCCTGTAGATCATCTTTATATAAATACTTCTGGTAGGGCTTCTATATCCCCTTTAGATTGTCTAGATCGCCTTAAGATTGTCTGTAAAGATCCCCTTTGTTTCCATAAACATAGGGGTTGGCAGTCTATCCAGATTGTCTTTAAAACCCCTTTAGGTATTGTACAGGGTGACATGAAAACACTGCAACCAACTTCAGACTGCTGTCATTTCTAAGCCACTCGTCCGATAACTGGTAAATTATTCGTAATGGAAGTCAAGCGTGATAGTGGTAGCGTAGCTGGACGTCATGGAAGTGGACGGAAGAAAACAGCAACATCAGGAATGGTTTGAAAAGTAAAGAGGCGACTAGATCGAAAACCGCGTCGCAGTGGCCTAAAAATGGAAAAATTTCTCGTGAAGCCATTGAAATTGCAAAAAGTGCAAGAACTCACACCGCAACAGAAAGGAAATAGACTCAAAAGAGCTAAAGAGTTGCTTCGCTTAGCCGAAAGTGGTGAACTGCCGAATTTGGTTTTTTCCCATGAGAAAATATTCGTTGTTTGTAAACAAACAAAATAATCGTGTTTACTTGCCAAAGAGTTCAGCTGAAAATGTGCACCTTCAGTTGGCCACTAGAACGTAAGCGTCGGCCATGGTGATAATGTAGGTCGCCATAACAGCCGATGGTCGCTCATGCCGAATATTATCGCGAAAATATTCTGGAGGGTGTATTAAAGCCTTTATTAAAGGGCTCAACACCATCGCACTCAGCACGCGCCACCCAAAATGGTTACAAAATGAGGCTCCTCGCTTCATTTCCAGCGCACAATGGCCACCAAAATCTCCGCATACCAATCCGTGGGACTATTGTGTCTGGAGTATTTTAAAAAGCAAAATCCGTAAATCCTCATTTTGTACTTCTATAACGTTGGGCCATTTATTAATTGTCTCTCTGGACTTACCTTAGATCGACTATAAAGAGCCCCTCTTTGTCTCCATAAAGCCCGCATTTGGAGCTTCTAGTGCCTTTTGCTCATATATAAAGACCTTTTTTAGGCCCTCCACAAAAAGTCTCTCCCTTTAGATCGTCTAAAGATTTTTCGTTTAGCTGTTTTAAAGACTTCTGTCAGCTAGTCTAAAAGACTCCCTTCAAATCATTTAGAAACCTGACTTCAGCTCGTCTAAAAGATTTCCGCTTGACTAAAGACTTCCTTCGCTCATATAGACTCCCTTCAGCATGTCAAAAGACTTCTTTCAGCTTAAATCCTTAACATCCCGACTATTGCAGTGCAACATATTTTTATTCTTCTTCTTTTAGATGCTAGTCTAAAATATCAAATCATCGTCAAAGAGATTCCTAGCAACTAGTGTAGAGTTCCCTCAGCTTGTGTAGTTAGCCCACATTGACTCCGATCAACTGGTATAAGTTCTAGCACGTCTAAGAGACGTATTTCAGCTTGGGTAGTTCGCCTATACTGACTACCTTAAGTTCATTAAAAGAGGAACCCTATAGCTCGTCTAAAATACTACTTTCAACATGCCAAAAAGACCTTCATCTCTAAAAGACACTCAACTTTAAAAACTCTTTGACTAAATAGCAACAGACAGTAGCATAATAACTGTCTTTTTTTTGGTTTTTATCTTCGTAGAACCTGGAATATGTTACTTGTCTTTGACCTCAGCACTTAGTGGAGTTTTACAGTAATTCAGTGTCATTAGACCTATCTTCGTACGTTACCCAATATTTCTTTTCTATTCAAGTTAGTTATCATTAGTCAGTTCTCTTCCATCCAAGTGAGTAGTCGAAAATGGCACAGTGTCGTATTTAAACTGTAAACAAACTTCTAAATTCGTTAGCAATAATTTGTTATTTTTTTCTTTGTGAAGAAACCAGATCCGTATTAAAATCCTTAACATCCAGGCTTCTGATGCGCGACATACAGAACGAAGACGTCGTCATAAATTCTGTTTGGATTTTAACATTTCTCCTGTGCGTTGTTGTGCCATACTTCCAAGTCTTTCTGCTATACATTAAAATCATTTCGCTCCATAGCACCTTATGTCATCATCTCTTTATGTTGTAAATAATTTTAAATTCAATTATCTTAATTAATTAATTTTCTTGTCTTTTTTTAGAATACGCAGAAACCTGCCCCCAGGCTTACCGTTCACAAGTAAGTATTAAAAATGAAATCCATTAGTTGAATACTTGATTAATTGTTGTGTAACCTTTGTAATTATTTTTTTTCTCTTCCAGTTTTGCCTATTGCATACAATCGGATGAGGAGGGAAATACATCAATTGAATCCAACGCCGAAAAACCCACTGCCGAAATTGAACTAGTAGCAGACGAAGAAGTTAAAGAATCACCTCAAAAAACTGCCGCAGAAGAGAAGCCAGCAACAGGTGAAGAGGAGGAAGAAGCTGCTACCATAATGCTGCCGACCACAGAAGAAACAGGGCGTGAGGTAACGCCCGAACCTGAATTGAAAACATTACCAACCGCCGAAGTACAAGAAACCCCAAAAATGAATTTAATCAATTGTACCAACAACAAAGAGAACTCTGCCAGTACGAAAAAGAAGAAAAATCTACATTTATCATTGTGCCATCAATCGGATGTGGTCATCACATCCTTTTCACCACGTGAAGCGGGAGTTAAAATTGAGAAATCCTTTACGGCCATACTTAAGCCAAAGGTGCTGGTCACTAGGGCTCCCAATACACCGAAAAGTGTCTATAGTACACCAAAAAGTGTACTAAACGATGATGATGACGACGATGGGGAAATGGATAAAAGTAAAGAAATACTTAGCTTTCAAACACCCTCCACATCACGCAAAGTTGCAGCGACAACGGGTGGCAAGAACAACACATCAATGCATTTAGTGGATTTTACCACACCGACTAAACTGGCACCGGTGTCAAGTCCCTTTTTGAAATCTGCTTTAAAGGCCTCTGCCAAAAAGCTGCCCCTTACGCCAAAGGGAAATAGACAAAACAAAACAGCTACAGAGGAGAACCTGGGCCTCGGCACATTGCTTTCCACGCCTGTGGTGAGTGAAGACGACCAAAACAGATTAGAAACACCCAGTTCTGTACTGTCTGTTATCAGTGTAGATTCCACCGATACGTCCAGTGTTATAGAGGTATTAAGTGATGAATCTACACCTGGTATCAATGCAAATGTTGTATTGAAGACACCTGGTAAAACTGAGGCTGGAAAAGCGCAAGCCACCACACCAATGAGAACACCCCAGTCCCTAATGAAAAGAGCAATTTTGACAAGTACAAAGAAACAAATGAACACACCACAGAGAACGGAAGCCGGTGCCACCACAACATCGCGCAGAGAGCCCATAAATCGTATACCTTTGCGCACAAGCATAGGGGCTCTACGATCACCTGTCACACCTAAAACTCCCGCCGCAACAGAAACAGCACCGCCATCGCGAAGAATAAGTATGTCAACTCCTTCTCGAAAAAGTTTTCCAGCCAAGAGATTTGAGAGCACACCACAGTCCAGCTCAAATTCTGGTGCCTCAACTACTACTACACCAACAAGATCCACCAGACGCTCTTCACTTATACCTATGTCCGCTAGTCGGGCACAAACATCAACACCCCTTAGCTATGCCAATCGAAAATCAACCTGTAAAACATCGCCCCTCAACAAGGTGCGCAAGTCAGTGGGCGGCGTGCCACTTTCATCGCATATCTCCAAGGCGAGGCGCTCAATTATAGCAGCATCTCCGGCCAAATTCACTTCCATCAAAGAGAAATCACCCCAGCAAATGATGAGTGATCGCCTGGTAACTAGGGCTCGAAAATCCCTGTGTGTAACACCCAGTATTTCCAAGCCCATTAATGTGGCCCAGGTGTCTAAGACACCGGGAGGAGGGCGTACACCCAGCATTTTAAAGAGAACACCCATGGCTGGTAGAAAATCCATGGCAGCAGCCACACCAACGCGTTCAGTATTATTTGCCGCCGATAAACAAAAGGCAATGTTGAGTGACAAGCCAGATCGAAGTCTTACCTTTATTGTTGACTCAGATGATGATGATGATGGAGATGAGGAGAAGACAAGTGGTGGGGCAATAAAAACGACAACCCCCTTGAATGTAACATTCTCCCCCGAAAAGGAGGTGGAAATCAAAAGTTTGGAAACACCAATTGATGTTGAGGAGTTGACGGCGTCTGGTAAAATGGAAAAAGAAAATGATTATCCAGCTCAGCAAAGCAACAAAGCAGGAGCAGAGGAAATGGGAGAACAAGAAAATAATTCCCAGGAAGACTCAAAGGCAATGGCTGTTTGTGCCTCAGAGGAAAGCTTTGCTGAAATTGTGGACAATTCCCGAGATGAAAACATATCTCCAAAGAAAAACTCAACACAAATTGGAGACAATGAGCAAAGCGATTCGAATTGTGAGGAAATAGCAAAAGATGCATCGAAGAAATCTGAGGAAATTGAAACTGGGTTTGGTGAAGAATCTGTGGTAGAATCAAAAGAAGACTCGAATGCGGAAGATGTTCCGAAGAAAGATGATGAGGTGAATGTGGGTGATGATGATAGTGAGGAACCCCAAGCCGTCAGTGTGAGACGTGTGTCCAGTGATGTAGTGGAAATTGTGGAACCCATGGCTACGAGTCTCAGAAGAATGTCGAGCGATGTGATTGAGGTATTCGCAGAACCACCCCAATCTGTGAGCGTACGACGGATATCCAGTGATGTTATTGAACTCGATTCCACAGCCGATTCAGAGAAATCTATAAATAATGTTGGTACAGAAGCTGTAGAAGCATCAACATCACCTTCAAAGCCCCTATATAAACCAATTTGTGAAGATATTACCCTTGAAGGTTCATTACTTGAGCAGAATCAAACACATGATTCCATCATAGACAAAGTCATCAAAGAAGAAGAGAAGTCAACTAATGATTTGTCCCAAGTACAAGAAGAACCCGATACCACAGAAGAATATGAAAATCAAACCACTCAACAACTGAATACCGAAAAGACTGAACAAGAAAATCAAAATAATTCAAATGAAGAAGTCAATTCTGAGAAAGATCTTTCTGAAATAGTTCCTAAAGAGACTGAAGATTTGCCTCTGGAATCTGAAAACTTGCTCAAGGAGTCTGAGGATATTTCAAAAGAAAATCCTGCTTCCAAGGAGATTGAAGATTTGCCTAAGGAAACTGAAAATCAAGCCAAGGAGGGTGGAAATGAAATTGTTTCCAAAGAAAATGAAAATTCGTCGAAGGGAAATGAAACAGTTTCTAAAGAAAGTGAAGATGCTACCCAGGCAACTGTAAGTGATTTCGCAGAAACGGAAGAAGATCATGAAGATTTCCCTAAAGAGAATGAAGCTATTGTAAGCACAACTGAAGGCAATGATGTATCTGCAATTGTAGAAACTTCATTCGTTGAGGAAGCCCCAGAAAGCAATGAAGCGGAAAACGCTGAAGGTGTTGAAGAATTGGCAATTTTGGACAAATCTACTGCTCCCGAAGCCCCAGATACAGAAGAAACCGCTGAAGGAAATGAAAAATCTACTGAAACAGGAGAAGAAGCCACTGAAAAACATGCGGTCATAGAAACAGAAGTATCTTCTAAACAAATTGAAAATAATGAAAAAATAGCTGAAGAAAGTGAAGCCACTGAAGAATCTGCTGTCATAGAATCCGAAGTCGAAGAAGCTCCGCAAAATATTTCAATCACTCTAGATTCTTCTGAACAAATTGAAAACACATCTGCTTCAAACAGCAAAACTTTTGAGCAGGAGGTTGAAAACATCGAATTGGCTGAAAGAGATTCTGATGTTACCACAGATAAGCTATTGGAAGAAATCGAAGATGTCCTTAATAAATCGGATGAAATTCAACAAAAACATTTTGAACAACAAGATGATGTCGAGAGCATAAATACCCTAACAGAGGAAAATGAAAGTTTAAGGCTTACACAGGACACCGTTTCCACGGATTATCAAGAAACTGATGTGGAGGAGGCTAAAGCGGAAGAAACTTCTTCAACCATTCTCGAGGAAGATAACCAAATAAACGTTCCTCAGTCTGGCGAAAAATCAACGGAAATTTCCAAGGAAAGTCTATCAGAATCAGAAGTTTTGGTAGATCCAAACTCTGCTGGAAAAGAAATAGAACTTGATAGCCAGGAAGCAAATACTGAAGTTTCTAATAAAGACGAGGAACCACAACCTTCCTCTGACGAAATCCCAGCAAATAATGTGGAAGGTACAGGCGAAGAATTGAATACTGAAGATACTAATGAAGAGATTACTTCCAACGAAGTAGAAGAAGAGACTTCAAAAGAGAAAACTCCGGGCTTGGAAGAAGAAAATGTGATTGTTGCTACCCAGGAAGCAGAGGAATCAAACAAAGATGTTCTCAACCAGGAAGATAACAAAATTTCGAATGAGAATGAAACCTCGGAAGCGCCTAAAACTCCATGTGAGCTGGATGTTCCTAATAAATCTGAAGATGATGAAAAGGTCGATGACTTAGCAATTGGAACGGTGGTTGCAGAACAATCCAACTCTGATAGGTTGGAAAAAAGTGAAATTCCGGAACCTCTTTCAACAGAAAAGACTGATGATATTGCTTCCACGGATGCACCCACTGAAAATAACAAAGAAGTTCAAAACCTAGAATCATCATCTAGAGGTGATGACGAGAAAATGTCATCCGCCTCAAAAGATATTATTAGCAATAAACTAATTGAAAATCAAACCATCGGTACGCGTACACCCAAGCGACGCAGTCGACGTGCATCAATGTTAACTGAAAATACAACAACAGATGATGGTAAAGAAAATCTGGAAATATCTCTGCAAAGTGTTGCTCAAAAATTAGCCGAAGAACAAAAAGAAACACTCGCTCTAACACCAAGACGTAGTTCTCGTCGAAAATCAACAGCATCAACAGAATCTACAGATGAAAGTCAGAATGAAGTTAAAGCCTTACCCACATTCACACCCAGACGTAGTGCCAGGCGGGCTTCAATGTCTGCGGAAACTACATCGTACACACCCACCGCCAAGAAAACAAGAAGAGCTTCCTTATCGGCTGTAAGTGAAACACCATTGACACCAAAACGTATAACACGCCGAAGGTCTTCCATATCTTTGGAAACGGAAGAAATAAGCCAGGTGGTTCTGGAAGAGCCAACGACAAGTTCTTCTGAAGTTGCGACGGAACCTATTGTGGAGACAGCACATGAAGACATGGGTGCTATAATTGAAGAAGAGGAGGAGGAGGCAGAAGAAATTTTGGATAAGTCAAAGAAAGAGTTGGGCGATAAAAAGGAGGAGATTACAGCACATGGACAAGAGGAGGCGGATAATGGTGATAAAATCGAATCCATAAGTGAAACAACAGAAGAAGAAAAAGCTTCCGCAGTGTCATTGGAAGATAAAGAAATTCCGAGATCTGAAGAACCAGTGGTAGAAAGCAATGAAACTTCCAATGGAGCTGTTAATGAAAATGTTGCCAGTTCTAATGATAAACAAGAGGAAATTATTTCTAGCGAAAGTACGCCTCAATCAGACGAAGTAGACGAAATTATTTCTAGCGAAAGTACATCTCAACCAGACGAGGAAGATATAAAGGATGTGACAAGGGAAAAAAATGTTGAAGGTATGTATTGAGGGACAACATTTTTTGGTGGAACTTTGAAGAATGGTTCTCACTATGCTATCCATGTAAAATATGACTTCTGTTAGATAATTTTATAATTACCGTTTTCTTATTAATTTTTTGCAGATATCGATTCTGAAAATATTGTCGAAGATATTGCACCGGATGAAGGTAAATATACTCATTTCATGTATTATTTATGGACCAATTTAAGCTGTACAATGTCAATCGCTCTTTCTATATCAACAAACGCTGTCGAGGGATTGTAAGAATTGTCCATATTCTTCATAAAAAACCACCTCCTCGTCTTAAGCTGTTTCCGATCATCCTTTGAAATATTCGTGTTGTGATGACCTAATTTTTCTTTGGCACCAACGCAACAACCCAAGAGAAGGCTTATGAGTTTGGACCAACAGATTCCTGGTGTTATACTTTATATTTTTTCATAACCAAATAGCAATCGCTGGTGGCCCACCCCATGAGGTTTTGAATTGTCGCTGGTCTGTTGTCGTAGACCTGTTCTTTTACGTAACCCAAAAGAGGAACATATATGTGGCTAGTATGCCGAGATATATGTGGCTAGTAACGATCAGTTCTTTAAGACTAGCGCATGCCATTTAAATCCGATATACTTTTTGTTACTCGATATCCAATCTTATCGTTCAGTGACACCGCCGGAGCATAAATCTAACCAAACAGTCACACGTTGAAGATTGAGAAACTTCTCAATAATAACTTTTGTGTTTTAGTTATTTTCACGCGTTTGAAAGGCCCAACCTGGAAAAGCACTCTTTAGCAGAAGGTGCGTTCTTCTGCTCGATCATCGTGGCTTACCTTTTTATCCGTCTCTGCTCTGGAGCTTCTGTTCCTTCAATAACACCTTTTCAGATTAACAAAAGCTTCCCGTTGTCGCCTCGACAAGTTTCAAGTTTCACAGCTGTTCTATGAGTGGGGATCCTGCTTATCGGAATTTTCCTTAAAGTTTGGCTGAGATACATTCTTTGGAAATTCCTTCCCGGTTCCATAGTCACTTTTTGTGGCTACCTTCTTGTCCAGTTGCGTCACCATCCCCGCCGTAGCAATGGGTAGTGATGATAAGGCCTCAGATGAGCTCGATAGATCCGCTTTAAAGGGTTTTGAGGCAGAATTCGGCTTGCTATTCTTCTGGGTCCCGCTGTACGGTAGACGTTGAAGTAGCCGTAACTTCTTTTGACTTGTTTGTTGGCATTCTCGGTTCTGCAGCCTTCTTAGAATACTGCTTCGGCATTGTCTTTTTCGGTAGTTCCTCTTGAACTTCCTTCCCGATTCGGGAGCCTTAGTATCCTTATTTAGAAGACTGCCCTTTTTTCGATACCACCCTCAATCGTCGCCCCTTTTTTTGGATCTGTTCTGTAAGCAGGGATCTCCCTTAAAGTTGTGCTGGAATAGTTTCTTTTCAAATTCCTTCCCGATTCGAGAGCTTTATAACCTTTTTAAAAGACTGCTTACCTCATGTTTCTTCGATAATACCACCTTTCCAGATGAACAGGAGCATTCAGAAGTTCCCTTAAAGTTGCTCTGGGATAATTCCTCTTGAGCTTCCATTTCGATTTGGGAGCCTTAGTAGACTTTTTTAGAAGACTGCTATTTTTTCGATACCACCTTTTCAGATGAACAGGAGCTTTCTACAGCCGTCGCCCTTTTTGGGCCCCCGACAGGTTTTACTCCTGTTCATAAGTGAGGATTATGGGAAGTTCCTTATGTTGCGCTGAAATTGTTCCTCCCTGCTTAGCTCATCTTTCTTCGATAATACCACATTTCCAGATGAACTGGAGCATTCAAAAATTCACTTAATGTTGCTCTGGGATAATTCCTCTTGAGCTTCCATCCCGATTTGGGTGCCTTAGTAGACTTTTTTAGAAGACTGCTGTTTTTTCGATACCACCTTTCCAGAGGAACAGGAGCTTTCTACAGCCGTCGCCCTTTTTGGGCCCCGACAGGTTTTACTCCTGTTCTATAAGTGAGGATTATGGGAAGTTCCTTTTGTTGCGCTAGGTCCTCCCGAACTTTCCAACAATCTTCAAGTTCATCCTGATAATAAGCTGTATCTCATAGTTGGGATGGATCTGCAGCAACTTATCGGACTATAGTCGTCCGTTGTTCCTTGCCTCTTTGTATGTGGGCCAGTTTACCATCAGTGGCGGTGTCGCTCTGTTTTCCTTCTGCCTCAAGCGCCTTCTTCCTAGACAGCTTAGCTTCATCTAGGGGTCACCCCTTGCCTGGAGGTCGAGTCATGGATTACCGTAGTAAACATTCATTGTTCGGCAGTAGTAAACATTCATACATTCTATATTCCATAAGAAGTTGATGGTCTTTAAAACAGAGTTAGCCCATGTGGACTATTTATTTAGCAAAAGTCTTTTCGGTAATTGTTTTGAAGCTACCGCTTGTAGTCCTACTTTTTCTTTATTCCCAGATATAAATTGCCAAGACTCGTTTATAGCATTTATCAAGACTTTTTGATTAATATTTTTATTTATTTATTTATTTTTTTTTTTCAAGATATGCAAACTCTTTTGATTTCGGATGATGATGAGCAATCCGTAGTCGGTGATGTTGTTGAACGAACTGTTGCCGAAGTTGACGATAGCGCAGGTAAGGTTTTCTCATACCTCGCGACATCATTACAGGATATAAATATAATCATTCTTTTATTTTATTACAGATACTAAAACACCAATAAAGAAAAAATCGGTAAAAATAGCTGCTGATGTAAATAGCCCCCGAACACCGGCTATGGCGGGAATGCGTGAATTGCTCAAGACGCCTAAACCAGAACAGGATACACCAACCTTTAGAGGTTTACGTCATTTGGTGCGAACACCAAAATCAAAACCCGAAGAGACGGAGGAAGAAGAGCAAGAAAAGTTGCAAAATATACAGGAATTAGTTAAGACACCACTAAGTGAAAAGGCAAATAATGTTACTGACGAAGAAGATGATGTTGTGGAGATTCCAGAGAATGAAGAAGAAATGAAAAATTATCAAGGTGTGAAGGAATTACTTAAAACACCCAAAACATGTAGCACGCCACGTTTTAAGGGTATGCGTGAATTAATGCAGACGCCCAAAGTGAGTACAACCCCAGTTTTGGGTGGAGTAAAGGAACTTCTGGAGACTCCTAAACAAGGTATGGCCGCAGAAGAAGATGAAGAGGTGCCTAACTCTTCAACTGTTAACAAGGAGCAGGAGGACGAAAATATAGAGGTCGCTACTCCCACTACACAGATTAACAAGGATCAAGAGGGAGAGGACAAGGATTTACAAACAAAAGGTGTAAGAAAATTACTGAAAACACAAAAACCCTTGGGTACCCCGCAACTGAAAGGCATGCGTGAACTTATGCAAACACCAAAAGCACCTGGAACGCCTGCGCTGGCAGGTGTAAAAGAACTTTTGGAAACACCCCAAGGAGCAGAGCTTCCTACGAAACGGGTTAGTGAAGAAGATGAAAATGCACCCGAATCCTATGAAACTCCACGATTTAAGGGTATGCGAGAGCTTATGCAAACACCTAAAGCTAGTGCCACCCCTCTATTAGGTGGCATTAAGGAATTAATGGATACACCCACAGTAGAATCATCGCAGCAAGAAATTGTTGTAGCTACAGCCATGTCGTCCACTGGCGATGTGGAGCAGGAGGATCAGGACATCGATGTAAGAGGGGTTAAGGAGTTGTTGAAGACTCCTAAAACATCAGCAACTCCACGTTTCAAAGGTATGCGAGAACTTATGCAAACTCCCAAGATTTGCACCACTCCAGCTCTGGGTGGTGTGAAAGAACTCTTGGACACAACAGAACAGGAACAACAATCAATAAGGGAAGAAGAAGCTGAGGCAGAAATTGATAACGAAGTTCCCAGTACATCACCTGCCAAAAATGAAACTGTTTCAAATGATCTTAAAGGTGTTAAGGAATTGTTGAACACCCCCAAGACCTGTAGTACACCACGTTTTAAGGGTGTGCGTGAACTTATGCAAACTCCCAAACAGGCAACAACACCAGCTTTGGGTGGTGTGAAAGAACTTTTAGAAGAAAAAGACGAAGAACAGGAGGAAAATAATTCAGCTACAACTTCATCTGCTGCCGAAAATGCTGGCCAAGAACTGAGAGGAGTTAAAGAGCTGCTGAATACCCCCAAAAGTTGTAGTACACCACGTTTTAAGGGTATGCGTGAACTAATGAAAACACCCAAAGTCGCCTCCACACCAATTCTTGGTGGTGTCAAAGAAATGATGGATACTCCAAAACCCCAACCGAGCGATAATGTGGATACAAATCTTGATCGATTCCTTAAGACACCAACTGCCAAGAATATAATGATACCAACGACGCCCTCAAGTGCAGTCATCCAAAAGAGTGAAGACTCAGTGGAAATGGTACATTCCACGGAATATGATTTGAATGCTACACTCAATGATGAGACGGGCTCTGGCAATTTGGAACAGTTGTTTAAAACCCCAGTGGTGTCACGTTTCGGCAAACGTATAACAGACTCATTTGGCGAAGTGGATGAAGTTGTCGGCACCGAGTCGGAAGAAAATCAGGAAATAAATGAAATTTCCAATATCCAAACTCCTGTGGCAAAGAGTTTGCCAAGAAAATCGCTGTTACTTAAAACACCCAATGTACAATCACCCTTTACTGCGGCTGATGTTTTGTCGGATCTATCTAAAACGGAGGTTGAAGAGTGGGCAGATCAAGTTGATCCTTTACAACAGACTCTAGGCTCCGAAATAGATGCAGATGACAATGATGATGTCCATGAACTCACTGATACAAGGGCGGAAGATCTCAATGAATCCGTTGTAGAACTGGATGATGATTCGGTGTGTGTGGTGCCTGAAACCTGTACAAAATCTGAAACCATGGCAAATAAATCTGAAGCAATGATAAATTTAAGTTCTGTGGCCCTAACCTCTTCCAAGGATCCTTTGTCAACAACAGCTTCAAAACTTGTGCAAAGTGAAAAACGTCCTCGCACACCAATCATTGATGCTGCGGAGGCTGATATCAGTGGCATCAATTTGCTCGATCAAACTGGTGAATCGGCCTTGGATGGTTCTCTGGTTGTTAGCGATGATGACAATGATGAAGCTGAAGTTGCAAATAAGACTCTACAAGATTCTCCAAGGGCTGTAAATGAAGCCGAAAAGGAAGAAGAGGATGAAGAAGTCAAGGATGTAAATAGAACATTGAAAACCACGTTATGTGAAGAGGGTAATGAGCTGTCCGAATCATTATTGATCAGCAGTGACAGTGAGGAGAATGAGAAGGATACAGATGAAAATTTGGAAACACAAGATGGAAACGAAGAATTTTTGGAAAAGGAGAAAGTTTCAGAAAAACCCGAGAGCACTGAAATCTGCAATGATATTGAGGTTGTTGCAGGAAAGGTGGAAGATTCGGACAAACCTGAGAGCTCTGAAATCCACAATGATATTGAGGCTGTAACAGAAAACAAAGAAGGCCCTTGCGAAATAGTGGAAGTTCATGAAGATGAGATTGCGGAAGTTGCCGAAAAGGATGAAAAAGAAGTGTCAGCGAATGAAAATTCCAATGAAACGGACAAAACTGTGAACGTGCCAAGTGAATCTGATGTCGTGGTCCCAAGGAAGAGTATAGCAAAAACTCCAAGCATAGAATGTGAAGATATCTTTTTGGATGATTCTATTGATGAAGAGGTTAGCAGTTCTTTAGTCCAAGTGGAAAGTGTTCTTGAAATTGATACGACAGATAAAAGCCAAGCAATAAATAGCAACCAAGAGACAGAAATAAACGCACCAAGCGAAGAAATTCCGAATAAGGAAAAAGGAAATGACCTAGAAAAAGAACCAAATAAACATGAGAATTCTGAAGAAGCAGAGAAAACGAAGCAGCCTTCTAATTCTGAACTCATCGAAAAATCTGCCGAGAAAGAATCTCCTCAAAGCAATAAATCCAATGTTTCCGTAAAAGAAAATGAAGATATTTTCATGGATGACTCCATTAATGATGTTTCTGAACAAGACATTGAAAGTCATGTGGAATCATCATCTGATGTGGCTCATGAGCTGGAGAGTAGAAACGTGGAATCATCTACAAAGTCAGCTGAAGAAGATTCCCAAAGGGCAGAAATTTCATCAACATCAGCTGAGATAAATGAACTTGAAACCTCTACTGTGGACGATCAAGCTTCAGCCGAAGAAGACCCGGCGAGTAATACAGACAAACTGGAGGAAATATCTGATGTGGTGGCTTCCAATGAAATTACAAGCTCAGAAGTGTCACCATCAATTGAAAAACCCATTGATGAAACAAGTGAGCCTGTAACACAGCCAGAAGAAATTTCTCTTTTGTCGGAAGAAGAGAAAGCAGAAGAAGTAGAAGAAAAATTCCCAGAAACATCAGAAACTTCCAATTTGCCTGAAGCGAAGAAAGAAGTTGAAAATATTGCCAAAGATTCAGAATTGGTTCCAGAATCTGCAGAAACATTGGAGGAAAAATCTGAGACCTCCATAAGGCAGGATTCAGCTCCCGATGGAGAGGCTGAGCAATTGAATGAAGCCGAAGAAGAGCAGAAAACTACAACATCAGATACTGAAGTTCTTTCAGAATCTTTGAGGGCTGAGCCAGAACAGTTGCAAGAAACCGAAAAAGAAAAACCAGATGATACATCAGATATTTCGGAACCTTTGAGAGCGGATAAAGCTGAGACAGAAGAAAATGAAAGGGAAAATTCCTCAATCCAAATTGCTGAAAGCCCAGAATGTACAGAAGTTATTGATTCCTCGGTAAATACAGCGTCTGTATTAGAACTTGATGAAGCCATTGGCAACGTTGAAGAAGATGAACGGAAAACGGAATCTGAAAATGTTGTCTCTACATCAACTGAAGAAGCTGCTGAGGCAGAGGCAGAACAAACTGCCGGCAAGGATAATGTTGTGGAAGCTGAATCTGAAGATTTGGTATCTACGTCCATTAAGGAATCCACTGATGAAGTTTCAACCACAGAAATTGCAGAGATAAAGAAACAGGAAAGTATTGTGCCTGAAAATGACCACATAGTTCCGAATTCCGAAAAATCAGGTGCTTCCGGGCCGGAAGGTTTTGAAAAGAGCCATAATGAAGCTGATGATATTTCTAAAGAATCTGAAGAAAATCTTAAAGTTTCGGAAGATAAGATTTGCGAAGTTGAAAAGGAAACATCTGAAATTTCTAGCCCATCTCCCGCCGAAGAAGAATCTGAATTGCAGTTGAAAAAGTCAGCTGCTGATGTTTCTAAATCTCAGGAGACAATTGAAACCGATGAGTCTAAATCTGTAGAACCTCAACCTGCTGATGACGAATCAATTTCAAAACAAATTGATGAGCAATCAGAATTTCTTCCCCAAGAAGAGGGTGATGCTCAAGAAACCATATCTGAGGATGTCAAACCCGTAGAAATTGAAGAAATTTCCATAGAATCTGAAGAGCAAGAGAACTTTACAGCGGAAACAACACCTCAAGGCCAAGATACAAACGAAATTGCCAATGAGCCAGATGTATCTACACAATCTGAGGAGAAACAGGAGACCACTGCAGATGCTATTCAAACTGATGCCACTGAGACGAGACCTGAAGAAGAATCCCAACCTACAGAGGCGGAGGTTATGTCTGAAAAAGCTGAGGAGGTGGCTCAAACTGCAACTCAGTCTGAAGCTGCAGAACTCCCAGGTGTTATTCTCAACGAGAATGTATCCCAGGAACTGCCAGAAGCAGCAGATAAGGAACAACCAGACGTAACTGTAGAATGTTCTGTAACCCAAACGGTATCATCATCCGATGCTGCCATGGAAAAGGCCTCTTCTTCCGAATCTACTGAACACCAACAAGAGACGGTGAAAACTTATGATATTGAGGTTACAATTAAAGATAAGCCTGAAACTGTGGAAAAGCCGCAAGAAATTGCAGATCATGTAGAGCATGACACACCTAAACCTAGAAAACGTGCAGGACGCTCGCGTAAAGGTTCCCAGTCTAGTGTGTGTTCGAATGATGATGTCTCTGAGCTGCCGGCAAAAACTAACCGAACACGTAAAAATTCAAAAACCGAGGAGGTGGCATCCAAGAGTGGAACACAAGTTGTTGGAGAACTACCCCCTGTTGTGGAAATCGTTGAAGAAGTTTCTGATAATAAGGAGCAGCTTAAAGAAGAAGCTCTAAGTAAAAAAGATATTCTCAATGAGGAAACCTCACAACAGCCTCAAAGCGAAGTAGAACCTAGTAGGTCTTCCCAAGAGCAACAAGATCAGCTGGAGAAAATTGCGGAAGAATCTAGAAAAGAGAAAGAAATTCCATATACTACTCCAAAAGAAGATGAAGATGAGAAAGTGGGTGCCTCGGAAGAACTTGAAGGTGCTCCTGAAACAGTACAGGAAGAGAAATATGCAAATGAAGAAGAAAAGCAAAAGGAAACGGAATCAGAAAAAGAACATCACAATGAGGCCCCAACAACAGAGGATGTTGTGGAAAATCCGGAAGAAAAAGAAACTCAACAGCCGAAAAAGTGTACCAAACGTACACAGAGTCGAAAAGCCAGCTCGGATTCTGTACATTCCGAAGATGGTGGAAGTTCGAAACGAAGAATTGGTGGTCAACGTAAACGTGGTCATCTTGAAAAGTGCGACGAAGAAACGGATGAAACTTCGGAGCCCACAAACAAACGTAGCAATCGTTTAGCACATGAAAAAGAAGAAGTACCAACCGTTGAAATTTCGGAGGAACATCAAACGACAAAATCTAAACGAGGTCGTAGAAAGGCTAGTCAAGATTCTCAACACAGTGATGAGGTTGAAACTTCCCGAAACCAAGATGCCAACAGTGCATTGGATAAAATCACTGAGGTTGAAGTTTCTTCATCTTTCCACGATCACGAAGAGAAATCTTCTGCTACCAATGAACATGTTTCCGAGGAAGTAGAAAAGATTGCCGAAGAAGAAAAGTCTCAGGCTCTTTTGACTTTCGACAGCAATGACAAGGAATTGAAAACAACAGAAGACTTAGAAATGAAACATGAAACTGTAAACCAATCAGAAGTTCTGCCAGAGAATACTGAGAATAATTTGGAGAAAATTGAAGATGTTGTTAGGACTGAAAGTGGTCCGGTAGAGATCGAGACAGCAGTTTCCAGTGGAGAAGAAAAAATTCCAACCACTCAAGCCCCCGACGCTGTTCAAGAAATGGAAACGGAAAGTTCCGAACCATTATCCACAGAGAATAAGGACGAAACTACAGAAGAACCCAAAATGACAACAAGCAAGCGTACCCGTCGAAAGGCTAGTCAGGATAAAAAGGAAACAAAGGTAGAACCGATATCAGCTATGGACACAATTGAGGAGATCAAATCAACGGCAGAGACAGTAGAGGAGGAGAAAGTTGAACATAGAGAAGTTCCTAAACCGGTGGGTAGACGAGGCGGTCGTAAGGCCAGTCGTGATACGCACGATGCAAAGGTGGAAAAGAAAACCGATGGCACAACGATTTTGGATAAAATTGAGGAGATTCCAACAACTACTGCGGATATTAGAGAAACTGATGTGGTAGTTGCAACTTCCCAGGAAACCATCAAAGTATCTGAAAAGGAACTATCAGCAACTCAAAAAGATAATGAAAAAATTGAGCCCAGTCAAGATACTCAAGAAGAGGCGAAATCCTCTGATACACCTACGAATTTGGTTGCCATTGAGGATAAGGTATCTACATCAGAAATCTCGGCCGAGAAAAAAGAAGAATCTGTAGAAGAAACAAAAGTGCAAACCAAGACTGTTGTTAAACGTGGTCGACGAAAGCCTAGCCAGGATACTCAACATCAAAAGGTTGACACCAAATCCGATTCCACACCCGTCGATTTGGAAGTAATCGAGGAAATATCAACACCAGCCGAGACTGGAAATACCGAAAAACTTTCAACCCACAAAGCAGAACAAGAACCACCTGCTGAATCATTGGAATCCTCGAAACCTGTAGAAGGCAAGCGAAGTCGCCGTAAGCCAAGTCAAGACACGGAACATTCAAAATCAGACATTAAAACGAATGTCACCAAAGATTTGGCCACAATTGAAGAAACATCCGGAATTAAAGATGATATGCCTCAAGAAATACACAAGGAAGCACAACCGGCTGAAAAAGTGGACGAAAAAGAAATATCCAAGGGAACTGATGAACAAACTTCGGAAACTCAACGTGGTACTAAACGTAGAGGCCGCAAGGCAAGTCAGGAAACACAGCATTCCAAAACGGTACCGAGTACTGATACTGCAATGAATTTGGATAAAATTGCGGAACATCCAACCACTGAGGCTGAAGAGAAAATTGAAACCGAAACTGCGGAACACTCACACGCCAAACATGCCGTGAATAAGCGCAGTCATCGCAAAGTCAGTACCGAAGAGACCCATGATGCTGCAGAGCCACCCGCCGAAAAGCCACAAATCGAAGGAAAAGACGTCGCTGACATATCAGAAGAAACTAAAGTAGAAGATGACCACCAAAAGGATATTAAAAAGGAAGCTGGTAGCAAACGTACTCGAAGAAAAGCTAGCCAGGACGTATCGGAAGCTCCTACCACATCCTCTCGAAGACATCATCGTGCAAAGCATGAAGAAGTTGTCATACCGGAAGAAAGTGCTATTCAACCGAGCGAAGATGGAACTAAACAGGCAACAGCAGTGGAAGCTGGACAAGAGGAAACAACCGAGTCCGTTGCGAAAGCCACAACAGTTGCTGCTACTAAACGTTCACGCCGCAATGTTGAACTTGAAGATGTAAGTACTCCACCTGTACGAAAGGCCACCCGTCGAAAAGTTCATGAAACAGTGACTGAACTTGAAGAACAGAAAGAGGAAGCCACGTCAACTGGAACAGAAGCAGAAGAAAAGGCCACCGAAACAGTGCCAGAATCGGAGCAAAATGATGAGGAAACAACTAAACGAAGCCATCGTAAAGATCCACATCATCATGAGGTTGAAAAGGCTGCTGCTGTTCATAGCACAAGAGGTGGTCGGCGTAAAGCTCCAGTGGCTGAGGTACCAGAGGAAAAACATATTGATCAAGAAGAAGTGCCATCAAAACAAGAAGAACAACATATCAAAGAATCTTCTCACGAACTTCATGAAGATGCTGCGGTGCATTCGGCGAGAGCAACTGGTGGTCGTCGCAAGGGAAAGAATGCTGCACATGAGAAAGAAACGAAAACTAAAGAAGGTGATACAACAGATGTGGTAGAGAACCAAGAACAAGAAGCGACTGCAGAACACCCACGTAAAGCAGCTGCTGGTGGGCGCCGTAGGGGAAAGAACGCAGAGGCTCATGGAGAAGTTTCTAAAGAAACAGAATCGAAAGAAGCTGATACCGCAGTGGTTGTGGAATCACATGAACATTATGAAGACAATTTAGAACATCCTCGAAGAGGGGGAGCTGGTCGTCGAAAAGGTAAGAATGTCGTTGCGCATGAGGAAATTCCAGCGGAGTCAAATGAAGTTGATACTGTCAAGGACGATAGTGAAGAACCTACTCATGAAGATTATTCCCGAAAACCATCTGCTGGCGGTCGTCGTAAAGGCAAACATGCCACTCATCAGGAGGAGGTTTCAAATGAAACGGAATCAAAAGAAGATGATAAAGCCGAGGGCGAGACTGAAAAACCCGACCATGACCATGAAGATCATCCCGATCATCCTCGAAGAGGAGCAGGGGGTCGTCGTGGAGGCAAACATGTCATGTCCAAAGACGAGCACAAAACCGAGGTCAATGATGACAATGAGAACAACTCAGAACTTCCTAAAAGAGGAGGAGGTCGTCGTAGAGGAAAACATACAGCTGATCATGAAGACATTTCCACTGAAATTCATCCTCAAGAAGACGGCAAACCTGAAACGACAGCGGTGGATAGTTCTGAAAAAGTCTCCACAGCTGAACATCATAAACCTGGAGATACTAATCTTAGGCCAACGAAGAGGGGAGGACGTCATGCTAAGAATGATCATCACGATGATGATAAGGCCGTTGAGGATGTTCCTAAAGATCATCACGTAGAAGATGAAGAAGGACTTCCAGCAACGTCATCTAAACGGACAGCAAAGCGCCATCACGTTTCTGCCGAGGTCGAAGAACCAGCTAAGCATCATCCAAGGCAACGACATCATGGAGAAGAACAACATACCCATGAAGAAACTAATGAAAATGATGCTGAAATTAAGGGTGCTGATGATGAAAATATTCCTAAAGCCAAGGCTACAAGACGTAAAGGAGCTGTTCATCATGAGGATGATACAAGTGTCATAAAACCCAAAAGAGGTCGTAGGGCACATGAAGAGCAACCACAGGAAGAGGTGCAACACGAAACAGAAAAGGAAGAGGAACACAATAAAAGTCTGGAGAAAGAAAAGCCAACTCGTGGTACCCGTAGAGGACGTGGCAAAGATCATCATGAGGATCATGAAGAGGATGCTGGAGAACATGAGCCGGATCATAGTACCAGGCGAAAGGCTCCTCTGCATGGCAGAAGACGTCGTGCCACACACGAACAGGTTGATGAAGGTGTGGAACACCCAGAAGTACAACAACAGGACAAGCCACACGAAGAAGTGCACGAGGAGGAGGATGTAACGAAAAAGGGGCGTGGCCGTAGAAGGCCAGCAGCGGCTTCTCATCCCCCTGAGGCATCTCACGAAGAGGAAGCTCACGTGGCCACAAAATCAAAAACAACTCGTCGACGAAAAGAGTCGCATACCGACGTTGAAGAACTTCCAACTCCTACACCTCCTCAATCCGTCGATACTCCCCAAACGCCTCAACGCTTGACAGAAGCATCAACTGAAACGCAGACTCCTGATTCAGAAAAACGTGCCCGCAATGTTCCCCAACGTAAGGCGGCCACCTTGCATCACAGCTATGATGAAACTTCCGACTCCGAGGTACACGAAAAGAAAAAGAAGAAAACCGAAACTTCGCCTCGTAAAGAGTCCGGCAAACAAGTTGATCCGGTAAAATCATCGGAATCATCATCAGATCAATCACCTGGCAGCCTTTTAACGGCCCGAGGACGTACCCGTAAACCCACCGCCAGAGTACAACAATTTTTGGAAGAAGAAAGACTCAAGGCTGAATCTCCCAAGAAGCGTGGTGCCCAGCCTGCTGCCGAAGTACCAACCAAACGGCAGCCAGCTAAACGAGGTGCGAGTAAAACGGCAACCCCCCTTTTGGAGAGCGAGCATCCAGAGACACCAGAACCCAGTAAACGCATTAGAGGTGCCAAACATTCACAGGAAACAGCCGCGACAATAGAGACGGAGAGTCATGAGCAAACTGATACTCAACCTGAACCTGAAATTACTTCTCCATCTCCTGCCACTAGCACGACTGCAACGGCTTCTAGAGCTCGCAAGGGCACACGAAAAGCAAAAGCAGAACATGAAGATGTGAGCGAAGAACCACCTGCCAAAAAATCTCCTCAAATACTGGAGGCAGAGAAAAAACAAATCGAACCTCCCGAAGAGTCATCATCAACACCTGCCAGAACAACGGGTCGTCGTAATGCTGCTGCAGCAGCAAAAGTACGGATGGAAGAAGGTGAGTTGGCGGCCACAGCACTCGATAAAGTTCTTAAAAAAGCTCGAGCGAAAAGTACACCAGTAAAAGCTGTTCCAAAACAGCAGCCGGCTCCTGCTGTGGAAATGGTTGAAACTCCATCGGCGGCAGAACACAATGAAGCTAACAAAGATGAACATCTTGAACATAAAACCACATCCAAAAGGGGTGGAGCAGCCGCAGCACGTAAAGCAGCAGCGGCGGGAGCTGCTGAGGCAACAGATTCACCAGCCGTGCCTGTCAAACGTGGCCGCAAGGCCGCCAAGGACAACACAGCAGCGGCAGCGGCCGATGAGGTGCAAGTCCTGGATGCCACGGCCGAAGAAGCTCCAAAACCCACAACCAGCCGAGCCAGAGGTCGTAAACAAACTGCCACGCCCGCTGTTGCAAGTGAAGAACCGGCGACAGAGCCCCAAGAAAATGCTGCCGAAGAACAAAAGCCAGCGACGACAAAACGCGCAACGAGAGTTCGTCGTATATAACTTAATACATTTTAGAAACTTAGCTACTATATTGATAGGATAAGGTTCTTTTTAAAGATAATTTAAACGATTTTTTTTTATGAAAATTTGAAAAACGATGTTATTCGAGAAAAGACAACAATTTGGAATTGGACTTTATTTTGGTTTTTAATTCATCAACTGTGAAAGAGACCCGGCCTCCTTTTTCAGAAAATTTGTTGCCGCTGCTTAACTGGATGTTACTTTATTTGGTATTTGTTCATTTTTTTATTACTACTATTTATTATTTTTTCGTATTTCTTATGCAAATATTAATGGCTTTTAGCCATACTTGTTCTTTTCTTCTTTTAATGTTATCATCTTCTACTCGTCATGGAAAAATTTCAAAAGTAATTTTTTTTCGAAAAATTGTTCCATTATTTACAACTACATATTTAAAGAAAAACAAGAAGTAGTTTTTTGTTTTTTTATATCTTCTTTTCGTAGCTTATAAATATTAGTGTTTACTTTAATGTAACTCTTTGGAAACATATTAAACATATATATAAAAAAATAAAATAAATGTAAAGAATACTTTAATATAAATCAAGTTTTTGGTGCTGTCTAATGAGTTGGTGGGGTGGTGGGGGCTCCGAATGATCCTGGTCCGAGCCGGACTGGAGACGAACCTCGGACCATGGTTTTACTCCTTCTGTCATAACCGTATCCCAAATATATCGAACTCGGTGATATGCAACGGATGCAAGTAGTTGCACTTCTGGAATTGTTCCGGCTTAAACCGAGTACAGGAGTATAGCGAACGGAGTACATGGCTTCCTGTTGTAGACCCCAGCGAGACTTCGTCGTCCACGTCTTCATCGTAGTCGCCGCAGTACAACGCTGCAATCCTAGAGACGAAGCTAAGCTACAGATCTCAATGCCCATCATAAATTATAACATTTCGTCCTAGGTAATGACCAGAGGGGCTGAGCAAATCAATAATTCCACATTTGCACATTGGCTGCCACCGGATATTTTCGTTATGTCATTAGGTCTGAAGAATGATATTGCAAGGTTATGTCATTTCTCTAGTCTCAGACCCCCTCACCTCTTGACTTCATAAACTCTAAATGCCGCTCTTTCCTTAACCATGGTGATGTTCGTTCAGGTAGATGATAGGTGTTTCCGGGGCATCGTCAAAGCTGCTGCCGCTCGCTACATACAGGGTGAGATGAAAAAACTGCAACCAACTTCAGACTACTGTCATTTCTAAGCCACTCCTTCCAGTTACAGCTCATTATATTGTTCACAAGCGTACAAAACATTTTTGTGAGAACTTTCCAGAAAAAAAGTTATTCGTGATGGAATTCAAGCGTGATAGTGTGATTTCTTTATATTTGGCTGGAAAACCACAAGTGGCTATCATTAGAGCACTCTAGCATTTAAATGTGAATAAATCTTTTGTGTCTCGTACCATCGCTCGTTAGCGTGATACTGCAGGCGTAGCCCGACGTCATGGAAGTGGAAGAGAACAGCATAAGCAGAGATGGTTCGTAAAGTAAAGAAACGACTTGATCGAAACCCGCGTCGCAGTGGCCGAAAAATGGCTCGTGAGCTGAACATATCGCAATATTCCATTCGGCAAATATTGAAAAATTAGCTCGGGGTAAAGCCATTGAAATTCCGAAAAGTATAAGAACTTACTTCGCAACAGAAAGAACATAAAATAGACTCAAAAGAGCTAAGAGTTGGTTCGCTTGGACGAAAATGGTGAATTGCCAAATTTGATTTTCTCCGATAAAAACATTCGTTGTCCAGCAGTTTTTAAACAGACAAAATGATCGTGTTTACTTGCCAAAGAGGTCAGCTGAAAATGTGCACCTTCGGTTGACCGCCAGAACTCAAGCGCCGGCCATTGCGATGGTGTGGTCCGCCATAACAGCCGATGGTCGCTCTCTGCTCTGTATTAAACGACCGTGGCATCAGAATAAATGCCGAATATTATCGCGAAAGTATTCTGGAGGGTGTATTAAAGCCTTGGGCACGCAAATATTTTGACCGCAGACCTTGAACGTTCTAACAGGACTCAGCACGCGTCATCCAAAATGAGGTTCCTCGTTTCATTTGCTGCGGAATGGGCAAAAATACTGCAGAGCAAAATTCGGGCAGCGTGTGACGGTTCATTGGCCGTTTGAAGGCCGTAATTCGTGCCAAAGGTGACCAATTCGAAGAAATCTAAACTTATTCTAAAAGTCGTTCAATAAAATTAAAAAAAAAAAATTAAAAATTTTGGCATTTTACTTTGTTGCAGTTTTTTATCTAACCCTGTACATAAGGATTCGAAGGTCTTACCGATGCAGCAGCATAATAAAATGCTGTCGTTGCAATATTTGCATGAACGTTGTATACAGAGCCTTCGTCCACGCTTATAAGGAAAGGCCTTCATGATCTAGAGAGGAAAGTAAAAGTTATAGATTAGCTGTTTATCAAGCCGGATGATTGACGTGGAGGTAAAATACAAAAATATCTAAAAAGCCATTAGACCGGGCTCCCAATGCCGCCTTCGTCCCTACAGATAAGCCAGCAAACGGATAGAGCTAGAATACCAAAATTTGAAATGAGGATCGTTAAGGGTGTTGTAGAATATATGTACGTACCAAAGGTTTTTTGAAAATTCGAACTGAAAGGGTGCTTAAAAAGGGAACTAAATTTGGTAACATTTGGTATTATTTAAAAAAATCCTGAAATTTGGCATAAAAACTATGTTTGGAAAGTCGGCTTACTATAAAGAGGTGGTTTTGGGTAAATGGTTAAAGATTGAAATTTAGTATAAGGGTTATTTTAGTATGAACTGGACTCAATTGTACTGATTTTGGCATGGTGTTTGGAAACAAAACTGGAATTATTAATTTTGATATTGAGAACCCTGTGAGTGTATAGTGTTCAGATAGGGAGGTGAATTTGGAAATGCATGCTATAAACTATTGCACTGGAAGAGTTCAACAAGGTCCCTGTATGCACCCCAATTTCCAATTTGTAGATTGTGTGTACAAAAATCCCAATCCTATTAAAATCTCGACACGGATCGAATATAAATAAAAGACACTTCTCTTAGAAACTACAGTATTTTTTATTGTTTTCTGTTTATTTGCTGGATCATTTTTTGGTATAATTTAATACAGTAAGGGAGGAGTATTTTCTTTTTAGAAAGTCTTTTAAGAAATTCTAAGTATTCGTTTCGACTTTGTATTTGTATCTGATGTTGTTGTTGCTGTTTTTATTCTTTTGTATAAAAAAATAAAAATTACGTTTACACTCTACGATACTTATAGGTTATACACAAAAAGTATATATTTCTTTTCATTTGTCTTGCTTCTGTTTACAACAAAATTGTTTGTTTGTTTTTCTTGATTTTTTTTTGTAAAAAAAAATAATTAATTTTTAAGAATCGAAATAAATTAAGACGAACAAAATTTGTGCAATTTATACTTACAAAATTGAGCGTGATTATGATGATGAAGATACATAAGACATTTACAAATTATATTTTGTATGTGAATAATAAAAACAAATTAAAAAAAGCGTAACAGAATAATAATAATAACAAAAAAATATTATTATTTTTTAAAAATAAAAAAAAAACATAATTAAATTAATGGCAAAAAATAATAATAAATATAAATATAGCATCCATAATAAATTATGTTTTATAATAGCATTGAGGAAGAGCTAAACAATAATAAAAAAATAAAAGCTTATTTGGAGAAATACAAGCCAAGGTATTTCTATGCAGTATTCATTGTTTTTTTTTTCTTGTTTGATATACATAATACTATAAATAAATATGTATGAGAGAGAGAGAGGATATATAGTTGCATATTCATATTTGAAATGTTTCTCAAGAGAGGAAGATGTTGTCCAGTGTTTCATGGGGATTGAAAATCCCTTCCAAAAATATTTGAAATTACATTGGATTCTTTCATATTTTTTGTTTTCTCAGGATATTTTTAACTGGCCAAATTCTGAATCTACTGCAAAATTGTTGAGGTCTTTGGCGATTTTATATTTTTTCTTTGCAGTTTGGATTCAATATTTTGAGAAACACACACACATTAAATGATGGAATATACAAACATTTATGTAATGTAATCTATGATAATGCCTTTTTTTGTTTTAAAAATTGGAAAACGTTCAACCAATCGCTTCGTTTCGATTTCGAATTGTCCATTGTCTCGTTTTCTCCATTTTTATAATCTAGGCGACTATGAAAGGAGATTGATACATTTGGTTTTTGACTTGATTAAATGTTTGTGATTAAAAGATGATTGGCGATGATGACGATGATGATAAAATAATATCATTTGTGATGTTTACATTAAAAAAACACATGGATAAAAGATGCATTGCAAAAAATGCCTATAAAGTTGACTTTTTGAACTTAGAGAGAGAAGAATGATGCTGTGACCATGATCATATATTTATGAAAGCTCCCGCTTGGTTTTTTAGGCTTTCATCAATAGATGCGGCTCAGATCGCAGGGAATCGGTTAAATATTGTGTCTTCATCGTTTTTTGGAAATAACGTTTTTCATTCGGCGAATTGACATTGTAAACGATGGGCCTTACGCCCACGTTGCGCCACAGTTCAGCAATGTGTCTATCAAAAAGAGACGGGAGAGGAATTGTTAATTTTATAAAAAATAATTAAAATTTATTAACACTTACAGATTGAATTCCTCCTTGGATAGGAAAACTACGCTTATGCCAATTACAGGGGAAATTATATTACGGAAGAAAGCACCATATATTGAGGTAATTAAAGTTGAAGCTTTGAGCAGCGGCAAAGCAAGAGATTTTTCAGTCCACAAACCGCAAATTACATCGGGGTTTACCTTGCGTAACTGTAAAATTATGAAAAAAAAAAAACAACAATTATAAAAAAATATGGGATACAAATTAAATTTTATTATAAATGTAACTTGTAGAAATTTGAAAATTGAAGACATGGACCTGCATGCGCAGTTTTCTGTCACAGGCTGTAGTACCCATTACGAACTTCAAATACGAAATTTGAAACAATTCCGGTGAATAAAGTCGCTGAAATCATAAAAATACCGAAAATCGGGAGGTACCATTACATAGGGGCTATGCAAAGACGTGGACCTGCATACACAGTTTTCTGTCACAGGCTGTAGTACCCATTACGATCTTCAAATACGAAATTTGAAACAATTCCGGTGAATAAAGTCGCTGAAATCATAAAAATACCGAATATCGAGAGATACCATTATATGGGGACTATACGGACACGTGAACTTGCATGCGCAGTTTTCTGTTACAGGCTGTAGTACCCATTACGAACTTCAAATACGAAATTTGAAACAATTCCGGTGAATAAAGTCGCTGAAATCATAAAAATACCGAATATAGGGAGGTATCATTATAGAGGGGCTATGCAAAGACGTGGACCTGCATACGCAGTTTTCTGTCACAGGCTGTAGTACTCATTACGATCTTCAAATACGAAATTTGAAAGAGTTCCGGTGAATAATGTCGCTAAGATCATCAAAATACCGAATATAGGGATTCACCGTTATATGGGGGCCTGCATACGCAGTTTTCTGTCACAGGCTGTAGTATCCATTACGATCTTCAAATATGAAATTTGAAAGAGTTCCGGTGAATAAAGTCGCTGAAATCATAAAAATACCGAATATCGGAAGGTACCATTATATAGGGGCTATACATAAACGTGGACCGTCAAGGCCCATTTACGAACTCAAAAAGCCAAGTGGCAAAATACACATGTGTGTAAAATTTTAACCTTCTATCTCAATTCGTTCGAAAGATAGCCTGATTATAACAGACAGACAGACGGACATCGCCAAATCGTCTTAGAATTTTATGCTGATCAAGAATATATGTATATATACTTTGAGGGATCGAAAAGTTATATTTCGAGGTGTTACAAACGGAATGACAAACTTAATATACCCTCCATACTATAGTGGAGGGTATAAAAATGTAGGACTCGTAATTTTACTGACAAAAAACAAAACAATGTCTAAACGGGATTATGTTAAACCCGAATTCGGTAAAGAGCGAAACAGATCAAAGCTTCAGAATTGTGACTTCGACGTGAAAACACAACCCTGTTAGCACTTGTGGCTGAAAACAGTGTTGTATTTTCTCATTTCGTGTAGCCAAAAATGGCAACATTGTTGCAATTTTACGCAGGAGTCACGATTTGAGCTTTGGTCGAATTTTAAGGCGCTTACAAATTTGGAAGAATACTTTTTGACAAGTCTATTTTCTATCATTGTCAGTTCCCTGGCCGATTCGATGCCCTGAGATTCTGATCTTTAAAAATTAAATATTAAGTCTATCTGATTACTTTATCTGCCATAATTGGAACATTAGATAGGTTTTAAGGATCATGCGGCAAATGTTTCAATTTAATTTAAACTTACCTGATATATAGTTACTGGAGATCTTGTTATAACGATAATTCGTTCTATAAATACAGCATTTATGCTGGCCTTCAATTTTTCAATCATTTGTGAGCTATTATCTGATATGTATAAAAATACGGTTAATCTATTTTCTTCTAAATACTCGAGCAATTCTTGCAGCGTCAAAACATATTCGGCTTCAAAGTGTTTGCTGAAATGAAGAAGAAATTTGTTGGAATTAATTTCAAAATTTAATTTATACAATCCCCAAACACTACTTACCCCATTGGATGTAGTTCGGCAATATTGATTTTCTTCAGCGATTCCAATGTGTGCACCGCTATGCTTCCCGATAGACCAGCCTTTTCCAACGTCAAACGATTGACGATGACAATTTGACCGCATGCCGTCAATCCGGCGTCGACTAGAACATTGCGATATCCTCGGGCGACACACTGTAGAAAAGACAATTAAAGGTGGGCTAGTAATGTTTTTGGTATTGGTTTTCTCTCTAGATATTTTAAATTAATGGGAAACTTTTATTTGTCTTTTAAAGTGGCACGTGACTATATCAGCCCTGTCACACCTAATGATGTCACTAAGCACATAAACGAAGAGGTGGTAGATTAATTTAAATTAAATAAAAAGAAAAAGCTCAAACGTAAAACAAATATTTGCCTTCAAATGACTAAACCAACCACCAATTGGTTCTCGATGGATAATTAGACTAAAGGCGGCATTTTACATAAATGCAAATTTCGTTTGAACACAAAAGGGATTTTCATTTGCATTGTTTCGTGTTCAATCTGCTCGATTTTCATAGTTTCCACATCCAAGAAGGGTTGTGTAAAGTTTGGGGAAATAGAATATGAAATAAGATAGGAAAAACCCGTTTGGAAATCAATTTATGAAACGATATTCTATGAAATTACTCGCCACCTAGTTAAAAACGTTGGGCGCCAATTGTACCTGTAGTGAATCTGTGATTTGTCTATGATAATAATTGCTTATTATACCCTCCACCATAGTATGGACGGTATATTAAGTTTGTCATTCCGTTTATAACAAATATATGTTGTGTCTGCTGGACTTTTTGTATTGAAAATGGGCCATGTAGGTCCACGTTTTGGTAAAGCCCCCATATAACGGTACCTCCCGATATTCAGTATTTTGATGATTTTAGCGAAAATTTTCACCGGAATTGTTTCAAATTTGGTATTTGAAGTTCGTAATGGATACTACAGCCTATGACAGAAAATTGTCTGTGCAGGTCCACGTCTTCGTATAGCCCCATATAAAGGTACCTCCCGATATTCGGTATTTTGATGATTTCAGCTACATTATTAACGATTTTTTAAAGGTTTATAGTCTCTAATTCGAACTTTTGAGCATCTTGTCAACTGGTAGGGGCTAGGCAGCACGAGTTGTTGATCACCAACGCTAATTATACCCTCAACCATATGGCTAGAGAGGGTATATATGATTTGATACGGCCAAAACGTGCATCATCGAAATAAGGTTCACGTTTTAGTATAGCCCAAATATAACATTACCCCCATATACTCGGTATTTTCATGATTTCAGCTACATTATTTACCGGAATTGTTTCAAATCTCGCATTCGAAGTTCCTAATGGGTACTAAAGCCTGTGACAGAAAACTGCGTTTGCAGGTCCACGTGTTCGTATGGGCCCCAACATATAACTGTACCCCCCAAAATTCGGTATTTTTTAAATTTTAACAGAATTTGTAACGGATTTTATTTTTTATACCCTCTACCATATGGCTAGGGAGGATATATATCATTTGATACGGCCAAAATGTGCCCAATCGAAATAACGGTTTTAGAACCTAAGTGTCTTTGCACCAAATTTTTTTCAGGGCATTTGGATTCGATTGAGCGATGTCCTGTCTGTCCAAACTTGGTACATTGTCATATTATTATCAAACATAGATCGAGTTCTGAAAGGGTATATATCATTTGATACGGCCAAAACGTGCCTCTCTCTTTGAACCAAATCAGTTTCAGGACATTTGGAGTCGATCTAGCGATGTCCGTCTATTTGCCTGGCTGGATCGAAAACTCTCGAGGGAAGTATGCGATTTGGTCCAAACTTGTTACGTTGTCATATTATTATCAAACTTAGATCAACTTCGGAGATGGGCAATATCGGCCAACTCCTGTTACCTCCCCCACAAAAGTGCAAAATTTTGACAGAAAAAAATTTGCCTTACAGAACAAGAAAGGATCACCCGATTTTGTTCAAACTTTGAAAATCCCAATATTTGTATCTGTGCCAGGTTAGAGGAGAAAATGCACAATATCGGTTCATTTTATCAAATACCTCCCCCACAAAGGGTCAACATTTGAAGTGGTTATAACACTTATAAAATGTGATGTAAGTGTCCGATTGTCTTCGAATTACACACATCACAATATTTTTAGTAACCCAAGAACTAGTGTGAAGATGGAATACCCTCCCCCACAAAGGGTCACAATTTCCAAAATATCCACGAGAGTCATAAAAAACGAAATTAACATCCAATTCCATTCAGACTCGGCACAACTCAATATTTCCATCAACACAAGATCTGTACTAAAGATGGTTAATATCGGACCATTCCTTCTGATACCTCTCCCTCAAAGGGTCAACATTTTGAATATTCATGAAGCTCATAAAACGTGAAATTTACATCCGATTCCATTCAGACTTGTCACAACTCAATTTTTCCATCAACACAAGATCTGTTACAAATATGGTAGAGATCGGACGATTCCTTCTGGTACCTCCTCCACAAAGGGTCAAAGTCTTAAAGGGTCAGATACGAATTGGTCAATATTGGCCAACTGCTTTCAACAGTTTGAATAATCACAACCTAAGGCTGTTCGAAAATATCTTCATGATCTAGTAGTTACAGAACTGAGTTCTTATGTCAAAGTGTCTATTAGGAAGGATTGAGTAGCATTCATACTCAAGAATTTGAAGAAAATACTGAAGATACTTTAAATATACGGTAATCAACACTCAACTAATAGAATGAAGACGAGTACAGCTGAAAGAGCCTTCATCTGGAGGTAAATCTAAAACGGTGACTGTGATATTTTCTAATACGTTTTATTTCAGAAAATATTTTCTCTATCGCTTTTCTCAAAAAATAAGAATATACATTTTAATAAACGAAGAACACAAATATTTCTTCCTAAGAAGTGGATGGTTTTTTAAAATTGTAGGGTTTCCTCACGATGACGATTAAAATTAACCGGCTTTTGTTGCGACCTCATTAAATGTGTTATCTCTGAACACACCCCTTTGGAATGTACAATGTGTATTCCAATTGGAAACAATCTTAAACGAAACAAGAAAATTAAACTCAAATTACAAATTACATTTTACAGAGACAAATATCTACGTTAATTTATCATAGCAAGCAATTATGTACGCCGGTCACATAAAAATTGCACGTTTCAACAGCTTGTAAGGAAGGCATTTACTCCTAGTTTGTCTGTTTCTTCTTCTTCTCCTTTCTTTTCCACATGTGGTTGTTGAAGGGCATCACCATAAAAGTTAACATCTGTTCAACCCCCCGAAGTCAATGCTATGCTCTTAACAGTCTTAAAGTTACCGTTATTCATACCAACCACCTAAAATACAATATTTACTCTCTCTGCATTCTCTTTCACAAACACTGAGAGCGAGGGGCGAGCAGTCATTCATGTATACACCACCACACAATGGCCACTTGTCTACCCCTCTGACTAAACAATAACGTCATTGCTGTTAATTTCTTTGCAATTTTATCGTAGCCTATGCATGATTGTTTGCCCGACTTTCCCCCCACCCCACTTTTGACTCAAGAAGTACTCACCTTTTTCAATGCCGCTTTCGAGTTTTCTGGAGCATCATAACCAGCACCCCTATGGGCTATTGGCCAAAATGACAGATCTTCTGGGTAGAGACCTTGACTGCCAGAGGCCAACAGGCGTTGCAGACGTTTCTCGTCTGGACTTCGCAGCTTGACAAATTTCGAGAGCACACATATAACCACTAATAACACCGTAATCCATGGTATGCCGGCTGATGCCAAATTACACATCACCCAGAACACATTGAAGAGAAACGTTAGGAAACTAAATGAACAACATAAAAGTTGATAGAACATCTTAAGGAGAAACCAAAATATGGTGAAAATATTCATTCAGCTGTGTTGTTGTTGTAGTAACTTTGTCAAGAGAAAAAAACACTAAAAATACTGCAATGATAAAAGAACGAAGAAAAAGACAAACACACACACAAACATTAAAAACTGAATGTCTTATTAGAATGGGGATTTTCTTCTTAGTTGTAGGTTGTTTCTTTTTATTTGTTCACAATTGGTCTGGTTGGTATTTTATAATGCGATGTGGTGTACTGACCCAATTCAATTTACAAAATTTAGGGTGTCTATACGAAAACAACACACGGAAGACCACTCACACTCACTGGCGCTGCCACTGGTAGTTTGGTTAAATGTATACTTGCAAATTCTATTCTAATTTATATCTTTAACTTCGTTTGCGTTAATTAATTTTCGAGGGAGTTGTTAGTTTTGTCGTCTAGTAAGATAGTTGCCGTCTAGCACCACCGAGTTTTTTCTTTCGTTAGTAGTAGTACAAAAAGGACTTTCTTCCGTTTCCTTCCTCGATAATTTTTGGCATTTTTCTAGCTCACTCTCACTGCTGCTGCTTCCGTCTGATTTAGGGTTAGCTACGTCGACTTTTGTCCAATCGATTATGATTAAAAAAATCAAGGTAGATCGAAATCGATTTGTTTGATTAATCGATATTGTATGAAATCACACATAATATGGCGTTTCCACTGCACTTGATTCGTTCGCTATTCGTTGATTGACCCTTAACTATGGAAAACGACTTAATTCTCCATACAAATTTCCCGAGCGAACACCCATGGTCTGTTCCAGAAAAACTCATGGTCTGTTCCAGAATCTACTAATTTTGCAGTAGATTTTCATCAAGCGAAAATCGGTTATCGCAGTTTTACTACTTTGAAGTTCTTCTATGACAAAAAACTTTTTTACCCAAGTGACGAAATCGTAAGCTCTGTAACATATAGGTTGTAACAATCAACCATGGTTAAACGCAAGTCAATGCTTAGCTTTTGTTATAGTTCGCTATTGATCTGTTCCAGAACTGCAAGAATTTTAACACTTTTCCATTCATAATATCGGAGCCAAACTAGAGGTCTGTGCTAGAACAGCAAGAATGTAAAAGTTTTTACTTCCATAACCGATTCTCCCTTTATGAAATCGAGAAAAATTGCCAAAATAGTAGATTATTGCAGGTCCTGGAACAGAGCATTTCTTTCCATCGTTTCAAATTGTTTTGTATTGACAAATCAGCTCACTGCTTGCAAATCTTTTGAGGGGAGCATGGTAGAAGAATACAAGTAGATGCATCAATGCTTGAAAACATTGATATGTCAAAAAATTGTTTATTTTTTTCAAATATAAGTAGATTTTATATGTTTTTTGTTTTGACAGTTAATTGTACCAGCAGCTGGGTCGACGTGTCTACCTTTATTTTTCTTCCATGGAGGGGAGCATATGTTTTTTCTCATAAACGTGAATGACAGTATGTTTACATTAGAGCTTTTAGTCGGGTTTACCTCTTCTATGAGAATTTAAGGGACAATTCTTAGAGGAAATTAGCCAGACAGTCTTAAGGCGAAAGGTGTTTAAATCCAATTTTAAATTCAATCTCAAAACGAGTTGATTTTTCAACAACAGTTACTTTTCCGGTTCTTTTTTGTTACGATTTTTCTTTGGCCGTCGATTAATCGAAAATCGTCATGTTTTTCCTACACCAAAAATTTTGTTATGAATACGAAAACAAAATGAATTTGCAAAAAAAAATCAGGAAAGAAACATACCAACAACACGCAGTGATTGGTGGCGGAACAAGAAAAATTCGTTCGTTGTCGTCGCAAGAGAAAAGAAGGTAGAATTCATAAAAATAGGTCTTTAAAAACGTTATGAAACGGCGGTCTGATTCAATTGAGCTCTGGGCGAATTTTTCCTTCTAATTGCAGAGCATTACAAAGTGAGAGTGTGACATAAAACAAAGTTATTGAAGAAATCAAGGAAAAAGAAAACCAAAAGCAAAGGCTTGGCAATTATCCTGTTCCTGTTATTTATCCACAAAACACACAAAGTTTCCCTTTTTGGCAAAGTTTTAGTTTCTTTCCCTGCTAAGCCATCTACTGAGCTAATCTTTCATCTATCATTTGATTTATTGGCCTTGCTGTTGCGTCGCTAATTATTCCCGGCCTCTTCTTCAGCTGAACCGTGTGTGTGTTCTGTCCTTTATCCTTGGAAGTGTTGTTGAGCGATTTTGCAACAAACCACTGCTACTGCTACTACTCGTCATGTTAACTTTATATTACGTGAGCGCTACATTCTTGCAATCCTGGCGTATCAATAAGATATGCCAGAAAATTGGCGAACAATTGTCTCAACAGGCCACCATAGCCTTTTATGTTTTGCCTCAGAACAGAGATGATGGTTTCTGTAAGTTTAATTGCGCTACCGGCAAGGGGTCTTATATAAATGTGTGTGTGCTTTGCTTTTTCTCATTTAAGACTCACGCTTGGCAACATCGGAATTGTGTCAGAATCGTCAAATAGCCAGAGTTACGGAAATACTTTGGTTGCACGACAACAATCGTGGTTGTTGTCTCATGCCTTTACAATCGATACCCACATCATCATGGATAACATTTCCCGATGCACCCGGCTTAAGGCCATTTATTTTTGGCAAATCACCCGAATCACTGCAACGCAGCTTAAGTTTAGATCGACATGGCAGTGGTCTGATACGACTTTTATTAGAAACGGAAACTACACCATGTTATGAAGATCGTGTGTGGCAACAAGATGTAGTCAGGGTAAGTGATAGTGTGTGCGCGTATGTGTGAGCTGGGTTTGTTGTTATATGAATTGAATTTGTTTATAACACTTATGGTGTGGGGGGTTCGATTTACTTGACGATTTATTTTTGAGAAATAGAAAAAAAAAATAGAAAAATAAAATGTTGAATATGGGGAGCTTATTTGGATAGTATATTTGTCGAAAAACACATTTTTTGCTTGTATAACAGTTTCGGAAAATAGTTGTATTAAATTCTTTTAATCATTTGTTTTGGCTTACACTTCAAAAACGTCTGAGTTGAATTTCATAAAATTGAGCAGACATGTATTCTCGTTTTGATTTTTCCATAGTTTTTTTAAAACTGTTATACTCATAGAAACAATTCATCATGCTAAAAATATCTGCACCTTTTTTCCGGTTATAAATAAGGGCAAATGGAATATACATATATATGTATAACAGTTTTAGAAACTATTATACTTATACAAATGCCTATTTGTTGAGAATGTTAACAATATATATTTTTGATTATTTTACAAAAGTACTGATGTTTGCTTACAAAATTAATTTTCTTGTATAACAGTGTTTGAAAGTAATTTCTTGAAATTTTTTTTCTTTTATTTCCATAAAAATGAAACTGTTATACTTCTGCGGAAATTGTGCCTATTGACTCAGTTTTTCTTTTTTTAATTTATATTTTTTACTATACAACATTTCTATACTAAAAAATATTATGAATTATGGGTATAACAGTTCTATGAATCATGGGTATAACAGTTTTGTGAAACTGTTATACTTGCATAAATATTTATTTTTAGAGGACATTAACACTACATATATTTTAGTACAAATTATAAAAATTATTTTCATGTGTATAACAGTTTTATAATGTGTTTTAATGATGCAGATATGTTTTTTTGTGATTAAATAATCGGTATATATATGATAATTGATTAAATAAAGTTTTCTGTTTATGAAAAGATGAAATTAGAAATAATTTTCTCTGAACAAAAGCTCAATGAAACTGTTATACTTCTAAGGAAATTGTGCCTATTGACTTTGTTTTCTTTTTTTAATTTATTTTTTTAATTTTTTTACTACCTAACTTAACTTTTTCTACATATTCAACATTTTTGCAAACTGTTATATAACCTCATAGTAAAACTGTTATACTCTTACAAATTTGTATTTTTTCTTTTAAATTCCACATATTTTTACTTCATATTCCTCATCTACGAGCATTATATTGCACCGCTATTAATTTGAGTGCAATTTAAGTAACAAGCCCTATAATAAAACTGTTATACTCTTACAAATTTGTAATTTTTTCTTTTAAATTACTCATATTTTTTTCAAATTATAAAATAAAGATCAAAATTGTTCATAAATCTCCTATAAAGTTTTATACAATTTTTTATTGTTTCACCGCGGATATATGAGTTTTTCACTGAATAGTTGATTTATATTTTCAATTTAGGGGTTATTTTTGTAACGTTACCGCAGAACAAAAGCTGTACACAACTGTTATACTCTTTCAAATTTGCATTTTTCATGTCATATTCCACATTTTTTGAAGCATAATTAAATTTCATGGTTATACCAGTTTCATAAAACTTTTATACAACTGGAACAAAATTTTGAAAATTTAAACAAATAATAGTTTTTTTAACGATGACCTTGTTTTAAAATTTCCATACCTTTTTAAAAATTCCTTCCTTTTTCCAATTTCCAGATTGAAAACTATGGTAAGCTGATCGCCTGGAAAATAGACTCCCACCTTGCGGTGCTCATTGAAACTGATATTGAGCACTTCACCAAATTATTAATAGATACATTTTTACAAAATAATTTATTTATCAATGATCGTCTGCCTCTATTAAGGATTGAGTGTAAGCACCATACAATTCTAAATAGACCTAAGTATATGTCTTGCAAAGCAAATTTTATTTGTTATTTTTTTTAATTCGTTCAAACTTTATTCCATCATTAGCTGTACGCAACGATGGTACTCCCCAGCCTTATTCACTGTTGTGTAGTCATTTACGTAAGCCCGCTCGCAGCATGGAAGAATGCAACCGCGAAGAGTGGCCAAAACATTTAGATGATCTACGGGCTGTGAGTGTTTTGGCCAATCAAGCCATCGAATATTCTTCCAATAAAAATAAAACGGAAAGTAAGTCTCCAGCTGCCAGTAGTGCTATAAAACCAGATCTTATACCTCAAGAAAAGCGATCAGAAAGTAGTGTTAAAAAAGATTCACCCAAAAAACCTCAAGCACAGGATGCAAAGAAGTTGGAACATGGGGAAAAATCGAAAAAAGAAATGTCGCAAAAAGTTCAACAGGATGGTGCTCAACAGGAAAACGTATCAGCAAAAGATTCTTCGGAGAAATTTATAAAAAATGAAAAAGTCAATCAAAACGAAAATGCCAATAGCAAACAAAAAGTTGCATCTCCACAGACAAGTAAAAGAACTGGCGAGGAGAAGGCAGCTAGTCCCAGTAAGTTGAGGGCAAAGCCTACGGAGATTAGGAAACCTGGGGTGCCTGATGCAGGGCGTTTTAAAACAGCCAAGGTAATTATAAACAATATACATTTTACATTTTAAAATTAATAATTGATGTCATTTTCAGACTTCCTCTGAGTCTCTAATCGAAGCGGAAACCAAAAAATCCAGTGAATTGGAAAAAATTGCTGCCTCCAAGGTAGCCGAACGTTCCAAGTCCAAATCACCTACAAAACCCGAAGAAAAGGTATCTGACAAGAAGTCAATAACAAAAGAGAAAGAATCTCAAAGCACAGCACGCAAGGAATCTCCTAAAAGGCAGGCCGAGAAATCTTCAGAAATCCCTAAAGAAAGCAAAGAAATGCCGCCAACACCAAATAAGTCTGAAACCGCCAAGACAACGGCGGCTTCACTGCCTAAAGTAGATGTAGCAACAACAATATCCACAACTAATTCCGACCAAACGAAACCAATTAACACAACTGCTGCTCCAGCAGCATTGCCATCCTCAGTCACGGCAGCGATGGCCTCTGCCTCACCCATTAAGGATAATGCCAAACGGCCCAGTTTAAAACGTCACAAGGACAGCATCAAAGAGTGTAAACCCTTAAATGTTTTGGTCTATGCCGAAACTGCAACGGCTAGAGAAAGTGCCATCAATATTTTGAAAGAAATTTTAGCCGAAAACACGTAAGTTGACGTCAACTGCCCTTTTTTTGTTCTGTTTTGTTATTCTTTTATTACAAACCATTTCCCTCAAGTCCTCTACCCATCTTGGCCTCCTTTTTCTTTTGCATATGAGGCAACTAATAAAATTTATGACATTTTTCCATTTATTTTCCAGTTACACTATTTACCCCATGACACAACAGCAAGTCGAACAGAAACATTGGCTAAACAGTACCGCCTTGTTGGTGGTATGCGGTTCGGTGGCCAATGCAATGGGCGAACTGTTTGTTGATTACTTTTTGCATGGTGGCAAAGTGCTGTCATTGTGTTCGGATGTTTTACACTTTATATTGCCGACATATCGCACAGCTGAGGTAATAATACAAGACAATAGTCGTGGCTACCACCACAGTTTATTATATTCTACACCAGTTTTAAATGTATATATTCAATGGCTTGAAATTTACATATATGTAAAATTTCCAATGGCTTATGAATCAAGAAATGTGGTGATACCACAAATAACCCCTTGTCTACATATACATATATGTGCGTGTATGGTGTAGGGTATCATTTTGTTGGCTTAGGCTTTCGTTGTCATTTCATTTTTAGATTTACACATGCTAATACATGGAATATAATTTTAATGTTTTTTTTTCTATATGCTTAGGTACGTGAACATGAACTGGTACAATTCTCCTATGACAAATGGCAAAAGGTCAAAATGATGCATCACATATTCTGTTATCAGCCATCGCCGGTTAAGAAAAACTTTTCCACAGACAGCGATGATTCGGCTTATGGTACAAATCGCAAACCGTAAGTAGTCTGTCTAGTCATATTCCTTGCTTCTAAGTAGTGTACATTTATTTTTAGAAGTAAAAAAACCCAACCCCAAATGATAAAAAACGCTGTTATGCAAATGACGAGCTATATCTTTATTTATGAAAGAGGTGTGAGTGTGTGACTAATTTGTATTTTAATTGTAAGGCAATTGCTGGACTTCGTTGTCAATTAAAGTAGAAATATATATTTCATGCATTAAAATTTGGAGATAATCTTAGCATAATGTATAGCAAAAATTTAATCGTGGGATTAACGGAACTAATATTTTGGAGTCATACTATATTTTATATAGTCTAGGTTTTCCAAAAAGAGGTGTTATTTTCATATCCAATATTGAGAAACAATATCAGCCAAATGGCTAGCATGAGCACGGTTACAGGACCATACCAAAAATAGTTTCGTGGACAGTGACTGCAAGATTGTCATCATTGTTGTACTGGCTTTTAATAATTTAAAATTTTTAACGAATATTTTTAAAAGAGCCAATTCTACTAGGAGTTAAAAAAAAACATGTTTAATTGTTTTAAGACATTTTTTAAAAGAATACTTATCAAACGGCCAAATCAACGTACATTTTTGAAGTGTATTTTTCGTAGAACCAACAGACCTTCTTTTTTTAAAAGAGTATATTTCGAATGCCCTATAGACTGGTTTTTTTAAAGAATACTTTTTGAAGATCAACATTTTCAAAGGACTGTACGTAATCTTAAAAAACAAAAAAAAAAAAACAGAGAATCGAATGTCCTTGATTTTTTTAATAATAATATTCAAAGGTCCTACTTTAGATTTTTCCAGAATATAGTTAAGACAATCGGAGAATTTTTTTTCAAATCATCAAAAATTTGTTAAGTCTCCACAGGCTTTTCTGTGCCATAAAAAGGGCGGTTGAGGATGGATGCACTATCGACGCACATCTCGTCTATTGGGTCAGAGGCAACCACAACTGCACCATGTTTCATTACATGCTGCTGTTCAAAAAGCAAAATAGATAAGTTAGTGAATTGTATGAAACCGAATAAATTTTATAAAATCGCGTCTCATACCCTAGGTTAATTGGCAACCTGTAATTTTTGTAAGACCAGACCATTTCAACCAAATCGATTTCATCAGTATATCTCTTGATTTTATAATCATTGAACTTTGCGCTTTTCATAACCACGGGAAAGATTTTGGTCTGAATTCTGAAAGCAAACTAACCGACGCTTCAGAGAGATTCTCAATATGTGTGATGTCCCGGTAGAAAATAAGATTTCGGAGGAACTAGTGAATTGGTTGGATCATTGGAATTTAAAAAACAAGTGAAACAAAGAGTTTTCCAAGGTGGGTGATATCTCCGGAACCTCTAGCTTTCACGCTCAATAGAAGGCATAGAAATAATAACATACGTTCGGACCAACCTGCGATCGATTAACCGCTTACTTAGATTATCTGACCCCCTTTTTTTACTGCAAGGACAGTGAACTGCAGCCGCAATTTTCACCACATGTACAGCGGAGATGTGGCTATCACTGAATATGCAATTCGATGGTGTTTTAATTTCGACCATCGATTACCCCAAGGATTTAGGTGTCACATTTGATAGACTTTTCAAGTAGTCCACGCATATCACCGCCATTTGCGGTATGATTAGAGGTATGAACAAGGTTCTCAAGTCTCTTGTCAGTAACACCTAGCGAGGTGATAAGTAAACTTTAAAACCCGATAGGCCGGTCTGTGGTAAAATCTTATCCCAATACGAATTCAGACGACTTCACCATCATGATATGAAATAAATAAATAAAGCCTAGTTAGCCGAGGTTCTTCATCTACTATGGAGGATGGTGGAGGGAACATACATAGGTGACCGTATCGGTACATAGGTCGGGCCTGCCTGATGGACTTCTTGACTTACAGATTCTCTCTCTTTCAACGTTGAACATTCTTCTTATGGTTGTGCTTAGTTTCTATTCGTAGAATATCAATGGCTGTCACTTCAAATTCGGAAGCTACCGAAATACCGGGTAAATCAGAATTACTTCTATTATTGGAAAATTGTAGTGAAAGAAAATATAATCAAATATATAGACAATTACAAGCTGCTAAGATATATTCAAAAAATAACCCAAAATTTGCAAAAAAAAAAAAATAGAAAATGTAGGAAAATGAAAATAATGATATGAATTTGGACGTGACTCATGTAAAGTTTTTTTCAAAGTACAAAGTACAAAAATACATATATCAAGACAAATGTGTCAAGGTGCACAAAGTTAATAAAATTAGACATTTCATCAAATTGTTAACAGTATAACAGTTTCATTATAACAGTATAACTGTTTTAAAAAACTGTTATCCCAATAAAATTAATATTCTTGAACACATAAAAAATTAAAAATATCGAATAATATGAAAAATTTCCAAATGTGATAATCTGTCCAATCAGAGCTATCCAACACAGTCATTGCTAAATAATGTATGTCAAGGCAAATGTAACAATGTGTCTGAATATATATACAAAGAAATGTAGAGAAGTGTAGAAAAGTGAAACTATATTAAAATTGGACATTTCATCAAATTTTAACAGTATAACAGTTTTGTAAAACTGTTATACACGTAAATTAATAATCCTGCATAGATCAGAAATTTAACAAGTAAAAAAGCTTCAGTTCGCCCGGGCTGAACTTTGAATGCCCTCCACCATGTGAAACGAATTTGGCAATTTTCAAAAAAAAAAAAAAAAATCCATTAAAGTTCTGTTAAAATCTTAAAACTACCAAATGTAACCGTTATATTAATGTCTAAAAGACGACGTGGACCTGTATAGGCAAATTTTGTCATAAGCCATTACAATAATCAAATGTGAAACTTGAAAAAAATTGGTGAAAAATTATGGGGGCTATTCGGGAGGTACCGTTATGTAGAGGCTATACCAAAACATCGACCTACATTGCCCATTTTCAATACCAAAAGTTCTGCAGTCATATTATAGATTTGAGTAAAATTTTATCAGCCTTCTTCATTTCATTCGGAAGCTAGAGTGATTTCAATAGACGGACATAGAATTTTATGCTGATCAAGAATATATATACTTTGTGGGGTCTAAAATGTATATTTCGAGGTGTTACAAACGGAATGACAAACTATACTATGGCGGAGGGTATAAAAATATCAATAAATGTGAAGAATGTACTTTAAATAAAATAAAACACATTTTATTGCCTTTATAGAACAGTTTGAATTAAAATCTCAAATTCGGTAAATCCCAAATTTGATAATTTTTTTTGTATGCAAAATTCTCACACTCTGCCTTCACGTTGCTCTCTTTGCATAAAAGTGTTGTTTAAAAAAAAATATTGTTATAATATGTTTAAATCCCTTAAAATTGGTTTGTATTTGATATAAAAAAGAAGGGTCAAAATTTCGAATTTTTGTAAATAATTTAATTAAATGTTTAGTTTCCTAATTACAAATGAGCAGATTTTTCCACCCAAACAAACAAAATCCAACAACAACAAACTAACAAAACAAACCCAACATACCAAATTGACTTGAGAATAATATTTTAATAAGCTTACAAACATAAGCCTTAAGCTTGAGAAAATCTTGAGAATGTATTGAGAAATGTTTGTTTAACAATTATAGAATAATCAAAACGGAACCCTTATTCATAAGCTTATTCTTGTAATTGTAGAATAAGCTTACGAAAGCAATATTATATCAAGCTTATTTTTTCAATGGTATAAAATAGTTATTTTTTCATTTTTTTTAATTATTTTACACATTTCATTCATTGATGACCATCCCAACTCTCACTGCCTCCTTTTGCCTTGGTCCTAAATGCTTTCTTTCCCCTTATTTGAGCTTCTGCATCTCCTCCACTAATTCTTCACTTCTCTTGAATTCTTGCAACTTTTGACGCCTCTATTCTGAAATGAGATTGAAATAATATATACTACAGATTCCCAGAATTATTATTCATCATTACCTTAGAGTTTTTCCGGAAATGGTCCTAAATTCGCGTGATTTTGATTTTAACCAAAGAAAATATTTTTTGTCGAAAAATTTCTCAAAAAACAAAAAAAAAATCAAAACAATTTTGTCAACAAAGGACAGATTTGAGAAAAGTTTGTGCAAAAAAGTGTTTCTCTAGCATTGTTGAAAAATTCTTACGATAAACTATTTTCATAATATTATTCTCAAGCTGTATTGTATTTTTGGTATGTTGGGAAAAAATACACAACCCATCTAAATTTTACGGTTTTCGGCCAACACCATTCAAAACATTTGATTTCTTATTTCTTCATACACATGGCACAGCATGAATGGTCTGAGTTATTGCTTTTTAATGGTAATTTATTTGTTGTTTTATTTCTTTACTAACAAACAAAAACAAAAAAATCGAACCAAAAGGACGACATAGTTTCTCAATGGCTTGTTAAAACACAAAACAATAATAGTATACGAAAATTTTCTTGTTTTCAAATTCACTTTACTATAAATTATAGCATATTTCTTTTTGTAAGAACATTTCTTAAATCTCTGATTTTCTTTGGGTTTCTTTTTTTTTACTACTTTTTTGTCATTTTTTCCCAACAAAAAACCAAAACCAAAAAATTCAAATGCCATTTTGTCATATGCCATACTACCAATTTTGCCCATACTTCAAATTTGTTGTCTTCAACTAACTAAATACTACTACTAACTAACTATCTACCAACAACTACAACAATCACATACAATTCAATATTACAACATACATTGCTTGCTCCTCGTTCTGCTGGCTGTATGTGTTTTTTTCTTCCAAACTCTAAATGTATGTAAAAAAAATGTAACTTTGTATCTGAAAATCCAAATTACAAAAACAAACCAAAATTCTATTTCGAATTACTACTGCCTATGTATGTATTATGTATGCGTGCTTGTATGTGTGTGCGTGCGAAATGGGGATTTTTTGTTTGATGATCAAATGTGTGTGTGTGTGCAAAAAATCCTGGCAATCAAATTGAAATCCTGCACAACATACAATGCACGACAAAAATTTAGAGCTCTAGTGTGTCCACCAAGGTCCATTGAACTCAAGGATTTGAAGGGTCACCTACATCAGTTGGATGTCAAAGTTTTGGGAACCGAAGAAACATGGAACACGCCTAGTCTACTATTGGCCAAGAATCAGAAAAGTGGCGGATCGGCTGTATTCTCACAGGTGAGTAACAATAATATATTAAATTTATCACTCCGTTTATAACACCTCCAAATATTCGTCGAAGACCCCATGAAGTAAAAAAAAATTCGATCAGCGGTAAATTCTATGCCAATTTAGCCATGTCTCCCAATTTAAATTAGTAAAAATCTCGATAGAGCCCGCAATAATAAAGATAGAGCTATGAAAATTGGCACAGGCTTTGATATTATGCCCAGGATGTTTGAATGAGATATATCGGTCTACGTTAAGGTGTGGATTTTTATAGAAATTTTCAGAGAATATTCCGACCACTTTAGGTGTGGATTTTTAAAGAAAATTTCCAAAAAATATTCCGACTACTTTAGGCGTGGATTTTTAAAGAAATTTTCAAAGAATATTCCGACCACTTTAGGCGTGGATTTTTAAAGAAATTTTCAAAGAGTATTCCGAGCACTTTAGGCTTGGATTTTTAAAGAAATTATCAAAGAATATTCCGACCACTTTAGGCTTGGATTTTTAAATACAATTTTAAAGAATATTCCGAACACTTTAGTCTTGGATTTTCAAAGAAATATTCAAAGAATATTCCGACCACTTTAGTCTTGGATTTTCAAAGAAATGTTTAAAGAATATTCCGACCACTTTAGGCGTGGATTTTTAAATACAATTTTAAAGAATATTCCGACCACTTTAGTCTTGGATTTTTAAATACAATTTCAAAGAATATTCCGACCACTTTAGTCTTGGATTTTCAAAGAAATGTTCAAAGAATATTCCGACCACTTTAGTCTTGGATTTTCAAAGAAATGTTCAAAGAATGTTCTGACCACTTTAGGCGTGGATTTTTAAATACAATTTTAAAGAATATTCCGACCACTTTAGTCTTGGATTTTTAAATACAATTTCAAAGAATATTCCGACCACTTTAGTCTTGGATTTTCAAAGAAATGTTCAAAGAATATTCCGACCACTTTAGTCTTGGATTTTCAAAGAAATGTTCAAAGAATGTTCTGACCACTTTAGGCGTGGATTTTTAAATACAATTTTAAAGAATATTCCGACCACTTTAGTCTTGGATTTTCAAAGAAATGTTCAAAGAATATTCCGACCACTTTAGGCGTGGATTTTTAAATACAATTTTAAAGAATATTCCGACCACTTTAGTCTTGGATTTTCAAAGAAATGTTCAAAGAATATTCCGACCACTTTAGGCGTGGATTTTTAAATACAATTTTAAAGAATATTCCGACCACTTTAGTCTTGGATTTTCAAAGAAATGTTCAAAGAATATTCCGACCACTTTAGGCGTGGATTTTTAAATACAATTTTAAAGAATATTCCGACCACTTTAGTCTTGGATTTTCAAAGAAATGTTCAAAGAATATTCCGACCACTTTAGGCGTGGATTTTTAAATACAATTTTAAAGAATATTCCGACCACTTTAGTCTTGGATTTTCAAAGAATATTCCGACCACTTTAGGCGAGGATTTTTAAAGAAATTTTCAAAGAATATTGAATTTTTAAAGAAAAGTTTCAAAAAAAAATTCGTGAATTTTTAAAGAAATGTTTGAAAGATAATTTGACGAACGTCGACTTTTAAAGAAATGTTCAAAAGATTTTCGTCTCTATCCACTTAAATCTTCTGGCTAATTGAGGAGTTACTGTAGAGTCAGTGTAAGAAAATGAATACAGATCGTGTGACAGTCGTTCCCCCACTTACCTGTGTATCACGTTAATGAATGCTGGACCGCTGGCAGAGCAAATATTCGATCGTCTCAATTTCTTCCTCATCTTGACAGATTCTGCAGTAATCAATATCATCGCTGTTCCATTTCGAAGTCATAGCCCTCAACTTGCCTTTATACAATGGTACTTCCTTATTTTAGGGATATTGAGACAGAAAATTTTCTTTTTCGTAGAATGCCTCTGTCAGAAGAAGACCTTTTGGAAGGTCGTCCGGTGTTAAATGTTCTTTTAAAAGACTTATGCCAACATCTTTATAATCTTTTCAATTCTGATTAAAAATCGTCTGCATCAAATACAGGGGTGAGACCAAAAAACTGCAACCAACTTCAGACTACCGTCATTTCTAAGCCAGTTGTCCGACATCTGTTAAAATTATTCCAGTGACAGCTCATTATATTGTTTACAAGCGTACAAAAGCATTTTGGTGAGAATTTTCCAGAAAAAAAGTTATGCGAGATGGAATTCAAGAGTGATAGTGTGATTTCTTTATATTTGGCTGGAAAATCACAAGTGGCTATCGTTAGAGCACTCCAGCATTTAAATGTGTAAAGTCTTCTATATAAGATCTATAACAAAAAGAGATATCCCATCTATAGGGGACGTTTGATACGTTTTCTTCCTTTAATGTTTGAAAGTCGCATCCCAAAAATCCCTTTTTTACTTTCCAACAATTTAATCTTTTATTTCTCTCTTCCCCCAAGGTCCATTTGGAAATAAATCCCAGTGAATTTGAATCGGATGAATCAAAATATGCCATACTAAAGGAGAGCGATAAAATTCGCCATGAAATCTTTTCCGATTTGCTAAAGAATCATTTGAGTTTAAATGTTAAATCGAATAAAGTCGTTGCCGATATTTCGGCCGGACCAAAGTGTGTTTACAAAAAAGCCTACTTTTTGGGCAAGCATGAGGTAATGTCACTGTGAAAAAAAAATTAGGTCTCATGTTTGTATGATGATTTGAAAATGTATTAGAAAGAAAACTCACATTCCTTGCATGCTGTTGTTTCAACTAAAAAAAAACCATAGAATGAGTGTGTTTTCTTTCGAGTTAACCTTCGAATTGTCATCCAAAAACAGGGACTCATTTTTCGAAAACAATGATAATTAAAAATGTAATTTCCACTTTTCTCCACTTAGGCTAAATTTGAGCTATTGGAGAAATTAAAAGATCAATGCGGCAACGATAATGCCATTACCACATCAAATCTTATGATGAAATTCTGCGGTCCAGATGATAAACTGCCAAATGTCAATTCCAATATACTTCCCATTTTAATACATTCCTGTCCAGAGGATTTTTCCACTGTAGAATATTTTGATGTAAGTATTAATAATAAAATAAATGCTATTTAATCGAGCTTTAGGTCAAGGTAATGGTTTTTAATTATATATTTAAAAACATTTCATATTCCAATATTTTGAAACTTCTTGAGTTTCGGCTGATATGTAATTAATCAGAATAAAAACTAACATAGTAAAACTCAAAGAGTTCCAAAATATTGGAATTTACAAATTTATTAAATTTATTTCAATAAATAACAAAAAGCCTATAAATTGGCATCTAGTTCGATTAAATTGTGAAATTATCAAAGAAATTAAAAAAAAATATTCATAAAATAAAAAATGTTTTCTCTTTATGCCCTTGCAGAATCTCAAGACCTCTTATGTGGGTCGTTTAGTTATATATGCACCAGTTGTTAGTAGTTCCCAGCATGTCATTAGCGATCTGGAATTGAGTAATGGTATTGCAGTTATACCAAGGCAACAAACATCCGGCATGGGTCGCAGTAACAATCAGGTGAGTTAAGGTCCAATATAATTTATTAGATGCTATATAAAAACATTACTAAAGATCTTATTATAAAGTTTTAAAACTCATTTTTATGACTGGCATTTGAAAAGGAAAGTTAAAAAGAGATATGTTTATAGCCTTTTCCAAGAACTTATAAATATTTCATGCTAGACATATAAATTGATGAATAAAAATGTGAACGATAATCATCCATTTTTGCACCTGTAGTGGAATTTACTAACACATTTTTTGGGTTACCGTCAAAAGTCGGCAAAATAAAAATGCCTATAATTCCGGTAATCAACAGAATGTGTCGGTAAGTTTGCGACGGAATCAAAGTAGCCGCTAAGACCTACCGATAGATATCAATATTGTCAACTTATATATTGTCTTTCATATATCAAAATTTTGGATTTTAAAGTTAGTGATTTTTGTCGTTAACTCAAACAATTACTTAGAGAATCCCACTACTGACCTAGAACTGACGCAAATATTAGGATTTGCAAAGTTAGAGCAAAATTGGAATATTGCTTCTCTTTCTGAGCAAAAAAAAAATTGACTTTTTGTTGGGAAGCTACCAGAAGGAGTGGACCGATATTCTCCATCGTATCCCCTGACCTTAGGCTTATAAAATTATCGGGATGTGTGAAATTTGAAGATTATCGGACTCTTACGTCACATTTTATAAGAGCTGTAATTATTCATTCAATTTTGACCCATTGTGCGCGAGGTACTTGATAGATTGGATCGATATTGTCCATTTTCGCACCAGACCTAGCGCTGACGCAAATATTAGGATTTGCAAAGTTGGAGCAAAATCGGATTATTGTTTCTATTTCTGTGCAGAAAATAAATATTTTTGAAAATTTCGACCATTTTTGGGTGAGGTACCAGAAGGAGTAGACCGATATATTGTATCTTAACACCAGACCTTGGGTTAATGTAAATATTGGAATGTGTAAAATTTGAAGACAATCGGAATCTAACATCACATTTTATTAGAGTTGTAGTTATTCAAAATGTTGACCCTTTGTGGGGGAGGTGCTTGTTGGAGTGGACCGATATTGTCCATTTTCGCCCCAGACCTAGCACTGACGCAAATATTAGGATTTGCAAAGTTAGAGCAAAATCGGATTATCCTTTCTCTTTTAGTGCAGAAAATACATTTCGACCTTTTGTGAGGGAGATATAAGTTTGACAAAAATATTACGGTGTACCTTCAATACTCCCTTCAAGAGTTATCATGCGCACCAGCTGGACAGACGGATGGACATCGCTAAATCGACTCCAAATGTCCTGAAACGGATTTGGTCCAAAGAGACCTAGGGTTCAAAACGTTATTTCGACTAGGCATGTTTTGACCGTATCCAATGAGGGTATAGTAGCCATATGTCTGAGGGTATAAAAGAGGTGGTATTTTGAATTACTCCGTTTTTAAGCCAAATATCGGTAGCTGTCACTCTTAGAGAGACAAGTTTAAACTTAAATTTTCAAAGACATTATTTTTTTCTGACTCCATAGTATTTTTCCAGCTTTCTCTTGTTTCGATTGATGACTTTCCCCCGAAAAAATTGCCATATTATGAGCTGTCAAAACTCATTTTTTCCTAATCTTCACAAAAACCACGATGTATATTTTGAACGGCTGCGGGAGCTTTAAAAGTGACACACATACATGTTGATCTGCCCTCGTAAAATACACCTTCGCCTTGTCGAAAATTAATATTTTTCTCCTATTTTTTACTTCCAGTGGTTAAGTCCCCTAGGATGTGCCATGTTTTCCATTCAATTGCATATCTCTTTGAACAGTCCTTTGGGACAACGCTTGCCGCTAGTACAGCATATTGTTGGAGCGGCTTTGGCTAATGTTTTGCGGGGTCATGAACAATATAAGGTAAGTGAAACTTAAAAAACATATATATATAAATACCACAAAATATTTGGAGATTTAATGAAAAATTGGGGGCAGATGAAACCTGTATTCCGATGGAAGCTTAGTTGGTTGATTGTTATTTTCAAAATATTTTTTAAAACTTCTCGCAGTGAAAAAGGATTTTCTTTAAAAATCCCTTAAAAAAATTTGGAAAAAAATCACGGATCAAATTAAGGTTTGTCATTTGTGTAAACAATTAAAAAAACACGGAACATCCTTTGAAAATTATTTTTGAAAAATATTCACCTATTGTCCTTTAAAAATGTTTTTTTTTTTAATTCTTGGGAAAATATTTTGAAAAAAAATGAAATTCTCCTTTGAAAAGTATTTTTAAAAAAATTGTCCCTTTAATTTTTTTTTTTGAAAAAAGAAAAAAAAATCACGAAAAATCACAATTTTTTAAGCAATCACCGATAGACCTTCGAGTAAAAAATTAAAAAAAAAGTAGGAATATCCTTTGAAAATTATTTTTGGAAAAAAACAAGTAAAAATTTATCGGTCAGTTTTGCCGACAGATGTATACCCTCATATATAGTCGAACTAAGTATATCATTTTCACGCTTCATCTAATACAGATAAAAATATTGGTATCACCAAAATTATAAGAAAATCAAAAATTTGTATCCAATTTATGTGAAATCATAAATTCCATATTCATCTTAGATTTGTGGTTGAGAGACATAAATTTAGATATAGGAAGTTATAAAGAATCGCTGAGTTGTTTCGCGATTTATAACAGATAAAAGTATTGAAACTTGTGACACTTTGTGGGTGAGGTACCAAAAGGGGTTCGCCTTTACAGGGTGGGATAAAAAAACTGCAACAAGTCAAACGCCATCATTTTTACATTTTTTTAAAAATGTTATTGAATGAAAGCAAAAAATGTAGGAAATAGCATCAAATTTTAGAAAAAGTTTAGACTTGTTCGAATTGGTCACCTTTGGCACGAATTATGGCCTTCAAACGGCCAATGAAACCGCCCAAATGTTGCTCTGCGATATTTTGACCCATTCCCGGCGAAGCGCTTGCTTGAGGTGATCGACACTTTGGCATTTTTTAGTGCCAACCTTACTTTCCAAAATATTCCAGACACAATATTCCAACGGAGATTTTGATGGTCATTGTGCGCTGGAAATGAAGCGAGAAACCTCATTTTGTAACCATTCTTGGGTGGCGCGACCTGAGTGCGGTGGTGCTGAGTCCTGTTGGAGTGTCCAAGGTCTGCGACCAAAATGTTTGCGTGCCCAAGGCTTTAATACACCCTCCAGAATATTTTCGCAATCATATTCGGCATTTATTCTGACGCCACGGTCGATTAATACGAGGGGAGAGCGATCATCGGCTGTTATGGCGGCCCACGCTTGAGTTCTGGTGGCCACCGGAAGGTGCACATTTTCAGCTGACCTCTTTGGCAAGTGAATAGAATCATTTTGTTTGTTTACAAACGGTTGGACAACGAATGTTTTCTCATCAGACAAAACCAAATTCGGCAGTTCACCGTTTTCGGCCAAGCGAAGTTGCGGTGGTTTTACCCCGTGCTCATTTTTCAATATTTGCCGAATGGAATATGCCGATATGTTCAGCTCACGAGGTACGAGACACAAAAGATTTATTCAGATTTAAATGCTGGAGTGCTCTAACGATAGCCACTTGTGGTTTTCCAGCCAAATATAAAGAAATCACACTCTCACGCTTGAATTCCATGACGAATAACTAACGCTTGTAAACAATATAATAATTTTAACAGCTGTCGGTCGAGTGGCTTAGAAATGACAGCAGTCTGAAGTTGATTGCAGTTTTTTCATCTCACTCTGTATGACTGGGGTTATAAAAAATTAGGTGTATTATAAATTTAAAAAATATTTTAGAAAAAATACTCGGATTTCCTCCTGTAAAACTGGTTTTAAAAAAATCTTTGATTAATTAAAAAAATTACGACAAAAGAATATTTTTTATAAAAAATCCTAATCTTTAAAAAAATAACACCTTGTGTCGGTTCTCTTTTTAAAAAAAAATCGTGATTTGAAGATCTTTTGGTGTTCCACAAAATGGTTGTTCCTTTTAAAAAATTACAGATTGTTTGGTCTTTGGGAAAATGTTTTCAGAAATCCACTGTTGGATAAAAACGTTCTTTTAAAAAGTGTGTTGAATAAATTTACTATTGAATCAATGATATAATAACACTGCGGAAAATTATATTTTAATAAATTCACAGCTGGATAAAATCCACTCTTAAAAATTAAAAAATATATATATCACCGTTTAATCGAACAGTGTTGGCTTGTATGTTCGGGATACCATAGTATTTTGTTGTTGCAAAATGGCCAAGCTTAATCCCTTTATTGTTGTAACGTTTACCATGGGGTGAGGCAGGGAATACCTAGGTTACGGAAAGAGCCACCAATCCTCATCAATTCCCTTGTTTTTCGTCTGAGATATTCTCCCTAGAAATTTTTTTAATCTGTAAAAAATAATAAATGAGTACCCCTCGCCTATGCCTATTTTCTTACGTGGTACCCTCCCATCCGTCCCAAAAATCATTCCCCCTTTGCTGACAAAATAAAATAGACTTTCGTTTTCTTTTCTGTTATGGTGTAATGTCATATAATTTATTTTATTTTATTTAATTGTTTTGCTTTCTTTTTACTGTTGTAATTACTTTTTACTTTTTGTTAAATTATGTTGTTTGCTTACATTATTTATAATGTAAATATAGAGTTTCACATGTTTGTTTAGAGGTTGCTTTGTTTGCAGTTTACTGTAATTTATTTTTATTTTATTTTTTGCTTGTCTTTTAGCTTAATGATATTACATAGTTTTTTTGTTTTATTTTATCTTTGTAATTACTTAAAGCATAGATATTTTTGTGTGGTTTGTTTAAATAATTTGTTTTAAACATATGTTATGGTTGCTATGTTTTGTTATTTCTTTCTTTCGGTTTTTATGCTTTTTTTAGTTTCTAACTCAATAAATATTTACAATTATGTAGTGTGTTCATTTTGCATATTTGTTTTTTAAATTAATATGTATATGTACTTTTGTTTTGTTGATGTTTGCTAAAAGTAAGTGTGTGTGTTTTGTTTGCTTGTTTCATATAATTTATAATTTACATGCAATTTCTAGAAAAGGGGAGGAATGCCTTTTTTGCGGAAAAAAGTCCTTTTTTGTTTTGCTTTGTTTTGTTTTCAACTTTAATATATTGAATATTATTTATTTATTTATATTTACATTTATTTATATAATCTTGTTGTAGTTTGTTGTTGATTTTTGCCATACTTCCCATCTTTCTGTTGTCTAGTCGGCATATAATTTATCTTTCGGAAATTACAATTCCCACTCCTTAAAATATGGCCTCAGCTGATCTAGACAATTGTATGGGATGTGAGGGTGATCTAGCCAATCTCTTCTTCGGTAATCTCTCAAACAATGTCAACAGTTTGGGAAAATCAGGTCTATCATCGACGGTGTAATGCCAACACAACATCAAAATATCCTTCACGTCACGGGATGTTTGTAAATTGGCCAGCGTTTGTTTCATGCCGCGACCCACTTGCCAGATTATCGATTCCGGCGGCTGGGATTTGAAGGGGAATTCACCGCACAACAGTTCATACCACACCGTACCAAAGGAATACACATCCGAGGCAGCCGAAAATGGCAGGATCTCACCCGTAGGCTTACAAGGCATAAGACAACGCATTAATTCGGGTGCCAAATAGCACAGCCAACCAAGTGGTACACCCAGACCTTTATCACAGTACAGTAGCTTTGTTGAACTAAACAAACCAAAATCGGTTATAATAACTTTGCCATTCTCCAGGAAGATGTTCTTGGTGCGCAAATCCTTGTGTATGATGCCGCGGGCATGCAGATAGCCCATGCCCTGGGTAATCTGTTGGGCTATCAGTGTGGTCTTGTTGATGACAAATTTCTCGCGACGTGAATGTATATGGGTGTACAGGGTATTGCCCTTGCACAGGGATGTCACAATGGCCAAGTACGGCGGATTCATGCAAGCACCCATAAAAAGCACCAAATTCTCATGACGTGTCTTCTTGAAATTGGCCACCTCAGCCTTGAAGACCTCCAACATTTGCTCATCGGCCAAATAGTCTTCCTTTAGCAGTTTAACGGCCACAGAACCATGCCACATGGCCCTGTGCACGGTACCAAACCGACCTTGGCCAATTTTTTCCAACATCTTTAAATCTCCATAGGGTATATCCCATTCTTTGAGGGATAGGGAATTTTGTCTTGGCCAATTTCCAGAGTCACCATCTTCTGTGGAATCCAACCTCACCGGTGTTCGATCAGAGTCTGTGGAGGCAGAGGTACTGCCCGACAGAGATACGGTCTTGTCGCTGTCATTTGATTTGTGGGTATCCGATAATTCGGTAAAATTGCCACGTTTATCCACACCAGCAGAACTTAGTTTTCGTGGGAAAAATGTTGCCGGTCCAGCATTTACAATATTGTTGGCCGCCGCAATGTTGTTGTGATGTGACGTTGTTGTTGTCGACGATGACGACATAGTTGTTGATGATGAACTGTTGCCTTGCACACCACCCACAGCCGCACCCGATCCTGATCCACTCAAATTATTAGAATTATTGCCTGTCGATGAAATCAAGGCTTCATTGCTGTTGTTGCGTGAACGTTGTTGTTGGTGCTGTTGCTGTTGACCATCACCATCCATCATGTTGTATTCATGACTTGGCGAACAGGTGTTTGCATTTTGAGCCGAGAGAATAGTTTCAGTTGTTGCCCCAGCCGGATTGTTACAGTTGGAGGTAATGGTAACATCAGGAAAATTAAATTGACTGGCATTTTTGTGAGACGAAGGTGTGGACAACATATTGGAGCTGGTACTCGAACCACCCGCCGATGAGCTCATTATTGTGGTGGCCTGCATATCGCCCGAAGAATGATGATGTTGGAGATTGAAAAGAGCAGGACTTGAAGGACTAGAACTGTTACAACTGGAACCGGGTGAACTGCTGTCGGCATGCATGCCACCGCCACCAATGATGCCACCAGCATTACTTGCACTAACATTGGAGCCATGCTTCTGATGACGTCCGCCACCGGCGGTGCGAGCCTTACGCTGTTTGCCCAAGCTACCATGACTTTGATTGGGCGATTGTGTCTGCAGAGTGTGTGTCAGTTGATTGTGATAGCCGGCAGCCACCTGATCCTTAATGGCATTCTTGAATTCTTTTATAAATTCTGGAGGTAAACAACATGAGGGTGGCACATCGGGTTCACACACTTTATGGCAACGATATTTACATTCCTTGCATTTGCGTCCAATAAACATGGGCTTCAGGCATAAATCACATGTGGCCACTTTCACCACCGTATTGAAACGATGGGCAATATTGTGACTCATGCTTAGGTTGACAATGGGTGTACAGGGCGAAAGAGGGACTTGTAGGCTGTTGTTGTTGCTACTGTTGTTGGATGATTCCACAAATATATCTGAACTGGCCGATGAATGGCTGTCGGGACTGGGATCTGTGTTAAGTCTTGATCTGGTTGCTGTTGTTGTGTTGCTACCATAGCCAGAGTTATATTTCAAAGGACCGCCACCACCACCACCACTATTGGCCATGGTCGGTGAACTTATGATGGTTGTCGACATCGAAGACAATGACGAATCTTGAAACTGGGATTCATTTGATTTCGATTTTGACAAAGGTATGGGTATGTGATCCTGTTGATGGGCCTGCTGATGATGATAACCTCCGGCACTGTGCTGCAGTGAGGCAGCATGCGTTGGCGTCAATGGCTGGTTACTGTTCAGAGAAGTCATGTGTTTTTTCATGGGTGGAGGAGTGCCGGCAATTTTTGTGGTCTTTTGAGGGGTACCATTTAAACTGCCACCACCGCCGCCGCCAAATACTGAGGTTGATATGGAAAATGGTGAATTGGGTGGTGATGGCGTTAGAGTCAATGTTAGTGCCGAACTCTGGCTACTTTGTGTGGAATTGTTGTCATCATTCATGGAATTGTTTATGGAGGTGGTGCTGGATGAAGATTTGTATGCTGATTGATTATCGTTTGATGGCGATTGTCTGTTGGATTGATGCTGTTGCTGCTGTTTGGCTTGTTTTAGAGCATTGCGATTAGTGCGTGGCGATGCTGTAATACCAATATTACCCACACTGCCACGATGATGTCGATCCCATGAATCCCAAAATAATTGTTCTATTAATTGTTCATTACTTTCCCTTGACGATTTAGTTTCCTCCGCATCTGTGGCCAACTCGGAATCTTGCGTAGTCTCGTGTACAGCGGGTGTGGTCAATATATCTTTACATTTTCTTAGATTTTGCATGGCTTTGGTTAGTCGCCTTAATTCTTCCTCGCGATAATTGGGATTGTGCTCCAAAAGTTCCTTTAGAGCATCTTCATTTAATTCCAATAGCTGTTCCAAGGTTGATAGTCGAGTGAGGCAAACATTTAATGTTTCCTGACTTAGACCCACCACCCTTAACCATTGTCGCAATTCATTGCCTGAGGTATGTGGTAGACCGCTTGCTGGCAAACGTTCGTTTAGTCTTCCTTTGGTTAGTAATAGCTCGGAGAACATACGTAGCAGTTTGGTTTCCAAACTGCGTATTTCTCGTTGCGTTAACAGGGTACTGGTTAGACATTGTGTTCGCAATCCCTCCAAACGATTGGCCGAACAATCAATCATATCCTGTATTACATCCAAATCATTGGCTGGCAACGAAGATGCAGAAGCTGAGTGGGCATTCGATTGATGGGGATTGCTGCGCACCGGTGTCATTGTTTTAACTGGAGTTGCTGTTGTAGAACTACTATTTATCATGATCACAATTTTGTTACATTGGATGTGTGGAGCGAGAGAAGAGGGGATGTGTGCATGGGTTTCAAAATTTCTAAAACAAAGAAAGAAAAAGGTAGAATCAATTAAAAATTTTTTTATATGAATTCTTTAAAAAAGCTACAAACAGCTGATCGATAACATAGTTTTTCTTGACGGCCGGCGGTTTTGTTTCTCATCTCTCCCAGTAACTGTCTGAGAGGGAGAGATATAGAGAGTACTTGGTATTACAAATGTTCTTATTAGAATTAATGAGGTTAGGCAAAATGGGAATATTATATGTCACAATTTAATTACATTTATTTACTATCTTTAATATGACAATTAGAATAAACCGCTTGCCATGGAAACCACAAAGTTGTCATTTATCATTGACGTATTAAAGCAACTACAACTCACTGGTGTTGTTGTCTGTAAGCAGCACAGACACACAATAATTATGATCATGATGATTAACTGATGGTTATTTAAATTTGCTATAAATTGCTTTTAATTATGAACAATAACAATTCATTCTCCCCCCGGTCCCCTACTTAAAAATTCCTATTGAATTATGGATTCTCACTACGGCCTCTGTCATACAAAAAGGATTTTCTTTTCGTAGACAATAACTTTTTGTATATATTTTTATTTTGCATTGTTTGTTAACTACCTTTTTTAGTCTCAACACACAGTATTGTTATTACAGCTTTTGTTATCCATAATCGGTTAAAGATATATCCAATATAAGCGAAAACAAATTATGGGGTTTTTCTTCAATCGTCGTGGTTTGTAAAATTCAACAGCCAGCCGTATTCTTTTTGTTTTTTTTTGGTTTAACTTCTTTTTTTTTCGTTTGTCGGTCGTGTGTGTGGTGGTGTTGCCTTTTTTATTTTTATCCGTCTGTCCCAAACGAAGACGTCGTCTACAACATATTACGCGAAAAGTATAATAATAACAGAGGAGGTGGGGTGGTGGCGGCGACGACGACGACGGTGCTGCTGCTAGGTATAGTATTTTCTTCTTATTATATTTTGTATAGAGCACCAAATTTGATTTCATTTAATTAAAAACACAACAAATTCATATAATTTTCATTATACTTTTCTTCATGGAAAACTTTTCCAATTATTACACTTTTCTTTCACTTTTTCGTATAAAACTGCAGCAATATTTTCGCAAATTTGTCGCCAACTTTTTTCCAAAAAAAAATTCTTTATCCATTTCTTTGTGCTGCTGCCTCCTCTTGTCAGGGGTTGCCTACATAATTATTACTGCATTTCGTTTTTATTTCGCACAAACATTGCCCTTCATTGCTGACAATTCACTGCGGGGCATTGCTTTCTTAATATTTGATATTTTATTTGTGGATTTTATCTTGATTTTTCTTAAATTTTGCAAATTTTCTCGTTGGAAAATAGGTTTTTGTCAGCCAAGAAAAATATTTCTCTTCTTCGTTTTGTGTTCGTTCGTAGTGTGTTAGGGATGCATAGGTCGACTTGTGGTTAATCGAACTGTTTGAGTAGTAAGACCGATGTCGTGGAAAATCGATGTCTATGGCCGTCAATGTTTTGTCATGGAAAGCCGACGGCGCGTGTTGTTATAAATATGGTAGAAGAATAGAGGTAGATGCATCATCACTTGCGAACATTGATATATCAAAAATATTGGAAAGTATAAGCGAAAATAAGTTGATTTTTCAACCGATGCTTCCAGAGGTTGTTATTAGATGTGTTTCTATTCTCTGTCAGAACTTAATGTGGATTGTTCGGAAATCTTATGATTTATAAATATTTCAATTTATTTGCACCATCAAAAGAATAACAGACGATGATATTGCCAAAGTTGACTATTCATCCAAAACGTATATTTGAGAATATATCTAAAATCGTTGCAGACTTTAAAATATGTATATACCCAATTATTGAATTTCTTCGAAAGGTAATTTGAAAGGTGATTTCCTTGCTATTACCACCGGTTTAAACAGCTCACTTGCTTGTATTGTATTAATCCATCTATTTTTACTTTTTGCAGGTCCTGAATATTGGTTTAAAATGGCCAAACGATACCTATGCCAATGGCGTTACAAAAATTGGTGGACTTGTCGTTAAAACAACATTGATTGGTACACAGGCTATTGTCAATATAGGATGTGGTATCAATTTGGATAATGACAAACCCACACGGTGTATAAATGATATGATCAGGGAATATAATCATACAAATCAAAAACAACTGCCTCTGCTTAAATATGAACAATTTTTGGCAATGACTTTCAATGAAATTGAGAAACTTGTTGAGCTGGTACAACGCGGAGATTTTGATAAATTCTATAAAATCTATTATGATTTATGGTTGCATGGGTAAGTAATGATAGAGTTCTTTTCCAATACAGACAGGTTTAACTTGTAATTTTTGCAGCGACCAATCCATAACAATTTGTGATCAAGATGGCTCCAAAACGGAAGCCAAAGTGCATGGCATTGATGAATATGGCTATTTGGAGGTTATGTTGGCCAATGGCACCAAACAAACTGTACATCCCGATGGCAATAGTTTTGATATGCTGAAAGGTTTAATAGTACCTAAGTTCAATTGAATCGGAAAGTAATTTCTCTATTTAAAACAAGCGGATTTATATTAGAATATGTGCAGACATATATACAATTTAAAGACATTTTGTGCATTTAAATAAGTTATTGCATTATTAAAAGAAAAACTATCTGAATCCCAAAGAATCCCAGTGAATTTCAAAGCATACACATTTTGAAAAAAAAGTTATTTATTAATAATCAAAATAAACATATTTATTACCAAAGGAGACGACAGAGAGATTCAATTAATGCTACCTATTTCCATATACTCGTATATTCCTATATATAAATGTTACTTACATTTCTAGCCTAATATTGAATAATTGTGTTTAATTATTTTTTTTTTTCTAAATTCTAGTCATCCATATAGCAACACATTTATTATAACCGTTAAATTTTGAGACTTATAATAATAATAACCTTAAAGATTTCTATGTGTTTTTTTGAAAATTGTCAAACAAAGAGGAAAGGAAATCTATTATATATTCTAGTTGTTGTTAAAACTATATACTATATAGGTACTCTATATTTACATTAATAAATGCTATTTCAATAGTAAGAAATAAAAGATAAAAATCATGAAATACAAAGAGTTTGAATTACATGCAAAAGGTGAGTTTTCAATTGTCATGCTTTGTCTACACCGATAGTGATGCTTCCTAATCCAAATTAAGAGAATTTTTAGTGAAATCTTGAGATTGTTTTCCTGCAGGGGTTTCAAAACGGTATATACAAATCTCGTACTGATATTGGCTCTGTTCCAGATTTTTTTCGATGTCATATAGGTAACATTTTTTAATATTGTGGTAACATTTTTACTAATTCTGGAACAGAGACATTTGGCCTTTGATATACCAGTGTTATTTAAGTTCTGGGGCTTAAGGGTGACCAATGATTTATTGACACTTGGTTGATGGTTAATTTCAATGGATCTTCGTCCTTTGTAACATTTGATCTGTCCCAGAACTGCAGGAATATAAAAATTTTCACTACGATAACCGATCTTACCTTTATAATATTATATTATTTTTTTTTATTATTTTTTTTTTTTTATTTTTTTTTTATTTTTTTTTTTTTTTTTTTTTTTTTTTTTTTTTTTTTTTTTTTTTTTTTTTTTATTTTTTTTTTTTATTTTTTTTTTTTTTTTTAGGCAACCCTATGACTGAGTAAACGTGGTTTTAGTTGCAGCTGATCGCGATTTGTTTTTTACGCTTAAATATCGACTGTTTGCCAATATTTCGTATTGTCATCTTGTTCAAAGACTAATTCTGTGTCGGGAAATCTAAAAAATATCAACGTTTTCATCATAAAGCAATGTATATTGGCCTTTTTTTGTTTTGTTGAGAACGAGACATTGTTGTTGCTGCTGATTTTTCTTCTTGCTGTTCTTTCCTGCAAATTTACCTGTTGTTGTTACTGGAATATAAAATGCCGCCAACGAAAACACTTACTATTTGCGGATCATGCAATGAATCTGTAACGAAAACCCAAGGGTCCATCAAATGCAACATATGCTGTAATTGGTTTCACTCGTTGTGCCTCAAACTATCTGACAAGGAACTTGCTGCACTTAAGGCAATTAAGATCAGTGCTTTTATTTGCCAGTCTTGTGACTCTAACCTGGATCGCAATAGTTCAAGTGACGATTTTGTAAACCTTAACAAGAAACTTGATGCATTTATTGCTAGTCATCAAGGTGAATTGATTGCTATCAAGTCGGCTATAGACAACATGAATACACAGATGACATCATGCCTGTCTGAAATCAAGGCAGACATTTCCAAATGCAATGATCGTGTTGTAAGGGTTGAGAACTCAGTGTCTTCTTTGCATGAAGAAAATAAAGCATTGTGGGCCGAAAATAACTCACTACATCACAGATTAAATCGTGCTGATTTCCTCGTGAGTGGTCTTCCAGATGGTCTGGACGATTTAGTGTCTGTGATAATTTCTCTTGCTGCTACCTTTAATGTGGAATTGGGACGCCGTGACGTTGCTTTGGCTTGCTATATTAACAGAAAGAGACATGTTCTTGTTAAGCTAAATTGTGCCGAATTTCGTGACCAGATTATGAGGAAGTATTTTCAGAGTCGATCGCTGCAACTTCGGGATGTTTTACCTGGTGTTGGTGGGGACATTTCCAGAAGATTATATCTAAATGACCACTTTTCCCCCGCTGCCAGTAGACTGAATAGTATATGTACCAATCTCCGTAAGCAAAATATAATAACAAAGTTTAGAATCCTGAACGGTGAAACTAAAGCTCGGTTAACAATGCCTGATGGCAGTATTGTTGTTCGAGATATAAATGAATGTTCGTTGCTGATTCCTGGTCAGAGTACATCATCCAACTGAAGTTTTATAGTATTTGCTTTCATATACATTTTCATTTATCTTATGTTTGATTATTAGTACTTAACCTCTGTATTATTGCTGCATTTTGATAAAATTTAATTAGTCTTTTGTTCTATCAGATCGATTTTTAAATTTTCATATCACATTTTGTTTTTGTAAGCGATTAGCTGCGCTATGAAATATATAAAGAAAGATTTTTATTTTTATAAATGATAAATTTAGGTTTTTATTGTTACTTATTACTTTTCTTAACACTATTGTTCTTCATTTGGTTCCCCGCCTCTACATTTTTCACCTATTTTGATGTCTTCTAATGAAAATCTTGGTCCATTGGTAAGTGGCAATTCTTATTTAAAAAATGTATTGTCTCCATTTAAAAGTAACTTAAATGTTGCTCACATAAACTGCAGAAGCATTCGGCCTGTTACCAAGCTGGATGAATTGAAGAATCTTTTGGGAAATAATAATACTTTTGATATTCTAGCAGTTACTGAAACATGGCTTGTTCCTGATATATTAAATTCAGCAGTTTCTATTCCGGGGTACTATTTCTGTCGTGGTGATCGTGAAATACCAGGTAGGGGTGGTGGTGTCGGAATTTACTTATCCAAGGGTCTCCCTTTTAGACATGTTTTTAAATCTTCAGTTCACCATTGTGAATCATTGTTTTTAGAATTACAATTCCAGAGCACTAAAGTTCTTTTTGGTGTAATTTATTTGCCCACTGGTGATATTGATTTATTTGAAAGTCTACACTGTAACATTTTTGAGGAATATAATAATATTGTACTTTTTGGTGACTTCAACTTCAATTTGTTTAACCCAACTAAGGCAATAATTTTTCGTAGACTTTGTACTCGATTAAATTTGAGTATTATTCATAACTCCAAGCCTACACACTTCGACCTAGGTAGCCGGTCTACGTCCTTGATAGATTTTATGCTAACCAGTGATTTTTCTATTGTAGCTTATTCTGATCAGATTCAATGTCCTGCTATATCAGACCACGCGTTAATTTTTGCATCACTTTCGATAAGTTTTAGCCTGATTTGCCTGATTTTGTTGAATACAGGAACTTTAACAATATTGATTGGAATGGCATATGGAACTTTCTTGCTTCATACGATCCAAATTTGGTTTTTAGTAGTGTTGGTGTGGATGCCAAATGTGCCAGCATAACTTCTCTTTTGGATTCCCTATACTCGTTTGTTCCGGTGGTTAGGAAAAAGATCAAACACTCAGTTGATCCCTGGATGAAGTCTATTGATGTAAGATTTGCTGTGTCTTTAAGGGATTTGGCCTTCTCGTCTTTTCAGAATGAACGAACACAAGAACACTGGCGAATCTACTGCAAATATCGAAATCGTGCGAAAGCTATAATACGCAGATGTAGAAGATATCACTATTCCAGGCTTTTTAATGGAATAAATTCTCGTGGTCTATGGAAAGCGTTAAGAGGATCTGGATGTGTGGGTAATGATCATGAAAATATTGATATCGATGTTAATAGCTTAAATGATTTCTTCTCTAGTTCTTCTTCGAATACTCCTGTTATGCCCCTAAATTTGGAAAGTTTTACGGACTCAGACTCATCTTTCACTTTTCGTTGTGTGGATGAATCTGAATTTATAGAAGCTTTATGCAGCGTAAAGTCTAAATCAATAGGTGTTGATGGGATTCCTATTGCATTTATAAAGAAGGTTTTTCCTTACATTTCCAACCTGATTTTGGACTTAGTTAATTGCATATTAACTACATCTACATTCCCCCATCATTGGAAAGCTGCTAGAGTGGTACCGATTCCTAAATGTCGTTCGGTCAGAGAACCATGTGATCTAAGGCCTATATCAATTTTACCAGCTCTATCAAAGGTTGTGGAGTCCATTATTAAGAAACAAATGCTTGAGTATTGTTCTCAAATAATTACTGAATCTCAGTATGCTTTCCGTAAAAGATACAATACCACACATTTGCTTCTTAAATTGACTGATTCTATTCGTGAACACATTAACAATGACAAGTTATGTGTTCTAGTTGCATTAGATTTGTCTAAAGCATTCAATTCTCTTGATCATTGCCTTCTTATATGGAAGCTTAAATATAATTTTGGTTTTTCCAAATCAGCATGTATGCTTATTCTTTCTTACTTACAAGATAGAACCCAATTTGTTATGTTAAATGGTGTCATGTCAAATACTTGCCCTTTATTTTCCGGTGTACCCCAAGGATCTGTCCTTGGCCCACTGCTTTTCATTTTATATGTCAATGATCTCCCGCTACATGTAAACTCATCAGCTTGTGAAACGTATTTGTTTGCTGATGATATTTTTATCCTCTTCAATGGTTGTCGTGAATTTCCAATGTTACTTGAGAATGACATTAATGTTTATCTGAGACGCTTTGTTGATTGGGCAGCGAGAAATTCATTAAATATTAACTCATCTAAAACCAAGGCTTTGGATTTTAGATTTAGTAACAGATCTGTACACCTACTAAATATATTTATTGGTCAAGACAAAGTTGATTTTGTTCACCAGCATAAGTGCCTTGGAGTTACAATTGATTGTGAACTTTCCTTCAAACATCATATTGATACTTTAATGGGTAGAGTATATAGCGTTTTACGTCAGATTTATTCGTCAAACATGTACTTAACACAAAATGTAAAACATACTTTAGCAAGTTCTCTATTGATGACACAAGTCTTGTACGGTATTGAGGTATTTTCTGGAACTGTTGCTTCAAATATAAATAGGCTAAAGCGTATTGTTAACATAATTACACGTTTTGTATATAATCTACGACGTGGCAGTCATGTATCTAGTCATGTTATACGTTTTCTGGGGTGTTCCTTTGACATGTTTATTAAATACCGCTGCTTATTACTTTTTTATAACGTTATTAAAAATAATGTCTCTTACTCATTTAGAACGTCCTTTACCTTTACTCATTCATCCAGAAACCCACAGATTTTTATACCTAGAATCTTTAAAAATGTTTTTGCTAGATCGTTTTTGGTCAGAGTTGCGAGATGTTGGAATACACTTCCACTCGAATTACGCATATTTTCCCAGAGTAACAATGCTTTTCGCCTCAAGATTTTGCAATTATTTCTAAACACGTCTTAGTTGTGTCTAAATCTAGTTTATGGTAAATGTATTATATAATACACAACTTAAGAATTAAGATGCCGCTTACTGATTATTTTATGTAGTAAAATAGTTTAATTTGTTTTAATGGCTGGGGAGCCAACTTTTCTTTTCTTTTTTGAATATTAGAGTAAAAGTAGAAATAGTTTTAAATAAATTAAGAATCTTTATATTGTAAATAAATTAAGCTCAGGTTATATTATTTAATGCAAGTTGATACACATTATTGGCCTTGGAGGCTTTGTATCACTAATGAATTGAAATAAATAAATAAAATAAATAAAATATCGAAGAAAATGGCAAAATTAGTAGATTCTTGAAGGTACTGAAACCATTTTCTTCGACGAAGCAACATATCGGTTTCTGTTCCACCTTTCAATTCGTTGATCCAACGAGTCTTTCGATCTTGAAAATAATTAAGAACTTTCCAAATTATTGTTAATCATTGAAAATAATAATGTTACCACAATCTTGAGAATAATTAAGAACTTTCCAAATTCTTGTTAGTCATGGTATTTGCTTTGTTACTAAATCTCTGTTCCAGAGCCTGAAGAACTACTAGTTTTGCAGTTTTTTACATTCTTGCATATCTGGAACAGACCATAAATTTACTAAAGCTAAATGGGTAATCATAGAACACTTCTACATTTGCTGTGTTCAAGAACCTGCAAGAATCTAATTTTTTTGCAATTTTTTCGATATCATAAAGTGAAAATTGTTTATTGTATAAAAAGTTTTTACATTCTTGCAGTTCTGGAATAGACCAATTGATTTTCTCTACATCAATGACCGTCGAAAAATATTTACAATCCTTCTAGTTTGCTGCTATGGGCGACGCCCAATAATTGGAAGGCGTGCTACTGCTGGGGCTTTTCATTAATGGTGCTCATTATGGTGTTGAACATAAATTTTCTGGTTACAGTGCATTACGAACCGTGTCTTATGGGAAAACAAATTTGTTCAAATGCCAATAAGAACATGGTGTTACCCTGTTGGCAACAATGAAAGAAAAGATTGACAAATTCCATCTCTGCAACAGAAATGCCGTTCACTTTTTCATTTTATTCATTCAGTTATTCCAGTAAAGTAAACATAAACCAAAAAAAAATTTAATCTTTCTCCTAATTTTGTGTCATAATTTCATTAAAAAAAATTGCTTAAACAAATACCATTGAATAGAAATGCCGGTAATCCACACCTTGTCCACAATCGATAACATAAAACATCAAATAAACTCGGCGAATAATCGATTAGTCCAATTTCGAGCTACATATCCCTAGTATGGCTCGGTTCTTTTGCATGTAGAGGAGTTATAAAACTATGTGAAAATTGTAAATTTTACGGGGAAAACAATAAAATAATTTAATAAAAATAAGTTTTATTTGTAAAACAACACAAAATGATATAGAGCGAAAACATTTTTATAGTTAATACATCTTCTACCGGACTACTAGGAAGAGAAGAACGTTTCTTGTCCAGCTTCCCCTTTTATCGTTTATATACACAGGAAAAAAATCATTGATATAGAACAAACTTCATTCCCAAAATGTCCCAAAGGCCCGCATCACGTATAGATCGCTTCGCTCAGATGAGCAAACAGGAGGAGCTGATCGCAAAGAAACGACAAGAGATATTGGAAAAGCAACGCACGGCTGAGTTGGCGAAAAAAGTTGTGGCCCAACAATTGGCGAATAAATTGAAAAATGATATCGAAGCCGAGAAGGAGGTGGAAAAGAAATCTTCTGATGTTAGTGAGGATGAAGTAAAGACAGAAACATCGTCAGCGGCGTCAACAACGGCGGTAACGTCGTCAACGGCTGCTGCTGCATCTGCCCCGAAAACTAGTGTAACCAGCAAACTGACTGGCAAAATGTATGGCGGTGGTCAAAAACGTTCCTCAATAGCCATACCAAATGCTGAGCAACCCCAACCAAAAATACAAAACAGCTTTTGTAATGATGGCTCATTTTTGGAGAACTTTAAAAAGATTCTGGAGAAGCAACAACAGCAGCAACCCAAACCATTTGTACAAGTGTAAGTAAATGCGATATGTAACAGCTTTTCTTTGCTAACTTTTTTATTTTATTCCAGGACTGAAGCGGAGGGTGAAGCAAATTCCTCCACTGCTGCCACAAATCAAGCCACAGGTCAAGGTGCCACACTTCCACCTCATTTACAACAACAACAGCAGCAGCAGCAACAACCTCCACCACAGCAACAGCAACCAGTACCACCACATCCATCTGCTATGCCACCAACATCACAGCCAATGCAATTTCAATTTAATCCTGCTTTGCTAGCTGCTCAAAATCATCTGCTTTTGCAAGATCCCAACTCATCACCCGTTCCCCCAATGCCAATGCCACCACATTCGGCAGCTGCTTATTTTAATGCTGCCGTTTCGGGTGCACCACAATTTGTACCCCCACCACCGCCCGCAACCACAGTGGCTGCAGCAATGTTAATGCCCATGCCAGGTGTAACAGTGGCACCACCGCCACCTCCTCCTCCACCACAACTACCACTTAGCTTGGCATCGCTCACACCATTGTATATGATACCAGCTCCAGAGCCATTACAGCTGAATACAATTCCACAGCCGAAAGAATTTGATTTGAATGCCATACCAAAGCCTCAACTGAATTTAGAAGCAATACAGATGCCGGCAAATAATGGACAAGATCCAAATTTGAATGCAAGACCAGATGGGGAACATCAGCAGCAGCAAATAAATGAAACACAACAACAGCAACATCAACAGTTGCAACAGCAGCAACAAGTATCACAGCAAGAAAATGAACAACAACAGCAACATCAAGAGAATCAATACCAGCAACAACAGACGCAAAATCAACAGCCTATGCAATTTCAACAGCAGCAGCAACAACAACAGCAATCGCACATTCAGTTTCAGCCCCAGCAGCAACAACAACAACAGTTACAAGAACATCAGTCACAACAACAACAGCAGCGCCTGCAAAATCAACCAGATTTCCCACAAAATTCTCAAGGTGAGCATTTTCTTAGCCCCAGAAATGTGATGTTTGATTTGTTTGGCAAATTTTCGTTTTATACATATTTTTCTCATTGTTGTTATTTTTACTTCTCAATTTTCAATTCATAGCCACAAGCATTTTTCAATCATAAAAATTTTCCTCACTATGGGAATCAGTAATAAGTAGATAGTCAAAGCATTTTTTTCTTAAATTGAAATATAGTTTTGTTTCTTAATGTGGCGTTTCCACTACACTTGATTCGCTCTCTATTCTTTGTTCGACCCTTAACTATGAAAAAACTACTTAATTCTTCAAACAAAATTTCCTGAGCGAACACTTATATTTGTACATTGTTCAAATCAAATCACTCTCCGAACAACGAAAAAATATGTCCCATCCCTAACAAATGAGAGCATTTATCGAAAAAATAAATTATGACATTTAAAAATTAAAACTAGAAAAATTTAATGAAATTTTAAACATTTTTGGGAAGACTGAAAATTATGAATGAAAACTACAATGTTGAATGGCGTATGTACATTCAAACGAAAGTACATTTTTGAGTTTTGCCTTGTTAAGGCGAAGATCATATGTTTTATGATTTAAGTGTTTAAGCTTTCCTTTTCACTGCAAATTTCAGATCATTAAGCTCGTCTCGAAAGAGAAAGTACATTTTGTTTTCTCTTTCATTCGAGGTACGCATTTTGTCCACGAGTTGAAATTTCCACAGAAAACTGCAAACAAAAGAGCAATATTTTCAAAATGTTTGTATCGGCAGAAAAAAATTTTTGACAAGTGTCTCTCCAGCAGAATTTAAAATTAAAAAAATACAAAAATATGTTCAAAATGTCAATATTTACACAAAAACTTGAAAACATGAATAAAAATTGTATAATTAATTATATAATTATTCTTTGGAAGAAAAACAATAATTTCTTCTATTCATATTAGTGAGAATTTCAAGTATTTTTGTATAAATTCCCATTCAAATCAACAAACAAAATTTGTGAAAAAAGGAATTATTTTACTATGAATTACGAATCGTGCCGTATGAACGGGTTAATTCGTGTACCTAATTCTGAGAGCGAACAACGTAATTGAAAGTGTAATGAGAACATAGCATAACATATGAAAGTACTGAACTTAGATATTCCGTTCCAGATAATGAACGGGGAAGTACAACACTGGCCGAGTAATACCTTTTTTGAGTTACCGACAAAAGTCAGTTCGGTTCGGTTATTTAAATACATTTTGACTTGCGTTATGATTATTCAAATTATTGACCCTTTCATATAAGAGGTTCCGAATTAGTGGACCAATATTTTCCATTTCGTATCTGACATAAGTCTGATAAAAATATCAGAACGTATCAGATTTGGATTTTATATCGACTACTTGCTTCATTATTAGATATTCCATACTATTTCGAATAGTTCGCGTTTTATGAGAGTTATAATTATTTAAAATTCTGACCCGTTGTGGGAGAGGTACCACCAGAAGGAGTAGTCCTATATTGTTCATCTTCACAATACATCTTGGGTTGATAGAAGTATTGGGATGTGCCGAGTTTGAAAGTAATCGGAAGCTCATTTCGCGTTTATAGTGATGGTTATTCCAAATGTTGATCTTTTATGGGTTAGGTAGTAAAAGGAGTGGTCCGTTCAATCCGTTTGTTTGAAGATAATCGGACTCTTAGTTAAAATTGTACAAACGTTAAAATTATTAAAAATGTTGGGGGAGGTACCTGCTGGAGTGGACCGACATTGTCTATTTTCGCACCCGACCTAGCATTGATACAAACATTAGGATTTGTAAAGTTGGAGCAAAATCTGGTTATCTTTTCTTTTTCTGTGCATTAAAATATATTTTTTGAAAATGTCGACATTTTGTCGTTGTCGGTTCGTCGACAGTTTGACAATAATATAACGATTTACCAAGTTTGGATCAAATCGGATACTCCCTTCGAGAGTTATCGTGCACACCAGCCAGCCAGGCAGACAGAGGGACGGGTGAACGGACATCACTAGATCGACCCCAAATGTCCTGAAACGGATTTGGTCCAAAGAGATCTAGGGTCTAAACCCGTTATTTCGATGAGGCACATTTTGGCCGGATATTTTTTGGAAATCCAGCTTGAAAAGCTTCATTTGAATGGTTAGGCCCCTCGAAATTGTTTCGAAAGGTTATTCTGACTACATGGGTGTGGTTAGACAACATGGCATGAGGCGACGGACTAAAAAATTGAGTGATGTGAGTCACATAAAAAGTTACGAGTCAGGGAACTCATTCTTGAAGTCAACAGTCCAGTAGTCGATGACATATATGAAATGTTCTCACGCAGCTTTCCGCATACTACCACGCGAGGAATATGAAAATATCTGCCACGAAATCAACGGCCACACTCTTTACCACATGGTCTGCGGAGATGAGAACACAGCTGAATGTGCAGGTCGAGGGAAATTGTATACCGACTATGAACTACCCCAAGATTCTAACGGTCACATTCGACAGCATGTTCAAGTCGTTGACGCAAGCCACAGCTATCTGCGACAAGATGAAAAGGAGGAACGTTGTCCTCAAGGCGCTAGCCGGGAGCACTTGGGGTGCGGACAAGGGAAAATTGTTTGAAATCTCGTTGACCTCTTATAACGTGATAGGTCAGTCTGTGGTCAACTATGCGGCTCCAGTGTGGTCTGCGAATACTAGTGCTCCCAGCCATAAAATGGTGGATACAATTCCCCCACCCAGCGGTGTCAGGAAGGACATACACGATCTAATTAGGGAGGTCCAACGCTATAAGAGAGAACCTCTAGATCACGAAGCCTAACAGGCAGGTCTGAGTAGCATTCTTATCGATGCTTATCGATGCAGCATTCTTATCGATGCAGTAATCAACAATTACGGGATGTATGCCATCCTCGGAGTCCTCCCCCGCCTCCATCCATTGCAGCTAAAGAACGTCAGCTGACTAGACAAACCAGGGTAGTTTTGGCGCAATCACGGTCAGGATGGTGTAGTCGTCTCAATTCGTATTGGGCACAAATTGACAAAGATATACGTGACGTCTGCCAGACACACACGAGACACAAAAAATTTATTCACATTTAAATGCTGGAGTGCTCTAACGATAGCCACTCGTGTTACTTTCCAGCCAAATTTAAAGAAATCACACTATCACGTTTGAATTCCATCACGAATAACTTTTTTCCGGAAATTTCTTACCAAAATGCTTTTGTACGCTTGTAAACAATATAATGAGCTGTCACTGAAATAATTTTAACAGCTGTCGGGCGAGTGGCTTAAAAATGACAGCAGTCTGAAGTTGGTTGCAGTTTTTTCATCTCACCCGGTACATCTGTCGGCAAAACCGACTAATACTATTTTACTTGTTTTTAGATATTTTTGGAAATTCAGCTTGAAAACCTATTTTTGTTGCTCCGGGCTTCGAAATGGTTTCAAGAGGCTTTTCTGGCTACTTCGGTGTGGTCAGACATCAAATTACCCAGAACCTAGGAACTTACCCATGAACTGTCTAGTAGGCAAGCATAGACGGATAATGTGGTTAGACCACAGATTATAATACATACCATACTTAAAGGTTAGCCAACAATTATAGCAGCATTGAAATAACTTGACATGACTAATAGAGTGATTTAATCACAGTTCAAATCTGAATGCTACAGACGCACCGATTCTTATTGTAGACGATTGCTCTCGTCTCATACCAAAAATACCAAAAACTTTATACCATGGGCTGAAGAACTAAAGTATAAAATAGGAAGCTGGGGTATGGTTATCAGATGTCACATCCTGTTTCTTTTAGAGCTCTCTTATATCCATAGGATATCAAAAAAACTCTGTTCGAAATTACTGATTCCCTTTTTTGTGTGAACTTTGCCAGGAACATACATCACTCGATTTTCCTCCGAAACAAAAATATGGAAAATTGTATCAACCAATTTGCATTGAATCAAACTCACAAACAATCAAACATTATCTGTAAAAAACAAATTTAGTTTCCAAGCATGCTTTAAATGTTATTCTCAGACTTTTTGTTTGAACTTTCTTACTTTCTCTATTTTGTTTTTTTTTTTTTCAAATCAATTATATTATGTTGTTGTAAGCTTAACGAATAAGATTTTAAGAGAATTTTCAGTAGTTTTTTCAGACAATAACAACCCGCTCGACAATAACAAATGCATACAATTACCAACGTCCATAGAAAATCTTATCGAGTTGGTGGTCGAAAACGGTGATGCATATGAAGAAACATTGCGTGGCCATAAAAATCAATTGCATCCAGCTTTGTGGTAAATAAAAAAATAATAATATGAAATCTAGAGAATACCTATAGGCCAAAGGGAGAGGAATTATTTGAAATTTCGTAAACGTTTTCGTACTCCTTGAGCTTGTTTACAATTTTGGGAAAAAAATATATAACACAGAATAAGAGCGACACCAAATCTCAACAAGCCACATACCCACATAAAAATGAAAAAAAATCCAAACCTCTTGGAATCAAGACTGATCAAGAGATGCTAACAAGATGATCATGCTGATGATGGGTTTAATGGTTACTATGGATACAGCTCACAGCTTAATTACAGCTTGCTACAGAATATTTAACAAAAAACAAAACAAATATTCAGCAAATACATCTCGTGGTTATCTCCAAGTTTACTTGTTGTAAATTATTTACTATACTTTCGTTTATTATTATCCCCTCCTCTCTTTCTTTCTTTTTTCTCGTGTATTAATCTTGTAGGTTCCTCAACGATAAGTCCTGCGAACAATACCACCACTATCGACAGGAAATAATCGATCGGCGACAGGAGAAACTCAAAGAACAACAACAAAAGGAATATGAAGAAATGAAACAAGAGAAAATGTCCAATGCATCAGGCGGCGGCGGTGCTGGTGGTGGTGGTGGCTACAAACAACGTCGTCCCTTCTGTTCCATGGAAGAAGATAAATATGATCCGGAATCGGTAATCAGTGCCGACAATGATTCCGATGATGAATATCGTCGTGGTATGATGGATCGTAATCGTGATAATATAAAGCGACGCATTGAATGTCGCAATGAGTTGAGCGAAGAGGAACGACAGGAGCGCGAAGCTGAAGAGCTGGAAGAACAACGTCGTCTGGAAAAGAAAAAGTTGCGCAAAAGCCGCTGGGGTGGAAAAGTTGAAATGGCCGATGCAGCCAGTTCGTCGTCGTCAAGTAAGGAAACTTTTTGAAAATATAAATGTGCATTTGTGTATTTTAAGATTTATTGTTTTATTTTGATTACCAATTTTTGAGCCTAGGTCTTAGGGTGTTTCAAGATTTTTGGAGGACTGTCAGAGCTATACTCGTGGATTTCCTTTGATTTTATAGATATAATAGATTTATATTTTATCAAAGCTGAGAAAAATGATATTTTTCCAGGACTTTCAATGCAATGACTGTGGATTCGTTAAGACTTTTGCTTCGAGGTTTTTTTTTTTAGCAAGGAAGAATGTAGTGTAGTATTATCAGAGCTACAAGCATTTATAAGAGATCCAGCAGCTCTTAAATTATATATAAATTATCCTGAACATTCAGAGTCACAGACGTAGTTTAATTTATTTTCCCGAGCTACAAATGTGAATTTAAAAAAAAAAAATATTCCAGGAGGACCGGAGCAATTAACGTGGACTTAATATTTTGTATATCGTATATCGTAAATGTATATCGTAATATTAATTATTAAACTTAGATTGCGTTCGGAGATGTAACCTCTGTAGTCTTTCCTTTAAAAAGTCTTCATTTAAAAAAAAGTAATTTACGACATAAAAAGAAGAAGGATCATCCGATATCGTTCAAACTTTTGAAATCCCAAAATTAATATCAGTGCTTGGTCTACTCCTAGTTCCTTCCCCACAAAGAAAAAGGAAACAAAAAAAAATATTTCATACAAAGTGGAGGATGTAGTCAATTATATAAGGGTAGGGTCAGTAGCGAAATGGATAATATTTGTCTTATCCTTTACTGTATCCTTAATAAAGGGTCAACATTTTAAATAATCACAATGCAAGGCAAGATATATTTTTATTGGAGTAGACTTGGCAAAACACATACTTTTTAACTATTTTTTTGAAGATTTTTAGATCCACAAAAACGTATGTTTTTGGGGACTAAGATTATTTTTTAAGGTTTATTAGATACCTACAAACGTGGAATTTTTAAGATTCTTTTTTCAGAAACTATTAGAGCTAAAAATGTGGATTTCGAAAATGATTATTCCAAGGACTATCAAAACCACCAAAGTTGTGATATTTTTCAAGGACTACCGTGAATTTCCTAAATTTTGCATAAAATGGTTATCAGAGCTACAAACCTTAGATTTTGAGATTATTATTTTAAACGATTATCAAAGCTATAAATGTGAATTTTTAAGACTTTTCTTAAGGACTCAAATGTCAACTAACAAGGCTTTGAACAATTATTTATTAATGCTTCGGAATCGGAACATCTTAGGTGAACTTTTGAACTTATTTTTGAAGAGATATTGGCATTGTAAATTCCATGTTAGTGAAGCTTAAGGCTCTTGCAAAATAGCCAATAAGAATTTCAGGACAAATAAGAAAAAATCTTAGGTACCAGAAGGTACCTTCTTTAGGGCCGAAATCTCAATATATTCAGGCTTCTCCATCACGACCTTCGAGTTCCTGCCAACAAATATATTGCAGTAAGCAGCGGTCCTTCTTTGTTGTTGTAGCAGTGATAATGTGCTCTGTTGTTTATAGACTGATTAATACGGTTCTTCTTCGATGCCCAGGTTTAGGAATTCTGCTACCTTTATGGGCTGTTGCCAGAGATCATCTGGACGGAGTTGGGTAGGCTTTGTTGGACAATTGAACAGATGCAGCGCATTGTGCGGGCCTTCTTCGTCAATTCGAGCGGTTCTTCTTTAGTCTATACTCTGTCTGACCTCATTGCTTTCGGTGGTTGATACTGAGTGGGAAAGACAGAATCCGCTCCATTCAAATAGTCCTGTCTCTTTGGGGTTTAAACACAGGAGGAAATTCAGAATCCGGTCCATTAAGCTATTCTTGCTCCTTGGGTGCATTTGACAAAAAACGGCTATGAAATTTGGCCATTTATGACCGAACATTTAGCTTAGGACACCTTCTTCTCTCACGAACTTTAGCTTTAACCTAATCTCCATAAATTCTGCCTTCATCATGACCTTGGAGAGTATGACAACAAATCTGTTACAGAAGTAACAACTCTTCGGTAGTCGTTCCCATACTTCCTCTCTTGCGCCTTATTGTTCTCGGTGGTTGAGGCTGTGGGGATGGATAAAATCCTGTCCATGCAGATACTCCTGCTTTTTTGGGGATGTATTTGACAAAAAAATGGCTTTAAAATTTGATCAATTACGAGAGGACATCTTCTTTCGAACTCCTTCAGGAGGAATTTCAGGCTCCTCCATCACGACCCTTAGATTGAGTTCTCATCATCTCTTCCTCCTCTCCCTCCTCTTTCCAGACATCCTACCTTTCGTATTGTATTTCAATTTTATCCTAACCCATATAAATTCAACCTCAATCACGACCTGTGATTTCTGCTAACAAATCCGTTAAGAGGAAATTAAAATTCTTCTTCCTATATCCCACGCCAATACAGCACCCTGCCGCAAGTGATGTGGCTTGTCTACACCCACTAATCCCCTAAAGGACATGTATTTGGGTTGCAGGTGATGAAGGTGGACCACCAGGACCTGTTGGAATTGTATCCGTGATATCAACTATCAGATAATGAAATATCCTCCATTAAGTCTTTCAAAAATTCTCATCTAGCTTAGTCCACTTCTGTTACTCCAGAAGTTTGAAAAAAAATACCAGATTTTTTGTATTACCCACCCAGAGTTTCCAATTTGCACACTTTGTTTTGTCACCGTTGTCCGTGTCGTAGATCCTGTGTTTTTTGTCCACAAATTTTTCCCGAAATATGGGGGAGATGCGGTCAGCCATGCCACGCTACTTATATGATAAGAACTCGGCAACTAAGCCTGTTTCGCTAAAGCGCCGAGGTGTCAATGAATTTTCGTCCGAATACATTCGTTACCCTGACTGCTAACACCTCAGAGTTCGTAGGTGACCTGCTAGGCTGACTTAAGGAGGACACTATATCACTTCACTGGAGTGGCAAAGTGAATTCCGTTTTGAAAGTGACGCTGCCTTTGGAACAGCATCACTACCTTTCGTGTTATTATGTGGGGCGGAAGAGAAAACCACATTTTCTTCGTTGTTTTTGTCCGAAATCAGCTTAAATTCAATTATCACTTTTTGTTGACATTCAGATTCAAATGATTATATTTCCCCTGTTTCGAATTCATTGAGGTGGATGGTATGAAAACTTTTTACTTTCCTTTAATCCAAAAGGCGATATTGTCCATCGTTTGTCTTCTTAGATCCCATCGCATCTTTATAACATTTCCGTTTGCTCGCAGGTGTACCCACAAATTTTGGTAATCAAAATAAACCCCTGCTCTCGACTATAACCCGCAACGATCCGGCCCTGCTACAATATGCCAAAATGAATTATGGATCGACAAATCTAAGCGAAGAAGATTGGGTTAAATGCGAAGAGCATTACAAAGTTAACCTGCTGTATCAGGATATGATGCGTAAACGGCAGGAAATTGATCGTTTGGCTAAATCGGGTAAATTCAAATATGAATATGATTCGGATGAAGATACCGAAGGTGGAACGTGGGAGCATAAATTGAGACAAGCTGAAATGGATGCCACGCGGATGTGGACCCAGGCACTGACCAAGCAAAGTGAGGGTAAACATCACATTGGTGACTTTTTGCCGCCGGAAGAGTTGCGCAAATTCATGGAACAATACGAGGCCAAGAAGAGTAATCGTCAACCGGATTTAAGTGATTACAAGGAATATAAACTGCGTGAGGATAATATTGGTTTTCAAATGCTACAGAAGCTGGGCTGGAAGGAGGGCCAGGGTTTGGGTCAGGATGGTGCCGGCATTGTGGATCCTGTTAATAAGTATATTCAAAGACTTGTTTTTTGGGATTGGTTGGATGGGGAAATAATTGTGATTTGTTGTTTTCAGGGGACCCCAACGTGAGGGCAATCAGGGATTGGGTGTCTCTAGCAGTGCCACACCCGAGGACTGTGACAATGAATATGATGCCTATCGCAAGCGCATGATGTTGGCATATCGTTTTAGACCCAATCCTTTGGTAAGTTTGGGGGAGAGCCATTCTAGACCATTATTTAAATTTGTATTTTTTTGTTTTTCTTTTACAGAACAATCCCCGCCGGGCCTATTATTAAATATATATTCAAGATATTTTCAACCTGGACAATTGTGTTATTTTCACTGTATCAAAAACATAAACTAAGAAAGCCAGATTTCTTTGAAGAACAACTACAAAATAAATACTATAACTACCTATATTGTATATCATCGAATTCAACAAATTAATTATTAAAAAAAAAAAAAAATAAATAAATAAAACAAAATTGTATTTGTTTAGAAAATAATATTTACTAGAGTTGCTTTTCTTAATACTTAATTATTTAATAATAATAATACTCTTAATATTGTCTATGTCGGGTTTTTTTTTTTGTAGATGAGTGTTTTAAAACAAAATAACGTTTTTCTTTTTTATTAAAATCATAGCCTAAGAGTAAAGAGTTAATACTGGTGTTTGATTGCCTCTGGCCATGAGGACAGGACACTGCACCTCGCTGGACAGCATTTCCAACCAGGACATGTACAGCGGGGCGGATATGGCTTCCTGAAATTCAAAAGGAAATTAGAGTAAATAATTCAAATTGAAAAAAAAAATGTATCTCCATCTCTTCCTACCTTTCTAGGCATTGGCAAGGACATAACAATTAGGGCAGCCTGCGACGAATGCTGCACCACCATTTCATGTATGCGCAGCTGACGATTGGTCTTCTCCTGCATATCTTCGATTTCATCATTGGTTATGCCAGGATATTCATTGCGCACATTGGCAATATAGCTATTGAGTAGTTGTTTGTGCTGTAACAAAGTCTCGCTACGTGGAGCATCTGTCAAGCCCTTGAGCATTATCAATTCGGAGTATTTGATACGGAATTTGGTCAACAAACTGGCCATGCTGTGGTGGTCAAAATTAAAATGAAATAAAAAGAAAAAATATGAAATTGCTGCACCAATGGAAAAAGGAGGAGGTATAAAACTTACTTCTTCTCTTCATTTTCTTCATCCTTGCCGTTGCTCAAAGCAAATACCCGAAGTTTACAACCAGACCAATTGGAGCGTTGCGAAATAATATATGGCAAGAGCATCGTTAGACCTGAAAACGAAACGAAAGCAAACATATTAAGTAGTCTTTCATAGTTTTTAAGTCGTATTTTAAAACTCTTCTATTTCTAAGGTGTCCACCGAAAATGTCGTGCTCTTTGGAAATTCAGTGTTTTAAGGCCATGTGGATAATATGGGAGAGAATCTTAAAAAAAGCGGATCTTGTGGTTAGAATCATCACAGGTCACAGTAACATAGGCGGCATGACTTCTAAGTGGGGTGTTGACGACACCGATTACCGCAGGCTATAGTCATAGTGTCACCCGGTCTCATAAATGACGTCTCCATTAACAGGTGGCCCGATTTTATAACCCTTGAACGCCGCTCTTTTCTTAACCAAAGGAAAACTTCCGTGGCCAGAATTCAGAGAGTTCACTTTTGACATTCTGTGATTTTAAAGCATATGGAAAACATAGGGGCGGATCTATAACTTGATTTCTTAGTTGGAGGGCGACGACACCGATTGCTGCAAGTCATTACCAAATTGTCACCCGGTCTGATAAATGACATGACTTGACAACCCCTTATCTTTCTTGGGCCAGATAACCATTTCGATAAGTAAATCGCCCGATTTCAAAACGTGCGAACGACTCGCTTTTCTTAACCATGGGAAAGCTCACTGGCCAGAATTCAGAGGGTTCACCAACCTTCGTTTCAGAGAACTGCCTAACCCTTCTGATGATCGGGTAGCAGAAATGATTTTCCGAGACATCATCAAAGCTGCAGCCCTTCACTGTATTTCTGCTGGTCGAATACTCGGATAAGACCAAACTTCCTGCAGAGACAGCGGGACTGGTAAATGAGCTTGATGATCTCCGACATTCCAATCCTACTGGTCCGAAAACCAATGAACCAACCCTTCTAATGATCCCAGAATCAATGAACCAACCCTTCTGATGTTTGGGTAGCAACAAGGATTTTCCGAGACAACATCAAAGCTGCAGCTGCTCGCTATAGACATGCTGGTCGAACACTCGAAATAAAATCAAATCATCTAGCATAGATAGCGGAACTGGCAAATAAGCGTGAATATCGCCTTCGATCAAACCCAACTGATCCCAGAATTAATGAAATCACTATTGTGATGATCCCAGAATCAATGAACCAACCCTTCTGATATTCGAGTAGTAAAAAGGATTTTCCGAGACATCATCAAAGCTGCAGCCGCTCGCTACAGACATGCTGGTTGAATGTTCGAAATAAGACCAAATTTTCCAGCAGAGGCAGCTGGACTAGCAAATGAGTATGATGTTCTTGTCGATTAAACCCTACTGATCCCAGAATCAGTGAATTGACAGTAGAAGTCCAGCGGTTGGTACAGGACAATAAGAGATACAAAAATGGCTAGACCAACTAAAGCGTTACGACATTGCAACCGATAGAAGTAAGCTGTGAGTAAAAATTAAATCGCTCTCGAACCCTGGGAAAAGTATTATAGGACCCTAGTCACTTTTAACGACGTAACGGTGACTGATCCGAAGAGCTGCATATTTTGACCGACAATTTGTTGAGCATCCCGAAAGCGATAGGGCGAAGCAAAGTGTACTACGTCATATCAGAGACATGAAAACCGGAGCCGCTCGCTATATACTGTTCGCTCTACTGTTGGTCGAATAGCCAAAATAAGACCAAATATCTTGGGTATATAGCGACGGCTCCAGTTTTGATGTCTCTGATATGACTTCCTGAAGTGTTGGAACATTGAAAGCGATATGAGCAAGCTGTCGATAATGGTTAAATAGCTCTCGGACCCTGGGAAAAAATAATTATAGGACCTCAATTACTTTTAAAGACGTAAAGGTGTCTGTTCTGAAGAGGTGCGCTGGGTATTTTAGCCGAAAATTTGTCGAGCATCACAAGGGCGATAGGACGAATCGAAGAGCACTACATCGCGTCAGATCTCTTCCTGCCGAAGAGGCATTACCATAGTTTACAATGGTTGATGTTGCAAATGTCATCCAAAGCGTAGGACCCAGACGGAATCTTAATGGTAATGTTGAAATAACTGGATATGCCGGAAGTTGAGCAGCTGACAAAAGTTATCAACCTGTCACTAGCTATCCACCTCGTTTCCGAAGCGTGGAAAATGCCGGGACTGATGGTCCTGCTACAAAAACCGCCAACTTAGAACGTCAGCATAACCACATGCTTTCATTGCAGTACCTGCTGGGGTTTTATCGTGAGGGTCATCCCAACCATCATATGGTGGATACAACTCCCCCACCCATGCGTGTCAGAAGCGATATACATGATCTAGAGAGGGACGTCCAACACCTTAAGAGAGAACCACTGGATCAAAAAGTCTATCAGGCAGGTCAGAGTGGAATTCATACCGAGGCAATCGCAGATGCTATCAGCAATTACAGGATGAATGCCGTTCTCGTAGTTCACCTCCATACATTGCAGCTGAAGAACGTCAGCTGCCTAGACAAACCAGGATAGTTTTGGCGCAATTACGTTCAGGATGGTGTAGTCGTCTCAATTCGTATTGGGCACGAATTGATGAAGATGTGCGTGACGCCTGCCCGGCGTGTGATACAGGCCCACACAATACGCTGCACCTCTTTAATTGCAAACCTACCCAACTCACTCTAGAAGATCTCTGGCTACAGCCCATTAAAGTAACCAAATTTCCTAAGACTGCTGTTATCTAACTCACCTCCATCATCGTACAGCCAGAAGACATCTATGGTACTCTTTGGCTGTTTGCGCGTGAATATTGTCACAGCATCCAATATGTGCTTGGGTACCTCCGAACCATTTCTCGTCATATAGGCCACATTGTCATCATGTTTGAGGTTATATTTCTTGGTGCTACTCACATTGGGCAGAGGTGGTGGCTGTGGCATGGTATACGATGACTGGGCACTATCCATGCCCGCTAAATTAAGATTAGAATCAACATGCAAGAGTTCGGAGGCAGTGTTTGAGGGTGGCATTAATAAATTGGTAAATCCCTTGGCATTTGCGGTGTTTATGTGGCCCAAACCGTTCGAACCGCCGTAGATAATTTCCGAATTTAATTCGGAGAAATTGATGCCTGTAGGCAGCCGTAAGATAGCCACACCCATACGCAATGAAAAGGACATGCTGTGAGAGGAGAAAGAGATTTAAATTTGTAATTTTGGCTTGACTTTTTGGGGTTTCCTTTTGTTTCTTCGACTTACTTGAGAATATTGAAATAGGTTTGCACTTCATCCTTGCTACTTTCAACCCAATCGCTCTTATAGCCCATCAGGACAATGTTGGGTGTTAGTTTACCAAATCCGGTAGATTTTAACAGGGCCTTGACACCCTCTTCCATGTTGAAGCCATCAATAATATTGTAGAACGCCTTGATTTTTCGGGCATTCAAATACTTTTGACCCTCCATTATTTGTTGCTGACGATTCTTGTAGCCCAAATTCACCTGCAAGAAGGAAAAAGGAAATAATTTTTAAGTTGGAAAAGTTAATGGTTTTTTCGCGACCCAGTTAAAAATTCCGCAATATTTGGACTTAGTGGATACTGGATATCAAGTATTTATTTTTGAGGCATGCCACAGCTGATTTTTTATAAAGACTTCTTTCATTTATAGAAGTGTCAAGAGAGTAAAAAGCAATGGGAATTAATGAATCCCGGGGGTAAAGGAAATGTCAAATTAAATGTCGTCGAAGGGATATGAGATTACATTTCATTGGGCGCCACTGTCCATCAACATTTTATGCAGTAATGAGACGACGGCTGCACCATCCCAACAGTAATTGCGCCAAAAATACCCTGGTTTGTCTAGGCAGCCGTCGTTCTTCAGCTGCAATGGATGGGAGGACGGATTCCGAGGACGGGATTTATATTGTAGCTATTGATGACATCTGTGACAGCATCTGCACGAATGCTACTCAGACCAAGGTGATGGTCTTCTTGATCTCCTGTAATCGAGCAGGTGTTTCTGACACACCTGGGCGCGGAAGTTTTACCCACCACATGACGGTAACACCCAATAGAGTACTGCAACGAAGGCATGTCGACGTTCGCGATAGACCTTCCCCTCCTCATGGACATGGTCCATTTGTGTCATGAAAGGGCTCTCTGTTGCAGTTCTCAAGGCAGTATTCTGACGAGGTTGGATATTATTCTACTGTCTGGCACTTGTCCAGCCGACTCTCTGCTTCACTCTACGGGGTTTGAATTGTTTGTTCCGGAATGTCCAACGTTTCAAACTTTGCTAGAGTAAAGCCTCAAGAGTCATTGCCACTGGCAACAAAATTCAGGCTGTTTTAGGAGCGGAACCATCCGGCCTGGCATTTTCCAGGCTCCGGGAATAATGTAGGTGGCTAGCGACAGGTTAAGAACTTGTGCCAACATATTTCAACATTACCATTGAGATTCCATCTGGGCAAAATGCTTTGGGTGGCTCAGCGTCTCGGATGACATTTGCAACATAAACCATCGTAAACTGTGTTGGTGCCTCCTCGTCGGGAAGAGTTCTCATACGACTAAGTACTTTTCGCTTCGCCCTATTGCTCTTGGGGTGCTCGACAAATTGTCGGCTAAAAATATCCAGCGTAACACTTCGGATAAGTCACCCTTACATCGTTAAAAGTGACTGAGGTTCTATAACCCTTTTCCCCAGACTTCGAGAGAGATGTAACCGTAATCCACAGCTTACTCATATCGGTTCCAATTAGGTATTATATTGGGTATTCGTCCAGCAAGTATTAGCGAGCGGCTGTAGCATTTTTGATGCCTAGACAGAATCCTTTCAGCTACCCAAACATCAGAAGGGCTGGGCAGCTCTCTAAAGCGAAGGTTGGTGAACTCTCTAAATTCTGGCCAGTGTGCCTTGCCATGGTAAAGGAAAGCGCAGCGTTCAGGGGTTCTGGCTGGGGATAGAGGCTGGGCAGCTCTCTGAAGCGAAGGTTTGGTGAACTCTCTAAATTCTGGCCAGTGTGCCTTCCCATGGTTAAGGAAAGCGCAGCGTTCAGAGGTTATGAAATCGGGCGAGCTGTTTATTTTTTGGGGTGTAGGGACTAATCGGATACGCGGGCCTAGCATCTTTCACAGGAGGTATTCTTTGACTCTAGGACGAGGCACGGATTACTGTAGCACCCATTTCCTCTTTTTCGTCAGTCAGATGGATATCCCAGATATCTGTAGGTATGCTATGGTGACTAAGCCTGAGCGGTGCCATGTTCGTAATTATTAGACGGACGCACTTCTAATCTTTTAAGCCACAATCGACACAATTTTATTAACTTAATTTTGAACGTAGAACTACTTACCGTCTCAACATTACCCACAAACAGCAGGGAGTTCTGCTTCGTTAGCATGTAACTGAAATCGATTAGTGGCGGTCTATCCTTGGGATCTCCAGACAAGACCAAAACTTGTGGTGTGTAATTCTTCACATGATCGGAAACATTTTGCAGACGATGGACAGCTGTAATGGCGGCCTTATGTTGCTGGGCCTGCGTTGAAGAACCCCAATTGGCTTCAGGTTTTCGATACATCACCACCAGATACAGGGCAAAAATAATGATCAACGTTATCAGGGAGGAGATGTAATCGATCAGGAACATAATGGCTATGCACATGACAAAGCCGAATAAACTCAACCATTGATTGTAATACTGAAAGGAAGAGGAAATAAATTAGATCAATAATTTCCGAAATTCAGGAATATTGCCAACTTACCTTAAATGTGGGTCTCCAGCCCAGGGGCTTAATGAAAGCCGCATGGAAGGTGCAGAAATTAATGAGAGCATACGAGGCCAAATAGAACGTAGATATCAGAGGAGCAATAACGTTCAGCTCACCAATCAGAATAAAGGCTGCCGAGATAATGAAAGTCAAGACATAGCCGCGATAGGGTTCACCATGTTTGCCATAGGGTTTGGAGAAGAAAATCAAGCCAGGATAGATGCGATCAATACCCAAGGCCTGGACCAAACGGGGCACAGACAGGAGATTTGTCAATGCCGTACTCAGGGTGGCGGCAAAGCAACCAGCATAGATCAAGGGACCCCACAGAGACATCAGTTGCATGACCGAATAGGAATTGGCCAAACCATATTCACAGGTCTAAAAAGAAGTTTCGAACTAGGAATCATTTATAAAATTTAATATTTCATTTTCTTACATGATTGGCGGCACATTTCAGTTCCGAACTGATCAAAGTACCATTAATCAAATCAGCAACATCACCGGAAGCATCACGGGCAGCTGCTCCACCGGCAAATACCACAAACACGGCATAGGAGATCATAGACAACAATAGGGCCCACAATGTACCCTTGGGAATTGCTGCCCCTGGATCTTTTAGATCGCCACAAATATTGGCACCCGCCTGAATACCCGTCACACTGGGGAAGAAAATGGCGAAGACACTGAAGAAATTCTGATCGACCTTTTCCGAGTAACGATAGTCCGAGTTGAAATTCTCCTTCAAAGTATCCCACGAGAAGCCCACAAAACCTTTGGCAATACTCTCCTTGTCATTACCCGGACCGATGGCGGCACCAATAAGGAAATCAAAAATTGCCAAAATAATGGCAACCAGCAAGAAGTTTTGGGCCTTGGTTTCCCATTCCATGCCGACACAGCAAACCAAAATCAGGACCAAAATTGTGACAACTCCAACAATGCGGATATCGTTGATGTCATTGTCAATGATTTTGACGCCATTTTCCTCTGCAAGAAAAGAAGAAGGAGAAAAAAATTACTTTAGACTCTCCAAAGAGAATAGAGCGTGCATACTTACTCAGCAAATCATTGAGAGAGCTACAAAAACCAATCGTATTCATGGCCGCCGCCACCGCATTGGCAAATGCAAAAACAACACCCACGGATGCACCAAACTCAGGACCCAAGGAACGTGATATAATAAAATAGACACCGCCACCTTTCACTTCACCATTGGTACTGATGGCCGATAGGGAAAGCGTTGTTATCACACACACCGTTGCCGAGATGGCAATAATCACCAAAGATTGCCAAATACCGGATTGCGACACCACCCAACTGAGACGCAAGAACAACATTACACCCCAAATATTGAGCAGACATGGCACCATTACACCCACAATCCAACCCAATTTGATGTGATGTCCACTGGGTTCCGGCCCCGCTGGGTCGGGCATTTGAATTGTCTGAAAAATTGAAATGAGAAGAGAAAGAGAAAGAATTAATTTTTGTCTGGAGGAAACATCTGTCATTGGTTTCTTATTGTAGATGATATCTAAAGTCCTGAGGAATATTTCTCTCTTCATATTTCCCACAGAGATTTTGGATCCTTGAGTAAAATGAAATAAAAAGAAAAAATCGAGACTGGAGTTCCGCAAATGCTGCAAGATTTACATTGCCAATTCAACTGGCATTAAAGGGGTTAATCCTGGTGTAAAACTCATAGTAGAGTTCTTGCTCGAGTACTTTTTCGGGACTTTCGAACTTCCTAACAAACTTCAGGTTCATTCTGATAAGTTACAAGTCCTTATGAGTGCGTTTCGGCGGATTCCATCGACTACAATGGTTTACGGCTAGTCGATCCTTGAGTAAAATTAAATAAAAAGAAAAATCGAGACTGGAGTTCCACAAATTTGTAAATCCACTTGATTTACATTGCCAATTCAATTGGCATTAAAGGGGTTAATCCTAAGGCAAAGCCTATGATAGATTTGCTCGAGTACTTTGCTCGAACACTTACTAAGGATTTTCGAACTTCCTAACATACTTCAGGTTCATTCTGATAAGCTACAAGTCCTTATGAGTGCGTTTCAGCGGATTCCATCGACTACAATGGTTTAAGGCTCGTCGATCCTTGAGTAAAATGAAATAAAAAGAAAAATTCGAGGCGGGAGTTCCACAAATGCTGTAAGAGAAGTAAATCCACTTGATTTACATTGCCAATTCCATTGGCATTAAAGGAGTTAGTCCTGGGGTAAAACTCATAGTACAGTTCTTGCTCGAGTACTTTTTAGGGACTTTCGAACTTCCTAACGAACTTCAGGTTCATTTTGATAAGCTACAACTCCGTATAAGTGAATCCCGGCAGATCGTCATCGACATGTCGTCTACAATAATTTACGGCTCGTCGATATGTGTTCTTATACCTTGTCTCCTGGATCCTTGAGTAAAATGAAATAAAAAGAAAAAATCGGGACTGGAGTTCCACAAATGCCACATGTGGACCGATAATAATTGTACATTTGCAGTTTATCGGATTTTGTAAATCCACATGATTTACATTCCCAATTCCGTGGGCATTAAAGGGGTTATTCCGGGATAAGATCTAATGTAAACATGCTATAAATGTCGTTGGCCATTTGTCCTTCGAGTCGGATCAGTGATCAAGAGTGGAGTTGGGCAAAACTTTGCAAAAATTCTGACAAATTTTCACAATAGGGAGGCCATTCTGTTAACCAGCCAAAACCAAACTCATCAGATCCTAGGTCAGGAAGCTGTTCTGCTGAAAAAAATTGTAAAGAGGATGGATTGCTGGAAATTGTCCCAAAGAATTTTTTTCCAATCGCTAAACAGTAAAGTCAGTGAATTGACAACGGAACTCAAGTGGTTGGTACCGGAGCACAAGAGGAAAAAATGGCTAGACCATCTGAAATGGTGCAATGTTGGATTTGATATGAGTAAGCTGTGAGTATCGCTTTCGAACTTCAGGAAAAATGATGATAGGACTTCAATGTTGAAACAGCTGGATACCCCGGGAGTTGAGTATCTTACTAAAGTCCTAAACTTGTTGCTAGCCACCTGAATTGTTCCCGAAACCTGGAAAATGGACCGAGTGATCCCGCTTTTAAAGCCAGACAAGGCGAGTCATACAGACCTATTTCGCTTTTGTTGCCAGTAGCAAAGACTCTTGAGGCTAGTATCCCCCATACCATCAGATAAAGTTATCCAATTGCTAATATTGCCATAACCCCACATATCAGTCGAAAGCTGATCCAGAACAAGCTGTGTCATAAAATAGTGTTGGTAGCCCTTGACCTATCAAAAGCATTTGATGCGGTCAATCATGCCATACTGTTTGAGGATGTGTGGACGCCAGTCGTACGTTGAATTTAAGAACAAGAAGTCCAAACCCCGCCCGAAGTTGGGTTGTATCTTCCGAACTGTTCAACCTCTACCTTCCAGAAATCCCTTACCCGGTAGAGAGCATTGAAATCGTAACGTATGCGTTAATTTGTTAATTGCCTATGTGTAAGTCTGAACACCTATCACGCGAAACTTGTCGAGTGCATCCAAGCGAGGAATAGAAATGTATCCGACACACTCTTCACGGTATGGTTTGCAGAAGTTCAAGAAGCATTTAATTCCGACCAGGATCCTATATGTCGCTTTCGACAGCATGTCCATGCGGATGTTTGAACGATCAGGGCGTTGGATCCTGTCGTTAATTGCCTATGTGTAAGTGTGAACACCTATCCCGAGGAGCTTTTCGAGTTCATCCAAGCGAGGAATATAAATATATCCGACACACTCTTCACGATATGGTCTGTAGAGATGAGAACGCAGATGAATGTGCCGTTCAAGAGGCATTAAATTCCGACCAGGATCCTAGATGTCGCTTTCGACTGCCTGTCCAAATCATCTGCGTAAGCCACAGTTATCTGCGATAAATTGAAAAGTAGGAACAAGGTTCTCAAAGCTCTAGCCTGCAGAAATTGAGGCGCGAATAAGAATACCTTCAGCTGTAAGGGAACCAGTGTGGTCTGCGAATACAAGTGCTACGCAGTGGAAGAATATACGGAGCTGCCAGAGTGTTGGGTGCCTCCTCATGACATCATTGGATAATGACCATGAGGAGCCTAAATTCGATCACGAACGTCAGCATAACAACATACTTTCGATGCAGTACCGTGGTAACCGTACAACGGGAGTAAGACCTCCGGACATCTTCATTAGTATTTGGTTACTGAAGAAGGGCCATTTAGCTCTTGCTAGGATAAAATGCATATACTCTTTGAAGTCTAATCTGATATGAAGCTTGGTTCGAATATTTCCTTCATTTCGGGATGTCGTTAAATTTAGGAAAATGTATATCGTGTAAGGACACTGTCAATTCTTTCTTCACCAGCTCTATCAGAGTATCGCCAAATAGTTCTTTCCTGACGAAATATTAGACCTCTCTCTTCTTCGATTTCTGAGTCTTTCCGTTTGATTGGATGAGATGTCAAACTAGGCCAACAAGGCGTTGGTAATCATAGATTTTTTTTCTTTTGATAAAATATCAACTTTACTTCGATAGTAAGACCGTCGCATATCTTCATTAGCCCTTGGTAGCTGGAGAAATTCCATTTAGCTCTAGCCAGAATAACTTCCATGTATTCTTTGAAGTCTATCTCGTATGAATCTTGTTTCGATCCTGTCAATCTTCATTTTCCCCATATTGATACTTGATTATAATTTCTTCTTAACTCTGGACCTTAATCTGAACATATATTTCCATATACATATTAAATGTATAAGAAATGATTGCACTGAGGAACTACTGAAACATACTGCCAATTTATGACATGAGACCTCTTTAGTATTTAGTCCAGTGCTTAAATTGAAAAATCTGCTCACCAGAAATCCATCCCAACTTTAATTGGGAATAGAGAAAATTTCTGTTTTGATAGCTTCTTTTATCAACTGCAGCTTGATTTTTATTTGAATTTGTAGACGCCAAAGGTTTTCTTCTAAGCTACCATTGCTTCATTGATTGCATTAATTTTCATTTTGATTTTCACCACAAATCAGACTTCATGTCTCTCCCATTTGACGAATAATTATTTTTTTCCACGTCATTTTCATTTCAGAAAATGCCATTCCCCAAGTTCATGATGAAATATTCACGTGTAGACATGTAGTCTCATTATAGAGTAAATCTCTGATCCCTTATCATAATTAATTTAATTCAGCATTGTATCGAAATACAAAACGACATCTGCTAGACACTATTGTTAAATACTAGTAACATTTCGAATTAAATCCATGCAAATGATAAATTCGAAATTAATTTTGGATGAAGATACAAGCTAGGTGATAGTAATTACCAATTAGAGTTTTGTTCGATTTGCCAGTAGGCAGTGGGAAATATTTTGAGAAAAAAAAAAATAAAACAATAGCTGGTGCTAATTAGCAAAGTGTGGAGAGATATAAATCATAATGAAGGCGGAATGCAGTTTCGTAAATTACTTAAGTTACATTCGGCCCTATTATAGTTGTCGTCGTCGTCGCAAAATGAAGTCGAGGCGACAATATTGATATTAGGGTTGTCGTTTTTTGTCGATAGCGACAAATGATTGCCATTATCATTGTCGATACAACAGTCGACGTGAAGTCGATTTTTAAGAATATCTGTCGCCGTAAAAAATTGTGACGACATTGTATTTTTTAGCCGACGTGGATATTGTAACCATTTTGTATTTGATATTTGAACATGAAAAAACAAACTGCAAAACAATTTTAAATGTTGGTTTCCGAATTGAAAAAAAAAAAAAAACATGTTTGGCACAAGGATTTACCAAAGGTCATGTTCCAGCTAATTTTAAATCAGATTAGGAATCCATTGCTACAAAATTAAATCTAAACGGGTCACCGATTAGAGATTGGCAAAAAGTATGTTAAAATTAAAATTATTTTTGTATGTTTTTATTAGTTACATTTCTAAAGTTCTTTTAGGTTTGGAAAGATTTAAAATTTAAAACTAAAAAACAATTGTGCACAATAAGGGTGGTATTTTTAAGCAAATGACATTGTTGCTTTGGGAGGAGTCCTTCGCGAATGTAATGCAGTTTCAAAAGCTACTGAATCCACCAGCTCGTGCACTTGGAGTAAAAAATACGGAAAACATAATTGTAACAGACGTTATCGATCATGAAAATGAGCCAGTGGACAATGCTGATGACGAGACTCATGTAACTACTATTCAAGCTTCTCGATCGCCCAGAAAAACAATGATAAAAAGTCATCAAGGAAAGAAGAAGAAACTATCGAACTCTTGAAAGAGCAGTATAAACTTTTGGAACAACACAATCAAGAGTCAGGCAATGCAAATATGTTTGTTTGCTGCCTTGGCACTTGCCGCTGCACTACTAATACATCCTCCACTTCATCCTCACTTGAACTTAAGATATGTAACGCATTTATAATA